ACTGCTTGCACAGAAACTAATCTTTTAAAAATATATTCTAAAAACCCATATGTGTCCAAGTATAAGATGAAGTTATATTTTAAAAAAAGCCCCAGGACCTGAGCTGCTGTTGTGCTAAGTTGGTCTGTTGCCTGCTTCTGCAATATCTTACCTTCACACGGCTGAAACCCTCTTCCACTTCCAGCAATTGTTGCTTTCATACTCTACTTTTCCAATGCCCTGCTCATTGGTCTCCTCAGTTCCGTCCTCAACAAGCTCTTTTTAGGGGAAGGAATTTGTACTGAATGCTTCAATTTAAACATTAGCATATATAAGATGGCCATTCAATTTTTTTTATAGTTGTATTGTGAGGAAAGGGAGTGCTATTTGCTGTGAAAGGGATTGGAATTTCCAGATCGAATTGGTGACCATGGTTCTTGGGTGAGTGTGAAAAATAGTGTGAAATGAAATTGTTTCTCGTTTCAGGGTTTAATTACATCAGTATTTGTATTGTTTGAAGATTATATAAAAAACCCTCTGTATTGTTATTGATGTGAAGTATGAAGTGGCTGAACAGGAAACATTTAGGTTATAAGGTCTAGTTTTTCAAAGTTGTTTAGAAGTAGGGAATTTCACAGGTGTGAACAAAGAATCTCAATTTTACGAATCTGCAATAGTGCAATATTGCTAGGATGCTTTAACCTTTTAAAATGTAGAGAACATTTCTATGATTGTTTTATATTTAAATGATTTGACTAATTAGATTCTTCCTCTGTTTATCTAAGGATATTCTTTTGCAGCACCCTGTATCCACTCAGTGAATGACATATTATTATATTACATTCTGAATATAATGGATCTAGGTCAGACATTATCGTGTGGTTTAAACCCTGAATCTTCTGACTCCAAGTTGAGTGTTTGGTTGGCACCAATTGTATGTCGCCCATGGTGCCTCAACAGTATCCTTAAAGCATTAAAACAAAAGGAACCATCTCTATTTAGTCAATTAATTGCTTTGAGATGTTTTACCAATGTGAAAAAACCTCAGCATTCCCCCCCACCATCCCTTTACTTTCACCCTCTTGATCTCAATCCCCAGCAAACCCCAGTATCAACTTGCACTTATATAGCGCCCTCCACACAGGGTAGAGTCTCAGAGGGCTTTGCAGTGGCTCAACCTGACTCCGGGGGAGGGGGGGATGGAGTGGCCGTAAGCATGATCGAAAAAGGCGGGATTTGAAAAAGGGGAGAGAGGATGCAAGGCGGAGGGATTGAGGGAGAGTGTTCCAGAGTTTCGGGGCGTAGTGGCTGAGTGTGAAACCTCAAATGTTGGAGCAGAGGGCACGAGGGACACGCAGGAGGCCGGTGCCAGTCGAGTGGAGGCGCTGGGTGGTAGATTGGGGAATGAGGAGGTCAGAGAGACTTTTTGTTTCATCATTCTGACTTACCAATGTTGGAAACTGTTTCTGTTAGAAGTGACTTACTTAGGCATGTGCAGGACCAAACAGGATAATTGCTTTTCAACTGGTCCCCAAAATAATCATTGTCTTCAATTTTTCATGTGATCGTGATTGCCCTGAAAATTTACCATTGCATGTTAATTATGGAGTTGATAACACTCACAAGCTCCGTGGGCTGCAAGGTAAAGATTTATGTCTGACATCCATATGGTTTCCTTATCTTCATGAGGAAAGGTGTTGGAGGTTGTTCTTTCACAATGAATCAGTCTGTGCCTCGTGGTGGGTGGCGTACTATAAATGAGATTGTCAAATACCCTGTTGAATTTACTACCTGCATTTATTATTAACATCTCTTTCTGAGGATTTTTGCTAAATCTGTGGCTCGGAATTGGGTGTTTGACCTTGTGTCCTTGTGTCTCTATTCGGTTTGGGGAGGAAGGTAAGAAGAAATGCTAGGTGAAAGCCATTACCTCAAGCTGTTTCTTTCTACATTCAATTAATATTAACATCATTTAAGCACTTTGGGACTCTATCCCCTGTGAGAAGGGCGCTATATAAATGCAAGTTGTTGTTGTGGTTTGGCCAGGGGGTTGGGTGTCTCAAACCCATCAATATTTTCAAACTTACAGCTATTTCTATTTGGTGTGTATTTTAGAAAGCAGCTTGAATGAAGTTGTGATATACGGAGAGAATAGTATTCTATTAAGAATTGCCCAATACTGATTCCGTAAGCACGATGCTTGTCCACTGTTTCAATTAATAACCATTGCCAATGATTGCGAGGACTTGGCTTTTCTCTGAAATGAATAGATTTCTTTGTTACTTGCTCAAACTGTGTGTGTTTAGTAGCGTTGAAAATGCACCAATCCTCTTAAGGCTGCCTCCTGTAATCCGGGAAATAAAATTAGCGAAGTACCAGAATCAAGCTTTAAATGACGAGATATTTTGTGCGGAAGGGCTTTAATCTTTTTCTAATTTTGCTTTTAAGCTCTCAACCCCCCAAAAAAACTTCAGGATTTTGCTAGATTAGCTTTGTTTGACCAGTGGAGCTGAGAAATATTAATTCTGAATCTGAGGCAAAGGCTGACTTGCAACAAATCTGAAGGATGGATAATTGGGAAAGTACTTCTGCTTTTCAAAGCCCTGGTTGGAGGGTGAGTTTTATTCCCTAATGTGTATGAATGGTAACCTATAGTAGAGGATAAAGTAAACCTTTGAGATAGCTCAACAACATGAAAGGGGCTACATCAAATGCAAGGATTATTATTTATTAACCTGAAGCTTAATACAGATGTCTGAGTCATACTGATACCATAATATATGAGCAAAAATTGGATTTAAGACTATCTTCTGACTGGGCTTCTATCATTGTTAATACATTTTTGCCAATACTTTTGTACTACAGAATTAAGACGTATTCCACTATTCCTATTGCACAATGCGTTTGTTTCTTACGTAGCTAAGAATTAGCTACATAGGAAAAGTAGCTCCGGGATGCTGCCCAGCTTGATAAATGCTATGTAAAGTTCTTGTTATTTTGTTGTTGTTTGTTTCTTATGTAGCTAGCTCAAAACATATGTCATGGGATTAATTGGTCACTTTTTTTCAAACTTGTTTCAAGTAACCATTTAATTTTAATAAGGAATTTTAAAAAAAGGTAAACTTTCTAGTTTTTTTTACATTGTGATACAATCTACTGTTTGTATGACGTGCTTCTGACCAGCACACTGATTTAAATTTCACTGTGGGCTGAAACTTGATGTTCACGAGATTCTAATCGTGAGTGTATGAGAGATGGAGAAGTGCATGATTTGTTTTTAACGGACTCGCCAAATGGAACTCAATTGTTCTTTCTGGTCGGTTTTGCACATAATCTAGTTAAGATCTAAAACTCTGATCAACTAAGTATCTTACTATCGGTAAGGTACTTACTTACGCAGGAGGAAATATTAGGGGCACAGAATATGATTGCTTGCTAATTGGTGGTAAATCTGTGTTTTTTCGTCTGCCTGCCAAATGTTCAGTATTTTTGCACTGGTAATGCTTCTCAGCAGCTCAAGAGTTTCCTCATCAGCAATCTGATGGACATCTGCCTTCCTGATGGTAGGGGGACTTCCACAGGACAGCTTGACTTGCAACGTGCCAGCCACCTTGATGTTCTCTGGGTCCAAATCCAATACCGCGTACCAGATTTTATATGCTCTAATGGAACAATGCCATTAGTTGTTCAGACTAAAAGCAATTTAGTAGCTTAACATAATTGCGCCATTAATTCTCTGCCAATGAATGTTGCCAATTGGTAATTAGTCTGGAAGTCCGCTTTTTATAAGCGCATCTAATCCAAGTACCAAAGAAAGTTGGTATATTAAAGTACAGATCAGGCAGCATCAGATGCAATTGTATCGCAAACCTATGAATTTGGAGTCATGGCACTGAATGGTAACAACTAGGGTTGGGGAGTGACTGAGCTACGGATTATCTAACCATGTTAAAAGGACAGAACCCTTCTTCAACATCTAACCCTGTGAAACGGGTAAGATGGATGAATCTCAGCCAACCTGGTTATAGCTGCTCGAATGTGTTTAGGAATTTTGTGTGGTGTGGGGGTTGAACAATTTGTATATCGTTAATCTGAACTTTTATTTATATGTTCATATTTAAAAAAATATACTTATATATTTAATCATCATTGCCAATGTGCAAAGGCATTGTTATGAATTTTTTACTTTATCTGTTATCAGATTGTAGAGATTAGAATGGGCTTTTCATCAGGTTTTGTCTTGTGTGAACCTATACTGGGAGGAATTTTTGCCCATATTTATGTCATTCTGAGCTGATCTCTTGGTGTACTTGTTTCTGATGTATTAGATCTATTAGTTGGAGTTCAATATTTTTATAATAATAATAACCCTTACATTTGATATAGCGCTTTCGACAGCCAATTCGCAGTATTCCACAAAACGTCATGGATTGAGTGACCAGATTTCTTTTGGCGTGTTTATTGTGGAGTCCTGCAGTATAGTGCAAGCGAGAATACCTGACCTTGACTTTAGCATAATGGTGAATTAAAAGCTTTGCTGTAATCTCACTGACACGGGACAGGTAAAAATTGTTTGTGTACTTTATGGAAGAGCAATTTATGTTGGTTTGGAATGCTGTAGTTCCTGATTTTTATGTTCGGGCTGATGCACTTTGAAATAATGAACAGTATTAGGTAACGATTGTTGTTCTACATAGCTAGTAAAATGTGCTTTTTGTGTTTGTGAAATTGTCACTCTCCATTAGACTAGAAGAACCTCATTACCTATCCAGATCCAGTGGATCTATATTAAGATAGTTCTCTGAAAACACAATGTTTCTGCTTGCAAGTCTTTTGCGTAACCTTAATGTTTTTCTGTTAAATCTCCCTTTGTGATATAAAATGCAGAAATATTATTCAGCATGTTTGTACACTCATTTATATGTTATCCAATTAAAGTTTTTGTAAGCATTATTAAACTTGCTCGTTCATAGTAATTGAAAATCTACATTAATTTTTTTTCCATTTTGCTTACTGAATAGCAGATCCAATTTGCAGACCAAAAACAAGAATTCAACAAACGTCCAACTAAAATAGGTCGTCGTTCACTTTCTCGCTCAATCTCCCAATCCTCAACAGACAGCTACAGCTCAGGTAGGCGCTTCCTGAACTTCATTGGAATGATAACAGTATGTATGCTTGAGAGAAGTTCATTGTCAGCTGTATTTGGGGTATATATGATTTTTAATGTACGACCCATTGGCAGGCAGGCCCCCACCCTCTGGAACTCCATCCTGCAGTCCCTCCACCTTGCCCCCTCCCTTGCCTCCTTCAAGACCCATCTCAAGACCCTCTTCGATCATGCCTTCAGTTACCCACCTTTCCCCCTCCCCTGCCCCCAGGCCTTATCCAAAACACTGATTGTCCAGCACGTTGGGATGTCCTACTGACGTGAAAGGCGCTATACAAATGTAATTTTGTTTGTTTGTATTTGGAGCATTTGACTTTGTCTTTTGTAGTAGAATACTGCGGACAAAGTCAAACACTCACCAAATTCAGGTCAGTTTTATACACTACATCCAAGCAAAGGCATAGTTGATGGATCATAGAATTCTACTGCAGAAAGTACTATTTTATTTAACCATATTGTGTGCAATTCTTGATCCTTGCTTAATATATATAAATTGAATTATTAGCAACCCTTAAAGTTTTCACAGATGTTGGAAATTTCGTTTACAAGTCATTCACTTCTGCTAAAAAAGACAAAAACATACATGGAAGTGTAACTTGTATGTCATATACTAAACTTATTTATGTTCTTTTCTATCCAGTAAACTTAACCTATTGCCAAACTTCACCTAGAGATTATAGCGCTTTACCAAAATTCCATTACTTCTATTTAAAGTATTTTAAGTGCTTTTATGTTTTTCACTTACATTTAATTTCTATAAATGCAGTGATATAAAGACTTGCAAATGGAGACTTTTGATCTGCCGATACAAATCCTGATCGAAGCTTGCCAGTTCTTGCTAAACTAGCTCTGCATTTGATACAAAATCATGCTAATCTTTGGATAGTTGAAATGTCCCTTTTGGGGTTGTGTAAAGGCAGTATTAGGTCACAAAACCAAACAAGTTGCAGGTTCAGATCCCTTGCTGTTCATTATCTCTGAAGAACAGCAATACCAACAATTTGCATTTATATAGCACCCTTCAAACTTTCTGTTCCTTAGGCCTATTCCTCACTTCTTCCCCCCCCCCCCCCCCCACCTTATAGGAACATTAAAATAGTACTTCAGGGTAAACGAGATCTGCATTTTTTTCCTGCTCATTACCCCCTTGGCCTCTTGTCCCCAGTTGATAATTCAGTTGCAAGGAACAGGATGAACCGGTATTTTGGTTGTATTGTTTTTTTTCTCTGAGGCCGGCCGCTCCTGACACTCTACTCTCACCCCCCCCCCCCAACAGTGTGCCCCCCAGTTTGAAAATCCTTGAACTAGATCATGTTAAATGAATTCCTGAGGGCAGATCAACTACCTTTACAGCATTTAGTGCACAGCTATTCCAGAGAAGATTGGATTTCACACCCTTAAAAAATGTAAATGTCATTCAGCATGATATAGTTTATCCTGAAGTGCTGTTGTACAACACATAATTGTGGTGCTTCTGACATTACCCTGGTGCAGATGAAGTAATATTTTGAAACCATTTCATGCAGAAATATACCAGAATTTTTTTTAAAGTATTCAGCACTGATTTAAATCTGGTGATTGTAACCTTATTTTGGCACAACCCGTGATAATTTCATACCTTTCAAAGAGACCTTTTCTGGATTCTGGTTCATGCAATCTCTTTAATATTGCATGGTGGTAGAATGAACTTATTTCGCCTTAAGGAAAAACAAATTAAATTAATTGCTTTGCCTTCAGCAGGCATATTTGACTTGTGTGGTAATGAACCATTTAGATGTTTCATTAACTTTTTACAAAGGGAAACCTTAGAGTAAATATCTGTCTTAAAATGCACAGATAAGGAATTTAATTTGTCCCATTACAAGAGGATTAATTGAAAGCAATTGATGAATCATTATTTAAATATACCTGTATTGTGCAGCCCAAAAAGCTCCTTGAAACAGTGCCTCATTGTGCTTCAAAGAAACAGCCTTTTAAGTTGCTTCTTTATCCAGTTTACTGATCTCTTCTGTTTGTGCCAAACTGGTCAAATGCACAGTGAGTTCATTTCAGTAAAGGGCAGCAGAATGTAATAGTATTTTAGTTAATTTGTAATAAGTTGCCTTGGGACGTCCTCCCAACGTGAAAGGCGCTATACAAATGTAATTTTGTTGTTGTTGTTAATCCTAACTGGTACAATTATAGATATACACCTCTACTACATCATTTTACTTTTCTGCCTTCCCAACTCTTCCTTTCACAAGCTGCAGATCATCCAAAACTCTGCAGCTCGTGTACTCTCGCGCACCAACAACAGCAACAAGATTACATTTGTAAAGCGTTTTTCATGTCGGGAGAATGTCCCAAGGACAGTGTACAGCATTTCACCAGGCTCATCCCTCAGAGAATCGAATTCAAGATCCTCGTCCTCACCTTCAAGGCCATCCATGGCCTTGCCCCTCCTACCTCTGACCCACTGACTCCCTACCAACCTGCCCGCTCCCTCCTTTCAGTGGGCTCCGGCCTGCTCCATGTCTCCCGCCCGACCCGCCCTACCATCGGTGGCCGGACTTTCAGTCTCTCTGCCCCCACACTCTGGAACTCCATCCCACAGCCCCTTCGCCTCGCTTCCTCCCTTGCCTCCCTTAAGGCCGGTCTCAGGACCCTCCTCTTCGATCGTACCTCAGTTGCCTTCCCTCACCCGTCCCCCACCCCTCCCCCACGCTCGGGTCCTGACCCCTGACTGTCCAGCGCCTTGGGACATCCTTCCAACGTGAAAGGCACTCTATAAATGTAATTTTGTTGTTGTGGTGTTTAATCGCATGTGTTTCAGGGTCCTGGACTGCACAAATTAGTGTCCCTGCCTCATGATTGGAACTGTAACAAAAGAATATGTACTTGTGACTGCTTTCCTTGATTTGAAAACACAGTACTTATTGAGCCCATGTACACTAACTTCCGAACACTTGCTTGTTTGTTAACCAGCTTTACTTTTTCTTTGGAAAGGAATATGGAGCAACATTTGTGTGTAGATGGGCAAAAGCTGAACAATCCACAAAGATTAGGAGTCGTAATAAAGTAATGGAGATTTATGCAGGCTTAGTTTGAGTGAGAAACGCTCAAATGTTGTCAATTTCAGCCTCCATGGCAGGGCAGCCTTTTCCCCTTGTGGTTACAAATTGTTAGAATTAAACGTTGTCCAGGTAGAGCCCTGCCAAATTTTCTTCTCCTCCCGCAAAAGTGTTACCCTGAGCATTTATAAACTATATAACCATGCTAATAAGTGGACTCCGTTTTGTAGCAGCAACCTTTCAGGTTTTTACATTAGGAGTGAAAGAATTCTTTACTTCTATGTAATATAAAAAGGATACTCTGCATTTAAGCATAAAATGAGATTGTTTTAGTGGCACCATAATATAGGTAAAAATGGTGGAAGTGATTTAGATGGTAACATGGAAGAGATTATTGCTCTTTCCCAGTTAACGTTGTTCTATAACAGAAATAAACTACAATATTTCAAGAGGTTTTGTTATGCAAACTATGGATTGCATTGCAAATATGTAGTTGCTTCAGTAACAATTGCTATAAAGGTTCTACAATTGAGGGCTCATGGAAATAATTAATTTAGGCTGATTTTACATGTGCATATGGTTTATTCACAAAGTGAGAAAACCCAATTATGCCAACACTGCATAGTCATTTAATAATCTCAAACTATTACCATTCCCTGTGGTTATAAGCAGAAGGATTAAATTACCTCCTTAAATTACTATGTATAATATCTGACTGAAATTTCTGGATCATAGTTTGTACCCTTACCTGGTAAATAGGCTTTCATGGAGATGAGTTACTACAGCTATAAGTAATGTTATATTAGATATTGGGAGAAAGTGTGTTGCAGGAATAAGCTACTTTTTCACATTTGTAAATAATTGCCAACTTTTTTTTGAAACCGAAATTCAAACTGATTGGAATTATTTAATGGAGATGGAAGGTTAAGGTTAGATTTTATTTTTTGTATCAAAATAGCCCAATTGCTAAAGACGTGGACACTTTTGTCAGTTCAATAGGGGTGGAATTAGAGAGAATGGTTGATGTTTGATTCTTGTCAATTGCAAGATTTTTACTGCTTCTCGTTTGCCCCTAGCGGCATCCTACACAGATAGCTCAGATGATGAAACCTCACCACGTGACAAACAGCAGAAGAACTCGAAGGGCAATGGAGATTTCTGCATCAAGAATATCAAACAGGCAGACTTTGGACGCAGAGAGGTTGAAATTGCTGAGCAAGGTGAAAGATAAACCACAACCTTTGTAAACTGACAATTATTTGATCTTCCACTCTGTTCATTTATCAGCAGAAACAGGCATGGTGCTTTGAAATAGCAAAAGTGCACTTTCTACCGGTAATAAGTTAATGCATCCCAAATGGTACATTCAGAAGAAGGAGGTCAAGTGAGTGACAAAACAAGAACAGAACTGCACTCAATTTGTCCAGTGAAAATAGAGCTACTGGGCCCCCTGTCAAAACAGATCACCATGGATTGAACAACTTTACCTAAATTTTCTGGTTGATCGGATTATGCTCCTTACTGAAGTTTTCTGTTTATTGGTAATCTTAGTTGATTCTAAAGGTAGCAGGTACATTAAGGTTACTGTACTCTACCCACTGTTGATAAACAAAACCTAGGGTCATACAGATTTCTTTATTGCTTTAATTGTTTTCTGAGTAGCTGCTTCACATGTGACCTAATTTCCTTAGAATCGTTTCTCAAATAGCACAAAAACTTCCTAACTAATTGATTAACCAACAGTCGTTGGGAGGATTATTGATGTTATATTAAATGGACATTTTAAGATGGTAAATATGAAAAGAATACTGCTGGATAAAGCAGTTTCTTAGTCTAACTAAATTACAGTAATGCTGTTGTGGGGTGCCATTGCTTGTAAGTGATTCAGAATATTCAAAGTTTAATTGCTTTCTACGGTTATAAAACAAGTTTTTCACCTAGATATTTATCCTTCAGTGAGTACTTTAAACCTGTGACCTTCCCTTTTCTTAACCATTGCTCGATCTTGTCTGATTCTGTAATCAGTAATGAATTTGAGGTGAACTGGGGCAGAGTCCTGGGCAAACTCCATGTTAGTAAATCTGCCAAGTGCATTTTAAAAACTAATCGCTCATTTTATGTTCACACTTATTTTGGTGCAGAAATGCCAGCTCTGATGGCTCTGAGGAAGCGAGCCCAGGGAGAAAAACCATTGGCTGGAGCTAAGATAGTTGGCTGCACTCACATTACAGCCCAGACTGCGGTGAGTGCATGTGCTATTTAAAATAATAGAACTTCATAATGCAATGATGTTCATACACAGTACATGCTGTGTTTTCACCTTCAAAACCTTCCAGTCTAGCTAAAGCAATTCAAGTCTACTCTCTGCTAGTTCTAAGAAATCAAGACACTGAATACATCCTGTATGTAAGCGATCTACGGGGGTAGAGGAACTGGGGATTTAGGATTCACATTCACCAGGTAGCAGCACAGCTGGACAAGGCCATATAGAATGTAAATGGAGTCCTCAGCTTTAATTCCAAAGGAATAAATGTACACTACAACAATAAAATAAAGTGGACATTGATAGCTTCAACTTGTTGCTCTGAGACATTATACCTCCTAAAGGGTGCCATATAAATGGAAGTTGTTGTTGGAGAGTCCAAAAGAGAGAGCATATATGTAAGGTACTAATAGTACATTTTAGGAGGAACTTCTTTATGCAGAGCATGGTGAGAATGTAGAACTGACTGGTTGAAGCCAATAGCATCATTTTATTTAAAAGAAAATTTGATGCATACATGAGAAAGAAGGGAATAGAGGGTATAGTAGTATAGTGACTGTACTTGTGGGCAAACATACAACCGCCAATTTGTGCACAACAATGTCCCAGAAACAGCAATGTCCCGCTAAAGGCCACAAGGTGAATGACCAATGTTTTATCTGGGGGATTGTTGCCCAGGACACTGGGAGAAACTCCCTTCTCTTTTTGAATAGTGCTGCTGGATCTTTTCCACTTGAACAATAAGATGAGACCTCGGCTTAACATCTTATCCGAAAGACGCCACCTCTGGCAAAGCAACATATTGGAGTATCAGCCTAGACTATAAACTCAAAAATCCTGTTGCGGGGCTTGAACCCACAACCTGCTGTCTCAGAGATGAAAGTGCTACCAAGTGAGCCAAGCTGACATCCATTGGCATTGGCTTCACTTCCACATGTGCACAGATGACAGCAACTTCCTGCAATTCCAATGCTGTTCTAACTGATTGCCTCTGGCATCAGTTGGATGAGTTTGGTCTTTCTACAGTTCAACAACCGAGCCTTTCCTGCATGGCTGCTGTCTGTACCTTCTCACCTCAGTATCCTGTTCAACCCAGGAACTATCCTTCAAACATTTAATTTGAGCTCTAATTAGCTCTGTTTTCCTGACCTTGACAACATTGCCTACCTGTACCATTACCTCTGCCTGAGACTCATCCACACCTTCATCACCTCCAGGCTCAATTACTCAAACTCTTTGCCTGCTGGATACTCAGCTCCTCCCAACATAAGCTGCAGACCATCCAGAATGCTGCAGCTCATGTCCCTCTCCCAGACCAGGTTTTGTGAATCCTCAACCATGCTCAGCTCCACTGCTTCCCATTCATCCAGCCGATCAAATTCAAGATTCTAAGCCTTGCATTCAAATGCCTCCATGGCCTTGACCCACCCTACTTCTACAACCCTGTTGCCTTATCCCATCCCTCTTCTTAGCAAACGCCTATCTGGTTCACCTCACCTTCTTACTCTGCTCCACCATCAGTGGGTGAGCTTTCAACTACTGTGTCTGTTTTCTGAAACTCCATCCCTCTACCTTGCCTCCTGTTTCTCCACCTTCTAAAGCTCACCTTAGACCTGTCTCTGTCTTTATTACACCGCTCAGGCTCTCAGTCAATTGTGTGAAATACTTTGAGACATCGTTCTGATGTGAAAGGAGTTGTATAAATGTGAACTTTTTTTTAAACTGAGCAGTCAGTGATGACAGCTATTCTGTCCCCCTTATTCCTGATCTGAGTGGTTTGTTGGAATTTGCGCAGGTGCTGATGGAGACTCTTGCTGCCCTTGGAGCACAGTGCCGGTGGGCTGCCTGCAATATCTATTCCACACAAAACGAAGTAGCTGCTGCTCTGGCTGAAAACTGTAAGTGGCGGTATTGATGAGATTCTCTGGTGAAGAGATTATTTAAATACAGAATTCAGATACTTTTATTTTTCCGCTTCAATATTGGCTGCCGTGTTTCGCCCACAAATTACTTAATTCACTTTACGGTGTATTTTGCGAAGCGCTTTGAGACGTCTCAATGACGTGATCAGGCGCTATATCAAATGCAAGGATTATTATTATTATAAAATGTTTCAACAGCGTTTAAATTAGTCTTCTCTGATTCTTATGCCCTTATTCCCCATTCCCAAAAATGTCATGTAGCTTTTCCCAATTGAGACTGTGTGCAGGTGATCTCACATTCTTCTCAAATGTTCCGTTTTTTGATCATCCTTTATTCCACATGTACACAATTTAACTTATTTAATAAAGAGCCTAAAAGGTTTCAATAAAACTGACATTGAACTGAACGTTTGACATCAATTTAAAACAATCCAAAAACTTGCAATAATTAATTTTGTGAGTTTCTGCATTATTCTTTTTCTATTATAGTTGCATTAAAATGAATTTTTATATTTGTAATTGTCACAAAACATATTGGAATGTAGACATGTTCTTGATCTCATACTTATATTAAGAGCACTGCTGTGCCTAATAATGGCATAGAATGGTAAGCATGCATGATCCTTCCAGTGGGCATTTCTTTTTTGAGTGGGTGTGGGGGCTGCTGCTGAAGTCAATCCAAATGGCCTCCCTGTTAAATGTGTATGCATTGGTTTGAGACCAATTCATAATATTCTTATTAAGACAGTTTCAGAGCAGTTTTATTGTATAATTTCTAATACAATTCTTCAAAAATAAGTTGCTTTGGTATTTCATTGTAATACATGCTCATTTTAAGGCTACCAAATGCAACTTAAATTCAGAAGTATTATACAGTTTCGTTTTTTGTTCTTCTATCCCAATATTTTCATGATAGGGTGATCTTTCCTTTTCTACCCATGTCAGCTTATTCAGTCTTTGCCTGGAAAGGAGAATCCGAAGACGATTTCTGGTGGTGCATTGATCGTTGTGTGAATGTAGAAGGATGGCAGCCTAACATGGTAAAGGCGATGTGTTGCTCAACAATAATAATCTCTAAAGTTTGATCAGAATGTATTTCAATGCAGCATAAATGAAAGATTTGACTTGTAGTGTTTATTTTAAGGTTTCCATAGATAAATGTGCTGTCGTTGTATTCTCTGTTAACGTTGCATGCTTTACTTATCAAATAGCTGGGGTTTATTGCAGATTCTTGATGATGGCGGGGATCTTACCCACTGGATTTACAAGAAATATCCCAACATGTTTAAGAAGATCAAAGGCATAGTGGAAGAAAGTGTAACTGGTGTCCATAGGTGAGTGTTGAACTCTTCTCGTGGACAATACATTACAAAATTACATTTGTATAGTGCCTTTCATGTCAGGAGGACTCCCGAATGTGCTGGCAGACTGTGTCATGGGAGCATTGCAGCTGAAACGGATCCTGTTCTTGCCAGACGTTTACTGTGTAACTTTGCAGCAGTGGGGTAAGCACTGTACAAGTACTCTTGAGACGCCACCCCACGTGAAAAGCGCCATCGCCCGGTCACCTGTGGTATACCCCAGGGCTCCATTGTTGGCCCCCTCCTTTTCATCATCTATATGCTCCTTCTTGGCGATGTCATCCGCAGATATGGGGTATGCGGATGATACCCAAATCTACTTCTCCTCCTCCAGCAGTGTCTCCAGGTCCGCCGATGTTCTCTCAGCTTGTCTAGCGAACATCATGGCGCAGACTAGCGAAAACTTCCTACTACTCAATGTTGATAAGATGGAAGCCATACTCATTGGCTCCCGTCAACATCTTCTATCCTGCGCTCTGACCTCCTCAACCTCCCTGGCCTCCTTCAGACTTACAGAACCAGTGCGCAAGCTAGTCGTCAGGTTCGACCCACAGCTGAGCTTCCCTCCCTTCCCCACGTCCGGTCCTTGACCAAGTCTACCTTCCTCCACCTCCGCCACATTGCCTGCCATACCTTATCCTGAATGTAGCCAAAACACTCTTCCATGCGTTCGTCACCCCCTTCTCAAACACCCTCTTTGCCGGTCTCCCTAGCTCCACCATGCACAGGATCCAGCTGATCCAAAGCTCCTCCGCTCGCATACTCACCCGTACTAAATTCCGAACCCCATCACAACACTTCTAGCCAGGCTCCACTGCTTCCCCATCACCGAATGCGGGTCTATTTCAAGATCCTTACACTCGTTTTCAAATACCTTTGTACCGTGGCACTTTGTACAGTGACTGCCACTGTCAAGCATTCACTAGCATGTGTGAGGGGCGTTATGTAAATGAAAGTTGTTCTTATAAATGCAAGTTGTAGTTGTTGAAACTATCTTGTAATATTCAGCAATTTGTACTTTATAATTCTCAATAGCAGCCCGCTTGAATTCTGAACTCTGAACCATACATATTGCAGGCATATTTGGAGTTTTGTTTTGATTTTTGCCTCTCTTATTTAGACTTTACCAGTTGTCCAAAGCTGGAAAGCTGTGTGTCCCAGCCATGAATGTGAACGATTCTGTGACCAAGCAGAAGTTTGACAATCTCTATTGCTGCAGAGAATCTATATTGGACGGGTAGGTAATTGGATCTTTCCCTTTACATGTGCTTTCAGTTAGTGACTATCGACTAACTTTGTGTTAAATCTGTTTGTTGGTGTAATCATTTTTTTAAATGACAAGGGATTCAAATGAGCGGTTCTAACATTGTCTCAAGACTGACTGAATATCCAACTTTAGAGTGATTTGTGCTTGCAGTCATTTTCTCAGTTTTACTCCTGTGGGTGTGTCACTAGTAGAGCATAGACATTTGCCAGTTGGACAGTTTAAAGAGAGCCATGCTTGGATGCTGTTGTGCAGATCCTAATGGCTAGTTATAAGGTGGCTTCGTAGAGGTGTGGTATCAGGTCGGTATCCCCTCCACTGAGCAGGTCGAGGTCAATAGGATTCAGGGAAAATAACTTTTTTAAAAAAAGCTGGAGGTGGGGGCTGCGGGGGATGAGTCTTCAATGCAGATCAACTTTTTTGAATAATGTTGAATATTATATTTAATTTCTTTGCCATTTTTAACTGAACGTCATATTAAGACTTTGTATAGTTTGGATATTCTTAAGTATGGTGATGGGTTTCTGCTTGTGTCAGACATCCGGCTGACAAAAAAAAACGCTTCGCTAGGGGTGACGTGAGGAAACTGAAGGAAAAAGAAAATTATACATTGCCAAGAAAAGCTAATAAAAAAGCCATCTAATCAAAAGCCTTAATCGCATATTTTGCTTCATTTTAAATAATGTGCCTGATTATAATCATTTGATGTTGTTAGTGTGCTTCTGCTGGGTGTAGTAGATTATTTTGAGAACTAATTATATGAATTTCATGTTTTTGAAAGCTTGAAGAGAACAACAGATGTGATGTTTGGTGGAAAACAAGTCGTAGTTTGCGGTTATGGGGAGGTAAATGTTTCTTCCTCCCTCCTTGTTTTTATTTGGAGGTGGGGCCCTCTGGTCTATTTGTTTCCTACAGTATAATGTAAACTCAATGATTACAACTGTGAAGAGGCACTAATTTACTGTAGCCGGAACAATGTAGTGAGTAACTTTTTTTTTAATAATCTGGTATTTTATAAATGGAAAAGCTTTTTCACTTGGCCTGTTCTATTTTACAGTCTATATTTTATGCCTTGATGTTAACAGTCTGGTTTTAATGTACATGGCAGGCAATAGTAAAGCCAGCTTTCTGAAATATGAATTGATTTGCAGGAGCTGAACTGTTTAAGCAATGGGAGGAGTTTAATCAAACTGTGTCACTTACAGAATGAGACTCCCCCGAAATTGCTGGAACTGCACATAAAGTCAATCATTGTTTGAAAGAAGATAGGTTAACATGTCACCCAAAATGTTGATCTGTCTTTCTCTGAGATGGGGATTGACTCACTAGTTATTTCAGCAATTTTTAGTCTTGCACCCAAGACTGGATGGAATCCCATGTTAGGATATTTGGGGAGCTGGCAAGCAATATCAAGGTCTAGCAGGAACCTATGGTCAATTCAGAAAATAACTCAAACCAGGAATGGTTGCCTGAAAACTGGCAACCACATTTAACTTGTATTTAAAAGAAGGGCTGTGGCGATGACCCAAGATACTGCATACAGGTGAGCCTGACATTATAATAGGTAGAATATTTGAGGGAATGCTAGAGTGGATTACAATTGCAGCCAAGGTAGATAGTGTGGAGGAAGAGAGACAGCATGACTTTATGGGATATTTGGGCATGCATGACAAACTTTAGTTCTTTGATGAAATTATCAAGATGTACATAAGAGGAACTGTAATGACATATAATTGCATCTTATCAATGCATTCAGCACATAGCCATCTAAGATTATTTCAAAGGTGAAAGGCATTAAAATGGGAGAGGAAAGAAATATTCGCTGGATCCAGAACTGAGAGAAAACAATAATAGAAGTGAAAAGAAAAGTTCCTTCTATCTTTAAATCAAATCTTAAGACCTTCCTCTTGAACTGCGCCTATGATCACTACCCGTTTCAACCTTGCTCGTTGAACCAACTCTGTGCAGTGCTCTAAGACACTATGCTGCATGAAGGGTGCTATATAAATGCAAGTTGTTGTTGTTGGTGGCCTCAGGAATAACTACAGGGAAGCTTCTGTTTACAGTGTGAAAGTGGGCTAAGGAACTAAGATGAACAAATTTGATTGTAGCAAATTGGATAAAGTTTCAAATAACTGGGAACAAAGTGACAGAATACAAATGGATTTGGATAGATTAAGTAGTTGAGAGGTGGCTGAGAATGTCAAGTTATTTATTGTGTTTACATGTAAATTCATAAATCTAGGAATGTGGATTAATATCTGCTGAATGGAGAACACAACCGAGGAAAATTAATTGGGTCAATGGTTAATTTCATCAACACAATGTACAGGAGCAGAGAGGAGAGCAAAAAGGCTGTGATGTGTATAGCTGACGTAAGAAAGAGTGATGAATAGTTGGAAGGGTGGAGCATAAGCTATGGGATATAATAATGGGCTTGTACAAAGTACTGGTCTGGCACAACTTAAGTAGATGTGGAGCCAGTATTGCAGTAGGGACATTCTGGTATTGGAGATGGTACAACAGTCAACCAAACCGATAAATGGGTTTAGGCAGTTGAGCTACAGTAAGAATATATAGAAACTAGGAATATTTACACTGGAGAGAATACAGTTAATACAGATTTCCTACATCCTAAAAGATGATCTCAGAACCCTGGTATCTGGAGTTCGACAGGTGGGATGTGGTGTGGTGGGTGGAAAGAGTCTCTGAACTAGGGAAAGGATCAGTTTCTAATAACTTCTGAAATTATAGATTTGTGGATATTGGATAAGGCGAGGGACTTGCTTAACTATAATAACCACTGGGATAGAATTATGTTAGTATTTCACTGACCAAACTGACTCTTGAAGAATAGGTGTGCCAAATTTTCTCTAAAATGTATAGGTAAAATGGACCAATCATTTGTTTGATTTAGAGGTTCAGCGGTGTTAAATTTGGAACTTCAGATTTTAACTGCTTTGTGCAGAGAATGGTGAACATATAAACAGATTGCTCAAAAACAATGGGGGCAGATAGTGTTTCAAGGGGGAATTTAATAACTTGTAATGGAGAGGATGAGAGGGAGGAATCCAGGGTTTAATAGACAGTGAGCAATATAGTATAATTGATTGTCATCTTGTGGGGTCACAATAATCAGGGTGTCACTGTGACTCACTGGAAGCAGTCAATATTTCTGAAACTGCATATAATTCTCAAAAGTACAGGGTGTCCACAAAGTCCTGTTAGCCCCCCACCTCCTTTTTTTTACTGCAGAGCACTGAACAACAACTGAAACGTAGAAGAATAATGATAATTGTATTTAAAAGTACTTAATTGTAATCGGTACAAGTGTTTCATTGTATTCAGAGGTCCAGAGTATCTATTATTTTCATGGCAGATAATGATCTGTCGTCATGTTCAGTGCAATATCTTCCATAACGTGAATGGAGTGATGAGGCGAAAAACATCTCGAGACAGCTTGTTTCAGCTCCTTCGTAGTCTTGTATCGCTGTTTTGTTACAGGGGGTGAGAACTATGTGGACACCCTGCGCAACATCTTGCTCTTCATAAAATCCCATACGTTTGCACTCTGTTTATAATCATCCCCTCCCAATCTATTCTTATGCTTGACTACTTTTCCCATTGTTTTTCTTATTCAGTTACAGGAATTCAATTATTTTCTGCCATATTTTAACTTTTAATGTTCACCTTTGTACATTTTTTTTCAATTTGTTTCCTACCTCTTCACTCAATTTTCCTGCCTTTGTTTTCCTTTGCATTGCTTTCTTTCTCCTTTAGTTTTATTATCCCCTCCCTTGCTCAATTTCACAGTAATGGGATTTTACAGAGAAGCAGCCACAACCCCCAGGTAAGTGTTAGTGGACTAGCAGGCACACTAACTGGACATGGTGAGTGGAGGAATGTTTTATATGGTGGACGGGAGGGGAGCTTACTTGATCAACCATAATAGTGATGAACGGTAGAAGACTGAGGCAAAGGGTTCAAGGCCAAATCTTCGATTGACGCATAGTTTTCCGGGAGTAATAATCCTTTCAAAAACATTTTTTTGTGAAGCACTTTGAGACGTCTCAAAGATGTGATAAGGCGCTATATGAAATGCAAGGATTATTATTAACAATAATAATTTGGTCAATCAATCCATTGTTTGGGGACATTGCTGGGTACAATTGGCTACCGGGAATCGCCCACAAAATACAATACAAAATTACTTTTGTATAGCGCCTTTCACGTCGGGAAAGGACGTGAAAGGAAAATATATAGGCAATTCACTTTACATTATATTCTGTGAAACACTTTGAGATGTCGCAAAGATGTAATAAGGCGCTATATCAAATACACAAATTATTATTGTTTTAGGAAGACTTTTGATTAAGACTAAATAGAAATTAAAATCCTACAGGAAGCTTAGTCCCAATACAAAGGTCGAATATGTAACAAAGGTTGGTTTAACCTTTCGACATCTTGAGCAACCGAGTGAAAAGCTTTGATCAGTATACAGGAATCAAATGTTGCACATCAACAAATGATTTTCATGTTTATTTTTTTAAGATGTGGTGAGATGCAAGAATAAACCGATTCCCTGTCAACTTAATTTTTTTATTGAAACAATCATCTATAAGACAGTATAAATATTCTGACTGTTCCTGATCACTGCCTGCAACCCACTAAAAATGCATCTACAGAACCTTAGACATTTTCAACACAGGAGGCCATTTAGTCCTTCGTGCCTGTCAATATATTTGGTGAAGATAGGACATTACTCATTGTCCAGGATCATATTCATAAGGACATCATGTGAGTGAGATACTGGGAAACAGCTGTTTGAGAAATTGTATCCCAGATTGTGTCACTTCAGGAGATAGGAATGAGGGAGAATATCAGAAAGTGGGGTGAGGCGTGGGTGGAGACTGTCTTACTGGACGGTCTTAGGTTTGTTAATTTGTCAAGCACGTTAGCAATTGGCCTACTGGAGAGCTGTAAATGAAGTGCTGTATATTTGTGGAGACAGCTTATCAAGAGCAAGTCTCCTCAATTTAAGTCTTTAGCTGCATTGATGTAATGAGCACCTTCTCTTCCCCCACGACCCAAATAGAAATGAGATAATCTACAAATGTAGCTCACTGTTTTAAGATTGACCAAAGCATTTTAATTTGGAAATCTGAATGCTATTTAAATCACATACTGAAATAAGTGTAGCCTCTCCCCACACTTACCCCTTTCTGGTGGGAAAAGGGACAGTTTGGTTAAAATAGATTTTTGAAATCTTGGGTCTTAATTTTTTTATATATTTGAATTTGAAGAAATGCACACTTTGCACTGCATCAAAATTTAACAATTTATTGTGATATCTAAAATTGCATATTTTACAAAAACTTGCATTTATGTATATTTCAAATACAAGCAGTATGTTGCTCCCCTATAACATTCAGGGAGATAATCTGTCTGATATCTGTTTGAATTGCATGATTTTATAACTTGTGGACTGCAGTCCTTGTCAAACCAAGCCAAGTTGATCTGGGAAATATGCCTGCTCTCCTAGATACTTGTGTGATATTGTATGATAAAGAATAACAGCAGCTAGATGTTTCAAGGATTGAGATCCAAAGGCTGATATAACATTGAGAAACTGCTCCAATTTCACTCACTAATGTCATCTTGACCCTTTGGTGTGTGATTGTTTTGTTGCCACACTCCATATCCTGTATTTACATACAATACAAATAGAGTCTCTACACTTTACAGTAAAACCTGTGAAGTGCTTTGAGAATTTCAAGGACAAAAGATGTTCTTTCAAGTATTTCTGAATATTTCTTACTGATTATACCAGTCAATTAAATTACTCAATCATAATGGATACTAATATAAATATTACAATTTCCCTTTCCCAAGTTTGTTTTAACAATAATACCCGGTACTTAAGAGCAATTAAGGGTGTGCCAGTGTTTCGGTAAACCATGTGAAAGCTACAATTCATGAGATCCTGGTGCAAAGTGATAAATAAAGGATGTGGTGAAGACAGCGCCCTTCGCTGTTTAACTGAGGAACTACATGGTCTAGACAACCAGATGCCTGTTGCAAGTCTTTTTTAAACAAACTACTCTTCCATTCATTTTGCTCATATTAAAATAAGGTATAATTAATACTTATATATAGATATATAGATATACAAAATGAACTATAAACTGAAATTCTGAAGTTGCGTAATGGAGAAAAAAAATAAGTAAGAAATTGCACTTTAAATAATTTTATGTGTCATTCAGTTGTGCCTATGCTAAAAAAGTAGTGTCTGCTCTGATATGGGATTAAAATTTCTCTGCATTTATTCAGTAAATATTTGTTAGCTGGATCCTAACTATTGTTTTCATTGATTAGTAACTCGTGGAGTCCTGTAGCTCAGTGGTTAGAGCACTCGCTTTGCAAGCAAGAGACCCGAGTTCAATTCCAGGCAGGGCGAAACCTTGGGCAAGTTTTCTTACTCCACACACAATAATAATCCCTCCAAAACCCAAAAAAAAAAAAAAAAATTGGTCATTTTCAATCTACAACTGTTTGTGGGACATTGCTGTGCGCAATTGGCTGCCGCGTTCGCCCACAAATATACAGTCAATTCACTTTACAGTGTGTTCTGTGAAGCGCTTTGGGACGTCCTCCCGATGTGAAAAGCGCTGTATCAAATGCAAGGATTATTATTATTATTATTGCTTGGTTCCATGGATCCATGCGTTTCGCCCATAAAATACGCAGTCACTATACTTTAGTGTATTCTATGCATTGCTTTGAGACGCCTCAACCATGTGATAAGGTGCTGTATTAAATGCAAATGCAAGGATTATTATTATCCTCTTTCAGAATACCAGTGTGAAAGGAAGCATTCAGAATATTGTCTATGGCTGAAGTCCTGCATTACATTGAGTTTAAATGGTCACTGTTGTTCTTGGACCAGTTTAGCTTTTACATAAGCTACAATATTTGCATCTAATTGTTATCAGAGTACCCATCAAATTCTATTTGATGTGATTTCTAGCCCAACCTTAATAGTGACCAGAACTCACTTGCAACTACTTTCTAGACATAAATCTTGTAGTTGTTTGCTGTATTTTGCATTTTATCCTGTGAAACACTTTGAGATGACCTCCCAACATGAATTGTGCTATATCAAATGTAAAGTTTATTATTATATTATCTCCAGGATCAACTCTGTGTGCAAAATAAATGTTGTGCAATTGGAATCTTATCCCTACTAGGTTTCATTTTGCCTCATGAAACTAATATGTGCCTTGCTGTAATGTGGGTTGGCTTATGATGTAATGAGATTGTTGTCACTGACATTTTCTTCCCTCAAAATCAAGTCATCCAAATCCTGTTATTGCGGGTTGTCAGGTTACTAATAATCTTGCTTTCTGTACAGGCTTGCTATGCGCAGGAAATGCTGCTTGTGTCTCTTTGCAGTTGAAATTGTCATTTGCTGTTGCTTGCGCATAGTGGCAACCTGACGACTCACAAGTCGGATGTTTTATCATGCCTCTTTATAACTTGGAGTCTGAAACATTAAACCCAGGCGACAGCGCGATGAAGGATTTCCCTGTATGAGCATTGTTCATTATTAAAGAAAGGTTAGATTTCATGCTGTACCTGATCCGGGTCTGTTTGATGTTGACACTTAGCCCAAAATGTTTTTGTTCTCTAAGCATTAATATCTGTAATTTGATGCTTAAACAAATCTAAATACAGGCACCAGTATTTTTTAGAATTACAAGGACTTTAAGGACAAGTTGAATTGACAATCTGCACCTTGGCATGTGTATAGGGTATTTCCAAAGAACGTTCAAGTTTTAAGATTGAAACCAGAGTTTTAAAAGCAATGACCTTGTGAGATGGACTGCCTCAGAAGGTGAAATATATCTTATGCGCTTTGAGACATTTTGACGATGTGATAAGATGCTGCATCAAATACAAGGATTATTATTGAGTAATAATGTCTGTTGCTTTGAAATGAAAGATCAATATCCAGCTTTGCAGAAAAAAAATTCATCAAAAAGTGCAACGAAAGCGGCAACCCCAAATCAGTGTCTTTGTAACCTTGTTCAATCTGAGCAAAAGCTTTAAACCAGGAACAGTGGGTGATGGCTTGGCACTGAAACAGTGGGAAGATTAAAATGGTCTGTTTGTAGAACAATGTGCACATTTAAATGCATAGTGGAGCTGACTGGCAATTTTGTGTTCCAATTTATTTTGCTGTGGATCCTAAGACTACTGGAAGTGGATTGTATAAAGCTTGCCAGCATAGTCTTTGCAATATAACTCGCTCCTTTCATGTATCCACATGAGAAATCAAAGTGTTTACATAGACTCAATGAAACAAAAAATGTTTTGCTATATTTTGACACAATGGATCACTTGACAACAATGTTGAATTCAGTAGGGATAATTAATGCTGTAATGAGACCTATTCTGTTAGTTTCATAAACCATGCCAATTCTTCCTCTAATTGCTTTCCAGGTTGGCAAGGGGTGCTGTGCTGCCCTAAAGGCAATGGGATCCATAGTGTATGTCACAGAGATTGACCCGATCTGTGCTCTGCAAGCCTGGTAAGGACCTGGAACTGGATTTTACAAGTGGCTTTGTTTGTGGTTAGTACTAAGGGATGCATAGGAAAGCCTGGGGTCTTTACTGAAAACACAGAAAGAGTTTATAAAGCATGAACATTTAAAAGGTTTTAATCTGTGTTCTGATTGTGGGGGGTGGTGGGGGAAAAAGAAGAGAAAAAGAGAGGAATTAATGTATTCCAGCAGCATGGTGACTTCACTATAGCCCATTCTCATTCAGCAGTTACCCGTTTCTTCAGTAACTAATGAGCTAAGTTACTATTATGTTCTAGTTAAAAAGTGTAACTAAATCATGTGGACTTTGTTCTTTATTTAGCTTAACTGAAGTTAATATGCATCTGATGAATACCTCAAGCAATCATTAGCCTGAACATAATGAGAGAGGTTGTGCTCGGTTCTGTACATCTGAGTCCATATAGGGTTTACTTAGAGTTACTTTCCCACCTAGGTTGTTAGTCGATTGGCAGATCGCTTTTCCAGATGTAATAATCCCTTTCCAAATAAATAAATAATAATATGGTCACTCAATCCACGACTGGCTGCTGCATTTCGTCCACAAAAGATACAGTCAATTCACTTTACAGTATATCTTTTGAAGCGCTTTAAGACATCTCGAAGACTCGATAAGGCACTATATCAAATGTAAGGATTATTATTCTAGTAGCGCTCTCTCTTCTGAGTCAGAAGGCGAGGGTTCAAGTCCCTCTTTGAGACTTTGAGCTCATCGCCTCGGCTACAAGTCTCCAACGTTAATCGTGATCAATTTCTTGGAGCGTCAGGGAGTGGCCACCAAACACCCGCACCAATATTTTGTTTTCAGTAGCTTCTGAGCCATGGTAAACTTGGTATGGCCATCAATGAAAATAAATTAAGTAAAGAAAAATGCATTTGCCTGGCCGGCCTACAAGTTTGGCTACCACTGGTCAAGGCTGATGTTCCCAGTGCAGTGCTGGGAAAGTGCTGCACTGTCAAAGGTATGAGAGGTGAAACTGAGTTCCTGTCTTCCTGTTTGACATTTAAGATCTCATAGCATATTTGGAAAGAGAAAGGAGTTTCTCCTGGTGTCTGCCAAACAATCTTCCAGATAAAATTGGTCACTCACCTCATGGCTTATACAAATTGCCTGCCACGTTTGCTTACAAATACGTAGTCATCACACATTGTAGTTAATCCTGAGATATATCAATGATGTGATGAGACTGTATAAAAAATGCAAGAATCCTGAATATATAGTCTGTATATTTTCTAAATGGAGACCGGATTTTGTTCAGTGATTCTGTCTTCTCATAGTTTGGCAACATTGTGTGTTCAGAGGAGAATAGCACTGCTTCATTAAATATTGAGTTTGCTGGCTCCAATATCCATGAAAATCTAAGTTTGGAAGATTAGATGATTGGAATTTGGCCAGGGCAGATAGAGAGATGCAGTTAAAATTTATTAAAGAATCCAGAATTTTAAAAAAAAGTAAAACAAAGTAGCAGAATAAGTTAGAACGGAAGTGTACTGATCTGCATATCAACCAGATGTATCTGGACATGAGTGCAGGACAGCAGAAAAATCCTAATCGCAGCCCATTGTAAAAGTTGATGGGTGTGTGAAAGAGAACTGCCATCTTGAATCTTCTTCTTTGTGTGAATTAAATAGTCATTGACTTTGGGGCAGGGAGCGAGATGAGCATTTAACAAAATAATGTCTTTTAATCTTTCTTTTTCAAGCAGCTGTCAGCTTTAAAACGAATTGCGATTGGGATTTTTTTTCTTTCTGTTTGTTTTCGTTAAAATTTCTTTGCCAAGACTCTTGGCTTCCTATGTGAAGATCTATGTACTCTTTTTCTGTGTTTTTTTTTCCTCGAGGTTCCCACACTGCCTTGCTGTACTGGCAGTACCAAAACTGTGAATGGAGCTTCTGAGTTTGTGTTGAATGGAGCAGTCCATCAAACTCACAGCTCTGGCCTTCCTGCTATCCCACTCTCCAGTATTACCACATCTACCAATTAAATGCCAGGTTTCTTAAAGGGGCAGCGCACCTGGTAAGAACAACTTATATTATATTGGCCAGAAAGCCACACAGCAAATTGACAGGTAGACGCATATCTATTTATAATCCTTAAGCAGTCTGTCTGTTACTACAGCAAACACTGCTGTGTGGTGACAAGTGTCAATCAGGACACAACGTAAGCCGTTGCAAGCAGGACACAACGTAAAGCACGTGCAGTTGTCATGCAGTTCTGAGCATGTTTTTTTTTAAAAAAGCACATCTGTTGAAAACCATTATCAGTGGTTCAAATGAGGCCCACCCAGGGCCCTTTTTAGAAACATTTGCATGGTAAGGTAATGGAGGTGTTATAAATGCAGCACTGCAATGCAGTATGGGCATCCAAATGTTCCCAATATTCCTGAAATGTAGAGTTAAAAATTTGGAAGAAATGAAAAGGGAGAAGGAGGATTCTATATTTGTAAGAAGTTCTAAAGAACTAAAAGGGCCAGCAAACCTGTATGTATTTGATTCTTAATCTATCCTCTCACCATATCTCCCTCCCTCCCGCTCTAGAAACCCTAGTTGTTTCTTGTACCTACTTTCCTGCCTGTGTCAATGGTCTTTCCTGTAATTGGTTCTGAAAGTCTATTACGATATTTGGCTTACTAGCATTGTAAAATTCAAGGACGGAAACCTTGTTTGACTGAAATTATAGATAATTAATCTGTTTTCAGGGAATGGAACTAGAGTTTGATGCTCTTCACTCTTTCAATTTCCTTTTGCATTACTCTTTTGGGATCTGTCATTGCAAAAAGTGGAGTCTTCAAGGAATGTTCTCATTTGCTGTCATTTAATCCTTCTGGACACAGAGTATTGCGATATAGGGAAACTAGATTTATTTCTAATTGATCACTGTATCAGTTACTACACCTAGTCAGTGTTTTTACAATTATTATTCTCCGTGTAGTTGGGTTTTCCTCATCTTTAAAAGACTTATGGAGGAAAGTAGTCAACAATGGATGAAGCTGGACAGGAACAGAAAGGCTTTGCAATCTCGGAGTGTACCTCTCTTGTGGTAGTTTTTAAATTGGTGAGTTTTTAATGACCAAAAATGATAGTGATAGGTAAATGATTTTTTTTCACTTTAGCTCCCACATTTGATGAACATGATTTGATGCAGACTAAAAGGTCTGTCTGTTCGCCTGTTCGCCTAACCTTAAAGAAAATCTGCTGTTGCATCTGATATATATTCCTACATTGCATCTTGTATAGAAAACGTAATAACTGGTCATTTATGGAGAATTTCAGGATCTTTACAGCTAGCTGATCGAGAGGGAGAGAAACACTCAACCTGAGCCTCCGACTGGGGGGTGAAAGGACAGTGTATTGATCCACTATCTCAACAAGTTATTTAGTTTTAGCAAAATCCACTTTAGCTTTCTTTGATGGCTGTGTGTAAATGCACAGCGTGGTTTAGTACTGAACCATGAAGATTAGGCAGATACTTAACTAGCTTCCATCTCTGGTGTGCTGAGCCAACTGATGTCTGCCAGGTCAGTGGTGGGTTATTACTAATGACCTCAGCCATCTCAGCTTGGGAGAGGGAAATTGACCATGACAATCACTATGCACACACATACTTGTGCAGATTAGTTTAAGGGATTGGCTGTGATGTCCCCTGGTGGAATTTACATTTAAATTCCTTCCAGCATTTGCCCATGTAGACGTGCACTTGACTAACTACCTTTGGGACCAAATACCAGCATGACTCTTAGGAGGGAAGACAAAAATGCAGTTCGATACATCAATGTACTGTGTGGAACGACAGGAATGGATTACAGCAATGATTCTCAGACAGGAATTTCTAATCTAATGTGTGTATCTTGATACACCTCAACTAGACAATAGACATTTCTTTGCATGGAGGGAAATTGGCATTTGAGAACACTAGATTGCTTTTGAGCATGTACAGCAATAGGTATGGGTAGAGATGCAAGAACTCCTAGATATGCACCTCTTTTTCCCTTCTCCCCCCCAAAAAAAAATCTGTCATATCTTATTTTTCTTGCTCTTCTTGCTTTCCTTAGTGATCCCAATGGTAGTGGTGGCTCTACTTAACAGAGAGGCTTCGGAAAGGAGATTACCGCAGTGCCCCACTGCTCCATTTCTGCCACTCCATCCTGCTATTTCTGCTACCCATAACAGTTCAGCATCCGACAGATGGCGTCCATTGGTGCTCTTCCGCAGAATAAGCTAACTGTGGTCAAGATCGTAATTGGAAGGAAAAGTACCGAGCTGTAGGCAGTCTTGGTTCTGAAATCCATTGTCAGTGTGATTCAACCCATGTTCCCATCTGTGTATTAATGCACTTTTGCTATTGCTTTGCAGTATGGATGGATTCAGACTTGTCAAATTGAATGAAGTCATAAGACAAGCTGATATTGTCATAACTTGCACAGGTAAAGTTTTTTTTAAACAACAAAAACAGAGTATTTGTTTTCATTTCTACCCCTCTGGATTAATGACAGAAACGTTGGAAGAAAGCCGATGAGAATGACATTTGCCTACACCAATTGAAGGCTTATTAATTATTTTAACACGTTGTGACATTGCATATGTGATCCCTGCATTTTATAAAAGGAAAGAATTACCTTAAATAGAAAACAAATCATAGATGAACTGTTAGTCACTTCAGGGCTGTTTGTTGGAAATTGATGTGGACAAAATGGCTGCCATGTTCATCTACAAAACATACAATAAATTCTGTGAAGTGTTTTGTGATATCCTCCCAACATGAAAGGTTCTATATCAATGTAAGGATTTAAATGCATTTGATTGAACCAAGAAATTATTGCACATTGCATTTTGATCGAGTCAAGTGTTCATTTTTTTCTTTGTTACTTACAGTATTTATTTAGAATACTGTTTAATTCTTTGTGGCAAAATCTGATTTTAAAAACCAAAGAAGTAAATGGTTTGACAGTAGTACAGCTTCACATTGAAAATATATCAATGCTTATTTGTGTTCCATATTTCATCAGAAATAACACAATTAGTTAAGGAATGCATATTGCTAATTTCAGAGGCCGGGTAGAACAATATAGCCTTTCCCTCTACGCAATTGCAATTTCTAAATCATGTGCATAATGCAATGTGTTTACAGGCCCACATCTGTGTTAGCGTTGAGAGGTTTAATTCTCTGTTTCACTTGTTTTTAGGTAACAAAAACGTAGTGACCAGGGAACACCTGGATCGCATGAAAAACGGTTGCATTGTCTGCAATATGGGACATTCCAACACTGAGATTGATGTGGTATGTAACTGGGGGGTTAGAACAAATTACATACTTAAGTGAGTTAGAATAGATTCATAAAACATAATTGTATGCCTATTTTTTTCTGATTTCCTTTCCTGTTCTCCCCATATCTTATGAAGGCATGGACTCATGACAAATTATTTCAATAGTCATTACAGTGACCACAGACTATCACAGCCAGTGCTGATCCACAAGTGCAAAGCTATTGAGCATGAACTCATTTTTTTCCTCAACCTCCAGTTATTTAGATGAAGTGTACAAGGACAAACTCATCGACGGATTCAAACAATATAATTCATTTAATGTGTTGCTGCCTTGTGACACTTCCTATGTACTGTTTAAGGATAACTGCAACCGCAATTAGCAAGCCTGATTATCCATGTAATCAGGAACAAACAATCCGCTTACCCGCTTAGGAGTCCTGTAGCTCAGTGGTTAGAACATACGCATTGCAAGCAAGAGATCTAGGTTCGATTCCCGGCCAGGTGGAACCTTGGGCAAGTTTCCTTACTCCACACGCCTGATGATAATCCCTCAAGAAAAAAAATAATAAAATTGGTCACTTCAATCCATGACTGTTTGTGGGACGCTGCTGTGCGCAATTGGCTGCCGTGTTTGCCCACAAATATACAGTCAATTCACTTTACAGTGTGTTCTGTGAAGCGCTTTGGGGCGTCCTCCCGACGTGATAGGCGCTATATCAAATGCAAGGATTATTATTATTATATTTGAGACATCTAGAAGATGTAAAAAACATAATATCAAATGCGAGGATTATTATTATTATTTACTTGCTCAACTGAGCTCCCACTCTCCCCCCACCACCCACCCCCCCACAGGCAGAGATTTGAATTTTGAAGCTAGCCGCTTAAAATAAACCACCAGCTAAGACTATTAGGAGAGAATATTATGCTCCAGCTGAACTTTGTACCCCCATCACACCAGTCCTTGCCAAGCTCCACTGGCTCCCTATCACAGAACAGATCAGTCTCATTCATCTGCAAATCCCATTACCCCTTGGCACCTCCCTACCTTTGTGACCTGCTTTCTCCCCACACTGCTACTCACTGCCTCCTGGGTCTGGCCTTGTCCCTCGTCACCTCCACTCGATCGGTGGCCGGGCTTTCAGCCACTACGCTCCCAAGCTTTGGAACTCTCCCTCAACCCTTCCGTCCTGCTCTCTCTTTTAGATCACGACTGAAGACCTTCCTCTTCAACTGTGCTTATGGTTACTTCCCCCCCACCTCCCCCAGGCTCGACATCAGGCTCCAAGATACTGCCCTACGTGAAGGCTGCTGTATAATTGCAAGTTGTTGTTAGACCTGTTAGACTATAGAAAGGAAACAGAAAGACTGCACAAAATGCTTTCTATGCTCTGCAAGAAATGTTTTAGTAATAAATAATACAATTTTAAAAGCAAGAGAGAGAAAGATAAACCCACTCCAAACAGTAGTATCACCTACTCAAACAAAGGCCTGTAGTAACAATAAGAAGGGAATTCTGGATTGAAATACAACCGGTAATTTTAGATTATTAATTTGAACACTCACAATGAGATAATTATCTTGAATCCTTCCATGGTTAATAGCCGCTCAACAATTTAAATGTGTTGAACTGAATAAGGATAGTTGCCATCTAGTGGACTAATATTTTCACCAGAACGCAAAAGACTGCTGAATATCACTGCTACAATCTCATTATATTAATATTTTAATTGTCTTCTCTCTCCTCCCCCCCCCCCCCCCCCCGATATTTAGGCTAGCCTTCGAACCCCGGAGCTCACCTGGGAGCGTGTGAGATCACAAGTGGATCATGTAATCTGGCCAGATGGAAAAAGGATTGTGTTGCTGGCTGAGGTAATGGAAATACAAAGTGGATTAATTAAATAAATACTAGTTTGTTCACCAGTTGTTTGTAGGATTTTTAAAAAAATTGCTTTGAACGGATATTCAGGATGTCTTAGTGCTTGTAATCTGACTCATTAGGCTGTTTTTCAGGCTGTTGGCAGGTTCCTTCATCTTCCCTTAAGGTCACCAAACTGCTTCAGTTGTTCAAGATGCTCTTATGATACAAATTGAGAGATTAATATCTTCTTAGTCCAACTGAATTATGGCTCTAGACGTGTATCTTTTTCCCCCATTTGTTTGTAGGACACTGCTGGTGCAGAAACAAACTATCACACATGCTTACATGACAGAATTCTACACTATATACAATTTTGTTATTGATTTCAGATGATCAGGCCAATTTAGCAGTTAAATTTAGACTACCTCTGCAGTTACTACTTCAAACAAATGAGATGTCTTTCGCCTCTTCAAATTTATCTCCAGATTCAAATTAACTGGCTGCTCATTGCATTATTTATGGGGCATTACTGGCTCACATTATCAGAAATAATACACAAAATACACAATCATTTCACTTTATAGTATGTTCTGTGAAGAGGTTTGAGACATCTCAACGATGTGATGAAGCTCTATGTCAAATCTAAGGATTATATTTTATTACTATCTGACTTGTCTGCCTGTATTCCCACCCTCTGTCACCAACCTCATCCTATCCTTGAAACCCACCACCTGGACCCCATCCCCACTCCACTCCTTATCTCCCAGCTCCACCTCCTCGCCCCACTTCTCACAGACACCATTAACCTGTCCCTCTCCTCTGGCTCTGTTCCCATTCCCCTCAAAACTACCACCATCACTCCCACACTGAAAAAACCCTCCCTTGATGCGTCGCAGCTATCAAGCTACCGACCCATCTCCAACCTCCCCTTCCTGTCCAAGGTTCTTGAAAGAGTCGTCGCCTCCCAGCTACGCTCTTTCCTCTCCACCCATTCACTTTTTGAACCCCTCCAGTCGGGTTTCCGTGCTGCCCATAGCACGGAAACCACCCTGGTTAAGGTCACTAATGACATCCTGACCATCTGTGACCAGGGCTCCCTCTGCCTCCTTGACGTATCGGCCGCATTCGATATGGTCGACCACTCTATCCTCCACCGCTTGTCCTCCCACCTCAACCTTCAAGGCCCTGTCCTTGAGTGGTTTAGGTCCTACCTTTCCCACCGTCTTCATTTTGTTTCCACTGACTGCTTTTCCTCCACCCCCCGCACTGTCTCGTGCGGCGTCCCTCAGGGCTCTGTCCTCGGTCCCCTCCTCTTCACCCTCTACATGCTCCCCCTTGGTGACATCATCCGCAGACATGGGGTTAACTTCCACATGTATGCGGATGACACCCAACTCTACCTTTCCTCCTCTACCCTCAACTCCACGACCCCCGATGTCCTGACAGCTGCCTGTCCGACATAGAGTCCTGGATGAGAGACAACTTTCTTCAGCTCAACGTGCGCAAAACTGAGGCCCTCCTGATTGGCTCGCGTCAGCGCCTCCGCACCTCAGGCGCTGACAGCATCAGCATCCAAGGCTGCACTCTCCACCTCTCAAAGCCATCAGGAACCTCTGTGTTCTGTTCGACCCTGAGCTGTCCTTTCTTCCCCACATCCGCGCCACAACTGGCACCACCTTCCATCACCTTTGGAACATCGCCAGACTACGGCACTACCTCACCCCTCACGCTGCTGAAACTCTGGTCCACGCCTTTATCACCTCAAGGCTGGACTATAGGAGCTCTCTCCTCGCCGGCCTTCCCGGCACCTCCCTCCACAAGCTGCAGGTCATTCAGAACTCTGCAGCTCGTGTACTGTCCCGCACCAGGCTTCGGGACCACATCACTCCCACCCTCGCTCGCCTCCACTGGCTCCCCATCCCCCAGAGGATCGAATTCAAGATCCTCATCCTCACCTACAAGGCCATTCACGGCCTTGCTCCCTCCTACCTCTCCGACCTACTATCCCCCTACTTACCTGCCCGTACCCTCCGTTCCTCTGGCTCCGGTCTGCTCCACATCCCCCGCCCCAACCGCCCTACCATCGGTGGCCGGGCCTTCAGCCTCTCAGCCCCGAGGCTCTGGAACTCCATCCCCCAGTGCCTTCGCCGCCTCCTCCCTTTCCTCCTTCAAGGCCGGTCTCAAGACCTTTCTCTTCAACCGTGCCTTCACCTCCCTTCTCAACTCTCTACCCCCTCCTCGCTCCCTCCCTTCCCCCTGACCATTTCCCCCCAATGCTCGGGTCCCGACCCAACTGTACAGCGCCTTGGGACGTCCTCCCGACGTGAAAACCGCTCTATAAATGCAATCTTGTTGTTGTTGTATCGCAACATTTCATTTCTAAACAATTCAAGTGCTTTGACACTCTTCATTTGCGGAACATGCTGTATAAATGTAAATAATTTATCATGCGCTCAGTATTGTTCAGACTGGAGTGAAAGCATTTGCAGCTCAAGTTGATCCTGTTTTATTTTTGCTTTTCATCAGGGGCGACTGCTTAACTTGAGCTGTTCCACAGTTCCTACATTTGTGTTGTCTATCACTGCCACTACACAGGTAAGGAGAGTTAACATTCACCTTGTGTTTTACAGCACTGTATCAGCATTTAGTTTAGAAACGAGGTTTTATTTTCCATGCTGCGTTACCTAGCTGATTCGACAAATAAAATGACCCCCAAGACAATAGTGAAAATTTTATTCCTAACATTTTTTAAAAAAAACAGTTACTTTTCATGAAGTAGTTATGTATTTTACTCTTTTTCACTGTAATACTGCAATACTGCAAGGATTATATCCAGTATAATGGTTATGTTAATCTTAATAAAGCTTTGGAATGTGTCTGATTTCCCCCTTCCCCCATGTTAATGGGATATAATGCTGAGAGATATTTTCTGTTGGGTTTTCATGTTGACTTTCATGGTAATTCTATGTTTTAGGAAATAGCACAACTTTTAGCTTCAAATCAAAACTTCATTCCAAGCAAATCACATGACCATATTTAAGAACTTGTCTTAAAATCAAAAGTTACTGAAATTCAATTTCTGTTATTTTTATTTTTATTTCTTTGAATATTTAAACAGCAAATGCTGCATTGCGAGCTTGAAAGTGGCTGGTATTTATAGAGAGTGTTGTTCTGTGGCTCTGTTTCTATGGCTCATTGTGAAACAAATAGTACATAAGATTTTACAAGATGTTTTTCCTCTTTGAAGCCAGAACCTCAACATTGCAGAATCACTTGGTATCATGCAATTCTTACATACAACTTAAACGATCACTCACCCAATACAAAATTTGAAATACAAAACGTCCCTTAAAGGTGCTAATGAAAATAAGTTTAGGGAGAAAGAATTGAATAAATATAATACTGTATTTGCCTACTAAGTGGACCTAAAGGAATAAAGCACATCTCTTCTTTGATGCATTCTCTTCTCCAAATAAATATTGTATGGAACAGGTATCCAAAGTGTGGACACATTTTCTGGAGTGTAAATGTTGAATCTCTTCACTTTGTGATTTGGGCTTTACAGTGTATTCTGTGAAGCGCTTTGGGATGTCCTCCCGACATGAAAAGCGCTATATCAAATTCAAGGATTATTATTATTATTATTATTATTATTATTGGGCTGTTTTCATCCCATCAGAATACATCAACCAGGGGCTTAAAGTTCAGTGAGGCTGATTGAATCAATATTTAGTGAGTTTACAGTCTGAAAAGGCAGAGATAGGATCAAGAGGTTTCTGGAATCACTGAGAGTCCTCAGTTGTGCCATTAATTAGATCCAATGGGACTGATCAGTTTCCCTTCAGTGAATAGGAGTGTGACGACACAGCATTACTCACATGATGTTTCAGGAGCTTTCTTGATGGCTCATTGTTTTTTTCTCGTAGTTGATCTGCACCGACATGTTTGATCCTCAGTCTGTGTGGTTAATGTATCTAGGACAGTGCAGCAGTAGAGGAACTGCAATTCATCTAACACTGTAAGGGAAGAAGTAAATTCATTTGGGTTCCTGTTTTTGCTCGCAGTTCCAGCAACCCATTGAGACCAATTATAGCACCTGACTGTTGCCTCATCAGCTAACTCAACAGGACTGAGATTCTAGCCTACAGACTTCCAGTCGTATGGCAGAGTAGTGGGTTTACCGTCTATGCTATTGATCATGGTGTAAAACAAGTATGCCTTTGTGCTAAGGTTGCATAAAATACAGATGTTTTCCTTCAGATTACTTTAAGTTTAAATAACTATGTTATTAAAAAACTTTCTTATGGACGAATGTTCTAGTTGAAGCTCTTTGAGTTCTTTCTTCTTTCCAGTTAATGAATTAAGGGCTTCTTGAGTGTGTTACTGGTGTTGTGTTTACACTGGTGACGTATGACTACACACTGGAAAATCTCTCCCCCTGAAAATGTAAGGACTAGTTTAATTTGAGAACAGTGTAGTGGGAAGAGGAACTGGAAGCATTGAGCTTTCATAACTGGAAGTTAATTTGCCAGTGAAATATTTGTCCACCAAAGTTTGGCAGTGTTGTGTGGTTTTGCCCTTCCAAACTTTGTGCATTAAACATCTAGACTTTTATCTTCCTTTCTCTTCTGTTACCCCCCTACCCGCCCCTTTCAATTATCCATGCTTGTAAAATGTTCTCTATATTTCATTTATAAATCCACTTAGGAATTGGAGAGATTATCTAGACCTCTTTTCTTTGTTGTCTCAGGCGCTGGCAATGATAGAGCTGTACAATGCCCCTGAGGGTCGGTACAAACAAGATGTCTATTTGCTGCCTAAAAAGATGGGTAAGTTCCAAAATATATTCTACTGGCAAAGTAAGACATCCCATAGCGTAGGGATCTTGCAAGCGAGAGGATCCGGGTTCGATTACCGGCCAGGGCCAAACCTTAGGCAAGTTTCCTTACTCCACATGTCTCTGTTTGCCAAGCAGTAATTAGGAATCCGGTTGTTAGTTGATTGGCGGTTCATTTTCCAGGGATAATAATCCCTCAAAATAAATTTAAAAATTTGATCATTCGATCCACCACTGTTTGTGGGACACTGCTGTGCGCAATTGGCTGCCATGTTTCGCCATGGTAGCCTTTGCTATTTTTCTAGGTGGTTTTTTATGAGCTTAAAATATAACATTAACTTGTCTTTTAGATGAATATGTGGCGAGTCTTCATCTGCCCACATTCGATGCACATCTCACGGAATTGTCAGATGAACAGGCAAAGTATCTGGGTTTGAATAAGAATGGTCCTTTCAAGCCAAACTATTATCGGTAAGATGGAGGACAAAAACATCAGTATTTTACCTTTTGTGGGTAGCCGCTTCCCCGCCAAGCAGATATTTAATTTGAACATAATAGGGGAGCGCTCTTACAGAACATCTGAGAAGAGCAAAGTTGACATGAACGTAATCAAGGGTGGATTTTGCTATATATTCTTGGCAAATTGTTTTAGCATTTATCAAGGTGAGGAATTTTTTTTGTATCCAATGATGGCACTACACGTAGATTGTTTGGAAATCCCATCTACTGATTGCTGAAGTTTGCAGTAGTACTATGTGAAGTGGTGTAAAAACAAGTTATTAATGTGAAGCCCCTATTTAATGATTTTCCTTATACAATTTATTTAAAATCATCACATAATCTTTGATTCATTTTAGATTCTGCCTTTATTTTAGGATGTAGACTGAGCACTCTGTTGTTGCTATTTCAAACAAAATAAATGTTCCCACTTATCCTGGTTTAGATTTCCACCCTACTCCCAAATTATTTGATTGCTCATCTCATTATTGTCTACACAATGTTGCTGACGCATATTATCTGCTGCATTCGACTGTATAACATTCACTTAATATCTGCTGAAGGTTAAAATTTCCTACACACCAGTGATGTAACAAGGCAATAGGTTAGAGCCCCCTTCCCCTTTACCATCTGCTCGGGTTCTGTCTCCCTGACTAAGCGTATGTGTTTTGCAGCTATATCGAAATTAGGACTGAGAGAACCCAAATTGTTCATCACCAATTGCACCATTGTAGTTACTCCATTGCTACACATATTTAAGCCAAAACCATTAAGTGTTTGTGGGTTTAATATGGAGCGAGGTAAATTACTAGTAAAGCTACCTGGTGTTACATGTCTGTTTATCATGCCAATCCTCCTTGCTACCTCTCTGTGAGACTGCTCATTTGTGCCAAATGTCAAGCAGTTTTGTGCTCTGGGTTCATGTCCACTGGGACCTGGGTCACTGGTGAAATCCTGGTCCAGTCTTGGCTGCAGTGAACAATGATTTGGAAACTGAAGTCTGGGGAAAAATGATTTGTAATAAAATGCTAAAAACGTTTAGAACATTGTTTTACGACAATTGCCATGGTATTTATCGAATTGTCTTCTTACGAGCAATAAAATGTATTTTGGAAATGTCACTGACGTGTTGTTCTCCCTAGGTATTAAATGCAAAGAGCAGAACAAGAGGAAAGCCTTTCATCACTACTGTACAGGATCAAAACCTCTGATTTGGAGCTGGCCTTGATTAAGTAGTTTTAAATGTTAGTCATTTATTTATTTAAATGTATAAACCACGGCTGATGGGTTCTATTGTACTAGAAGATGAAAAATAATTCAAGTTTTTTTTCTTCTAATGCTGTAGTTTTTTTCTCAAACCAATCCTTTAGTGTCATTCTAGGTGTTAACCAACTAGAGGAAACCATAGAAAAATAATCAAACCTTCAGCTGATTTTAAAGTTTAAGGTGCACATATTCCAGTCTTATTTTGGTTAGTTTTTTTAATTTGTATTTTTCAAGGAAATGGGGGGAGGGCAAGAAGCAGTTAAATAATTCAGACTTGAGATTTCAAATGGTTTTATGTAATTCTTTAGAGCTTCAAAAATAGTTGTGTGGGACTAAGAGCAAATGAATTGCTCGTCAAATATAATTTTGCAGCATTTAATTTGGGGATTTAACTGCTTGGAGATTGAAGTGTAGAATTGGGTCTAGAAGATGAGGTGCTGAATTGGTGTTGTTGGATAATATAGCAATTACGATTCATTCTTTACAAGACTGCTCTTCTGGACTTGTATCCCATTCTTGCCTTGAAACTCAGTCTCACTCATTGCAAACATGAGTTCCCTTTGTCCTGCACTGTACACTGGAACACTAGCTTCCCATCAGTGGAACATCTTAACCCTGGAACATGGGAAGTTAAACATTGGATATCAAATATATTTTGCAGCCAATTCATCTGCTTTTATTTCTCTTTGTTTAAATGGGTCCATGCTTACTTTGTAGAACTAGATCTGGCTTACCTCTTCAGAAACAGGAAGCTGTATTTTAATTCAACCATTTTTAAATATGGGATGGAAAGAAAGGAAAAAGCAGTCCATTTCTTCATAATCATTTGGTGTATAAGTTTGGTAACTATGAAAGATGGTATGTCATGTTTTATTTCAGAGTGTTTGTAAGTTTTCTCCTCGTCGAGCCTTCAAAATGGTACTTATTAGAACAAATGTAAACTGTTAACTCACCCCTACCAATATTTTGTCAGGATACATTAGGACAAGCAAACACACACTGCACTGTTTAAATAAAAGATTTGCATTATCTGTTTAGGGTTCCAAAAAAAAGTCTTGGTCCCATGTATTCTTTTTTAATTGTCAGCGTCCTCCTCATACTAAGATTGAGATGCCCAAAAATACTGAAACATTGGGAAATCCATACAAAGTAACAGCTTCTCTGTAATTGTGATGTTGACAGAAGGCCCCACAAAGCTTTCAGATCTCTGCTCTATACAATAGTTCATATTTCCCTACCAGGGGAAATGTTCAGATCTTGGAAATGGCATTGTACTGCAATTGGGTGTCTCCAGTGTCTTGACAAGACATGACTCAAGTATACGTCAAATAGGTTGAACTGCTTTGGCATGAAAGAGGATTGGACTGGGTCTTGTTGCTAACAGGAAACTGGTGAGAATCCTATTATTGTAGATGGGGTTGAGCTACCACATACCTTTCTTCCCAAATTGGGAGTAATTTGAGATACTCCAAGACCTCAGTATTCTCGTAACCAAAAACTTCCACCAGTACCAATTGATCCCGTGATAGATTGTACTGGGGTAATCAGTTCACACAACAACACATCTCCAACTTGTGCCTTGGAGATAGGGCTATGACCCTGGCAACATGCCTAATAACTTTAGGGACTGTTATACTTTGGGGAGACTTGACTCTATGTGATCCTTTTCTTGAGCTGGCTGGAGTTAAACTTGTGGCAACAATCTCACAGGTATCTGTTGTCCCGTCTGTCAGGCCTCTGCCTTACACATGAAGGGCCAATCCTAGGGAACAGTTCTCTCAGTGGGGTTGGCAGAATTTAAAAGCATACTTGCATGAATAGGGATGCATATTGAGTGCAAACGGATCTAGGTCCAGTGGAGGTCAGTGGCACGTCTACGGGCTTGAAGTTTGGTTAATGTATTAATAATATAATGTGGGTGAACACTTGCAGATTCCGATTATATGGCAAATTACTGTCTGAACAAACAAATATCATAATCTTTCACTCTGTCTGTAAAGTGGGATCTTGTCACAATTTTGATTGATGAAATGGTCATTAGGTCACAGATTGAATATTGGGTTACTCCAGATTACTTACATTTGAAATTATTTTGTAAATGAGTCCTGGCATCTGGACTGTCTGCTTCCCTCACTCCCTCCCAACCCCCCACCCACCCCTTTCATTTGTTGCCTCTAACATTGTTCAATATCCCTTGTAGGTACAGAATCCCAAGTATGAAGAATAAGATTACTTTGTAGGATCTTCATTCTTCAAATCAGGATGATTTGACAATTAGAGAGCCACTTATGTGTGTGTGTGTATGTATATATATATATATATAATGCCGAGTCTGAGCTAGGCAATTGGCTGCCACATTTCGCCCACAAATAATAGTCAATTCACTTTACAGTATGTTCTGTCAAGCACTTTGAGACGTCTAGAAGACGTGAAAAGCGCTATATCAAATGCAAAGATTATTATAAGTGGGGTGGTTTCTCCTGTTATTATTTACACTGCCATTTCAACCATCTTTGAGGGAAGCTTTCCCTTTTGGTAGATTCCCCAGTGTTTCAGTATTGGTGTGAACCTCAATCTCGTGTAGTTTGGAAGATTCCCTCATTTTGAAGAACGAAGAACATCCTACAAGGTATGTAATCTTCCTTTTCCATGCGCTGCTACTTTTTCTCCAACTCGATGCTTCTCACACAATCACAGCGAGTTATAACAGTTCATATTTTCTAATTTTTAGTTGTGGGAGGGGAGAGAAGCTTGTAATTATATGATGAATAAAGTTTGAGAAAGATAACACCAGCAACCTGTTCAACAGAGCAGAGGAATAGACTTTTAAGGGAAAAATAATAAATCAGTTATTTACCTACACAAACTGACAGTTTTGAATTGAGAAACATTTTAAAGTACTGTATTAATGGTCAAGTATTGTAGTAGATGAGCAATAATGAATCTGTAATCTTAAGAAAAACACAAATAAAGTGTTGAATCATTCTTGCTTTGTCATTTTCTTTATTTCAAAATCGAAAGCCTAGGTCACAGTGGTCCAACTGGCAGCCCACATCCATCCTGTGGGCCAATTTCATCCGCCCTCTCCCTCCATTCCATCTGGCCCCACCTGCTCCTTCCATAACATGGAAATGTTATGTTTCTAGAAGGGAAACACAAGAGTATTGCTTATGTGGCCTGTGGACATTTCTCAAATAGGGCATCCGGCCCAAAACAGCCAAAAGGTTGGTGTAGCCTGGCCTGAGTAAAGGGTTTCAGGACATCATTGAAAGAATACTCTAACGCTTGCATTTGATGTAACATCTAAACATCAGCGTCTCAAAGCACATCACAGGTAATTGCTGTCAAGTGTATTAACTGCATTTGGCAGGCAGTTTGTGCACAGTATGGCCCCAGCCTTGAAGTGAATGACCACTTTCTCTGAAGGATTGCTGGCCAGGACAGCAGTAGAAACAATCTTGTAGTCCTCCCACCAATACTGCACTGGTTTGTCAACAACTGGTGCACTTGTAGAGGGTCTTTACAAGATGAAATGTCTCAAAGTGCTTTATAGAGACTGAGTGGAGCGTGAGAAGAGTGGGGATACCGAAGGTGCAGTCAAAGAGGTATGTTTTTAGAGGGGCTTTGAAAGTGATTTGGGGACAGAGTTCCGGAACGTACGAGTAAAGTACAAAAGTTTGCCCACTCATGGTGGGACAGAGTGGACAGGAGAAGTGGAATAGGCCATACATAGTTAGTGCTACAGTAGGATAGAGCACTCTGAATGCTAACCCACATGAAGGGCGTATATAAAATGCAAGTTGTTGTTTCTGTAGAGCCGAGGTCCCCAACTGGTTAATCGCACCGAGGTATGGAACCACACATGCTAAATAAAAACGAGAGGAAGTAGTGATATTTACCATAGCTTAAACAAAGTTGACATTTTTATGTCGAGATGCACGACACACTTCCTGCATCTGGCATCAGTTTTCAATTGGACAAAATGCGCAATTCTATCACTCCTTCCTCTTAGTAACCACGAGAGTGCCACCGAGCTGTGATGGATGGCTGGAGACCCATACTGTAGAGGCAATAAGACTGCAAGAGTTCACAAAGGCAGAGTGGGGATCAGATGTGAAGCCATTTGAAAGTTGGAGTCCTGTAGCTCAGTGGTTAGAGCACTCGCTTTGCAAGTGAGAGACCTGAGTTCAATTCCAGGCAGAGGGCGAAACCTTGGGCAAGTTTCCTTACTCCACACAGAGCCTAATAATAATCCCTCCAAAACCAAAAACAATAATAAATTGGTCATTTTCAATCTACGACTGTTTGTGGGACATTGCTGTGCGCAATTGGCTGCCGCGTTCGCCCTTCTGTGAAGCGCTTTGGGATGTCTCCTGACATGAAAAGCGCTATATCAAATGCAAGGATTATTATTATTATTAGTTAGAATGAGTCTTGTTTGTCAATCTGCTATGGAACTGGGAGCCAGTGGAGCCTGATGAGGATTAACCTGTGGAGTTAGGTACATGTCAGCCTGGACGGGTAAGATCAAAGTCCCCACATCGGCCTTGAACCTACAATCTTCTGACCCAGAGGTGAGAGCACTCGCAAGTGAATGGCCCAAATAAATACATTTTTTAAAAATAAATCCACACTGCATTTTTTTAAAAAATCCTTATACATTTGGAGGATGCCTCACAGCGCATCACAGGATATACTATAAAGTGAGTGACTACCCGGATGTGTTTTGTGGGTGAACACAACGGCCAATATTGCGCACAGCAATTTTCCACGAACAGCAATGAAGTGGCTGCTTGACCAATAATAATAAACTCTGCATTTAATATAGCACCTTATCACGTCGTAAAGACGTCTCAAAGCAAGTCCCAGGATATATTGTATTGTGGTTTTGACCGCGTGTTGTGGGTGAAATGACCAATGTTTTTATTGGGGCGTTTGTTGGCGAAGAGACTAGAAGAACTTCCCTTTTTGAATAGCACCAAAAAATCTTTAATGTGGACCTCGGTTTAACTTCTCATCCCACCTCTTAACAATGCAGCACACCCTCAGAAACCGCATTCGACAGTGAGAGTCCGGAGGTAGGGGCTCGAACCCGCAACTTTCTGACTCGGTGGGGGGTGGGGGGGAGAGGTGAGAGCGGTAATGAACTGAGCCAAGCCGCCACACGCTCGTGCCTTTTAAAGCTGACGTCCCAGCAGATAAATGGCACCGTGACTGCAAGGAAATTTGAAATGCTTTGGAAAAAGGAGAGTGAGGAGAGGGGGATGGGGGAGGAAAAATAACTGGCATCCCTCCTGTCTAATGGCAAACCAGCTGGTCAGTCTCCCAATCCCTACAGAGGGGGTGGGAGTTCCGGGATCTCCACACTTGGATACAGAAATGTAGAGGAGTGGAATCCAGAGAGAGGAGGGAATGGATAAGGCGAGCAGAGCCAGCCCTGCTCCCACACTACAGGAGCTCTTTAGGAGACAACACAGGGATCACCAGGTGAGATCTGGCAACACTGGCCCCCAAACTTTTTACACGTCTTTATTCCCCAGTCAAGGGTCGGATGTCTTGTCTGTCAGGGGGAGAGAGCACACACACACACACAAACAGACCCCAAGTCCAGTGTGTAAGAGGACAGAAATAGCCTCTCACACATACTGTTACACCACCACACACATGGTCCCTAAACTCACTGCTTTGCTTTCAAAAAGTTGGGGATAAATCTCCCCCCCTTTTTTTTAAAAAAAAAGCTTTTGTAAGCGAATTCTTTGACTCTTGTGTTTTGCGTATCAAAAGCCAGTGTGAGTATGGCTTACGTCAGCAAGAAATTTACAAACCTGTTTACAGACACTTTCTAAGATTGAGATATCATCGCCAGCAGGAGCCGCCTCTACGACTCTTTGCTGCTTTTTCATGCAAATCAGGGCACTTTAAAGGGTAGAAGATAAAACGCTTGTTTTTTTTAAAAAAAATACATTTGTGAAGGCTTTTAAACTTTGAATTAAATCCTATTAAATTAATAATAATCCCTCCAAAACAAAACAATAATAAATTGGTCATTTTCAATCCACGACTGTTTGTGGGGACGCTGCTGTGCGAAATTGGCTGCCGCGTTTCGCCCACAAATATACAGTCAATTCACTTTACAGTGTATTCTGTGAAGCTCTTTGAGATGTCTCGAAGATGTGAAAAGCACTATATCAAATGCAAGGATTATTATTACTAAACTCAGAATTCCTTATATGGCGTTCCTATCACCCTTTAAAGAAAACAATGCCTCCGAGGTGAACGTCCAAGAAGCAAATCTAGGCAGAAAAGAGTAGGTTTGGGATCCAAAGTCACCTCTTACTGTTTAGAGATTCATTAAATACTGTATCTATAAATTGCAGGAGCGGTCATTAATGGCTGTCAAAAGGTCTGTAAATTTAGCCAAAGATCCAGTGTGAGCGTGGCTAGTCAGAAGGATCTGTGCTTGTCTCAGTTTAGTGTCCTGGCCACTTGGGGACTGGAGCTTAGCTGCCAATGTGTTTAATTTCCTTGAACAGCTGCGTTGAAATGGAAACTTTTACTGCAAACGTAAAAGGGAAGTAACACAGCAACAACAACTTGCATTTAGATAGCACCTTCATATTGTGGGGGGGGGTGGGGAGCAGCTCCTCAGAGCGTCTTCACAGTGGCGGAGCCTGACACCAAGCCAGGGGGAAGAGGTGACCGTAAGCCCGGTTGAAGAGGAAGGTCCTCAGTCGTGATCCAAAAGAGGGGAAGGAGAGGGGGCAAGGCGGAGGGATTGGGGGAGAGAATTCCAATGTTTGGGGCGGAGTGGCTGAAGGTGCGGCCGCCAATCGTGGAGGGGAAGTGGGACAATTGTATAGTTTAAAACCAAAAATACGTTTCAACAGATATTTTTGTTGCTAACCTTAGGGCTCAGCGGATTCTCCTAATGGGGAGTTTGAGTATGGAGATACGGATGGGATCGTTGCTGAGCTGTCAGGTAAGAAACTACTATAATAAAATAATAATCCTTGCATTTGATATAGCACCTTATCACGTCGTTGAGACTTCCTAAAGCGCTTCACAGCATATGCAGCACCAACAACAAGATTACATTTGTATAGCGCCTTTCACGTAAACTGTAATGACTCTATATTTTATGGGCGAAAAAAGGCAGCCAATTGAGCACAGCAGCATCCCACAAACAGTCCTGAGTGGCCAATTTTTTTTTGAGGGCTTATTACTCCTGGAAAGCGAACCGCCGATTGATTAACAACAACAACAACAACAAGATTCCATTTATAGAGCGCCTTTCACGTCAGGAGGACGTCCCAAGGCGCTGCACAGTTGGGTCATGACCCGAGCAGGGGGGAAATGGTCAGGGTGAGGGGAGGGAAGGGAGGGAGAGAGGAGGGGGAAATGGTCAGGGTGAGGGGAGGGAAGGGAGGGAGCGAGGAGGAGGAAGAGAGTCGAGAGGGGAGCTGAAGGCACGGTCAAAGAGAAAGGTTTTGAGACCGGCCTTGAAGGAGGAAAGGGAGGAAGCAAGGCGAAGGCACTGGGGGATGGAGTTCCAGAGCCTCGGGGCTGAGAGGCTGAAGGCCCGACCACCGATAGTAGGGCGGTTGGGGCGGGGGACGTGGAGCAGACCGGAGCCAGAGGAACGGAGGGTACGGGCAGGTAGGTAGGGGGATAGTAGGTTGGAGAGGTAGGAGGGAGCAAGGCCGTGAATGGCCTTGTAGGTGAGGATGAGGATCTTGAAATCAATCCTCTGGGGGATGGGGAGCCAGTGGAGGCGAGCGAGGGTGGGAGTGATGTGGTCCCGAAGCCTGGTGCGGGACAGTACACGAGCTGCAGAGTTCTGAATGACCTGCAGCTTGTGGAGGGAGGTGCCGGGAAGGCCGGCGAGGAGAGAGTTCCCATAGTCCAGCCTTGAGGTGACAAAGGCGTGAACCAGGGTTTCAGCAGCGTGAGGGGTGAGGTAGTGCCGTAGTCTGGCGATATTCCGGAGGTGATGGAAGGCGGTGCCAGTTGTGGTGCGGATGTGAGGGAGAAAGGACAGCTCAGGGTCGAACAAAACGCCGAGGTTCCTGACTGGCTTTGAGAGGTGGAGAGTGCAGCCTTGGATGCTGATGGTGTCAGCGCCTGAGGTGCGGAGGCGCTGACGTGAGCCAATCAGGAGGGCCTCGGTTTTTCGCACGTTGAGCTGAAGAAAGTTGTCTCTCGTCCAGGACTCGATGTCGGACAGGCAGCTGTCAGGACATCGGTGGTCGTGGAGTTGAGAGTAGAGGAGGAAAGGTAGAGTTGGGTGTCATCCGCATACATGTGGAAGTTAACCCCATGTTTGCGGATGATGTCACCGAGGGGGAGCATATAGAGGGTGAAGAGGAGGGGACCGAGGACAGAGCCCTGAGGGACACCACATGAGACAGTACGGGGGGTGGAGGAGAAGCCATTCGTTGAGACGAAGTGAAGACGGTGGGAAAGGTAAGAGCTAAACCATTCAAGGACAGTGCCTTGAAGGTTGAGGTGGGAGGACAAGCGGTGGAGTAGGATAGCGTGGTCGACCGTATCGAATGCTGCCGATAGGTCGAGGAGGACGAGGAGACAGAGGGAGCCCTGGTCACAGATAGTCAGGATATCATTGGTGACCTTGACCAGGGCAGTTTCTGTGCTATGAGCAGCACGGAAACCTGACTGAAGGGGTTCAAAAAGAGAATGGGTGGAGAGGAAAGAGCGCAGTTGGGAGGCGACAACTCTTTCCAAGACCTTGGAGAGAAAGGGGAGGTTGGAGATGGGCCGGTAGCTTGATAGCTGCGACGCATCAAGGGAGGGTTTTTTCAGGGTGGGCGTGATGATGGCAGTTTTTAATGGAATGGGGACAGAGCCAGAGGAGAGGGACAGGTTTATGATGTCAGTGATGTGTGGGGCAAGAAAATGGAGCTGGGAGATAAGGAGTGGAGTGGGGATGGGGTCAAGGGAGCAGGTGGTTGGTTTTAGGGATAGGATGAGTTCAGTGACAGAGGGTGGGGAAACGGGTACGAAGGTGTGTAGGGGAGGATGGGTAGGAGTCGGAGTGTGGGAGGGAAGGGGTGGGTGGTGGGTGGAAGTTGGAGGGGAAGTGACCGCGGAGCGGATTCCCTTGATCTTGGATTCAAGGAAATCCAGCATCTCCTCGCAGTGAAGGTTGGAGGAGATGAGTTCCTACTTACTGCTAAGTAATCAGAGGCGTGTGGAGTAAGGAAACTTACCGAAGGTTTTTCCCCCAACTGTGAATCGAAACCGAGTCCTCTCGCTTGTGAGGCGAGTCCTCTAACCACTACCCTACGGGATTACAAGTGGAATACTCTTGATTTTCAAATCGTCAACTTGCATTTTAGAAGACCTGGCTTACATTTTCATAAGCCCTTATCACTTTGAAACGTCTCGAAACTTTTTACAATAATTACTGCACACTGTGGTAACTGCGTGGGCAAATACCGACAACCAGGAGGTAAAGGTAAACTGCCATGTTACACGGAGGACATTAAGGTCACGGTAGAGACCTTTTTGGAGATTTGGGCCACTTTTTATCACAATAACTTGCATTTATATAGTGTCCCTCACCCAGGGTAGTGTCCCAGAGCAGTTAATCAGTTAGGTGTTAGCAAAGCGTCCCCAGATAAGAGAGCAGCAAACGGCATTACTTTTTATACATTTCGGTTACATTTGCTTCCTGAGATCTTGATAAGTCCTTACTTTTTTGAACCCGCTCCTTCCCCTCTTTGCTTTGTTCGTTCGTTCGTTCGTTCGTATTGACAGAGTTTCCGTTTCTCTTCCTGCAGAGCTGTACAGCTACACCGAAGAACCTGAATTTGCCATGAACCGAAATTGCTTTGAAGAGGATTTTGAGATCCATGGTATGGAGCACCTTAAAGGCCATCGGCGAGGTTGCTGTTGAAGAGCTCTCTTAAGCAACAACGACTTGCATTAATATAGCGCCCTGCACGCAGGCCAGCATTTAAGTGCATCTTACTGAGTGTAATTTGATTACAAAAGATATCCGAGTTATTGTCTACACACAGCACGAGTCAATCCTTGGCTTCTTTCACACACCTCAGCTAAACCCAGCCGAAACCTAGGGAGCAGCAATAATAATGATAATAATAATCCTTGCATTATGATATAGCGCCTTATCATAATAGACATTGAGATGTCTCAAAGCACTTCACAGCATACACTGTGAAGTGAATTGACTATATGTTGTGGGCGAAAATATATTTTCTCTCCTTGGAAACTGTTAAACGTTCTGGCCTGAAATGTCAACCTTAACGTGTTTGAAACGCTCCTTTTCTGGTCTCGCTGTTTTCTCCGTCCTTCTGTCCCCTTTTTGTTCTCTGCTGTGTCTTGCGTAACATTCACTGTTAGTCAACATTCTGTCTTTCAATTTTAGTTTTAAGAGGCAGCTTTTGCTGTAATTGTCACCCTGTCACGTGGTGGGTGAAAGTATTTCAGATTTGGCTTGTTTAGAGCTTTCATTAAGTGATCACTAACCTCTATCTGCACCGCTTCATCCAACCCTCAGTCCAGATCCTAACTGGTTATGCAAACGTTTTGGTAAAGTTTTAAAGGACACAATAACGACATTCACTGGGTCAAGTATCAAGTCTGATCATTAAGCGGTTAATTGGACAGGTTGTTAGATATGAAAAGAGTGATTTGCTGCAGGATTTGTGGGCAAATGTGGATCTGGTCAATCTGCAGAGGCTGGAAATGGTTTAGGAACATAGGAATAGGAGTAGGCCATTCAACCCCTCGAGCCTGTTTCACCATTCTATTAGATCATAGCTGATCTGTACCTTAACTGCAATTACCCACCATTGCTCCATATCCCTTGATGCCGCGACCTAACAAAAAAGCTATCCGCCTCGGTCTTGAAAACTTGAATGGATCCAGCATCCACCGACTTTTTGGTGGGGAGAGTTCCAGATTTCCACTAGCTTTATGTGAAAATTTGTTAAACCCTCCAGAGGTTTGGGGGGATGTGAACGTTGGAATAAAAATAATTTTACTCACTTTGTGTCTTGCAGTGAAGGGCAAGAAGTGGGTGGAGCTGGATGAGGCGGAACATAAGGCCTACATCATGAGGCTTTTGGACGGACTGGAGGTAATAAACAGAGAGAAGAGACTTAAGTTTGCCAGAGCCATTCTGTACCTTGCCCAAGGTAACTAGGTGTGACAACGTTAATCCTTTCCCTCCTGAATGCTCCTCATCACACTAACCATTGCCACTGCGTGTGTATCCATCAAAATATAAAATGGGATTTAACTAACAACTAATGCTACCTGATTCAAACAGATGTAAGACGTACAAGAATGGATTTCGAGTTCTATAGAGGTGTGTAGTGAGTATCTCCACCCAATGGTGTCCGAGCATTTCATTGCCTGAAACTCAACTGCAAAGATGGACTTTCCTCCATAGATCATGTACCACAGAGTGTGCAATCTCTCCTCGTGCGGGCCAGCCAACCTATTTGATCTCCTGTGAACTGGGAAAAGATTTCACACCGTAAATCCCAGATTACTTTGCAACCATCTCTTGCAATGCCTAAGAGTCTCCAGCTCCAGCCGTTAAACTCACAAAACCAGAGTCTCTGTTTGCCAGGTTGGGAGGGTGCGATCTCTCCCAGGCATGGAAGGGGTAAGAGGAGACTGATATGTGGAGGAATTCCATTATTTCACCTCTGTTACTTATAATAATAATAATCCTTGCCTTTCATATAACACCTTTTACATAGTAGAGACATCGGCCTCAAGTGGCTTCACTGCACATACTGTAAAGTGGATTGATTGTGTATTTTATGGACAAAATTGCTCCACTTTGCCTGCAGCGACGTCCCACAAACAGCCATGGATTGAGTGACCGATTTTATTTGGTGGTTTTGTTGGCCAGGACACCGAGAGAAAGTCGGTTCTCTTTTCAAATAGTGCCGTGGGATCTTTAACATGGACCTGAACAGGCAGACGGGACCTTGGTTTAACGTCTCATCCCAAGGACCATTATTTCCTTTTAATGTAAATCTAAATCCTTCCCTTCCCAATGTAGTCTGGTCTCTTGGCTCTTTCTCGCTGGAGGTGACCGGTGTCTGTTTAAACGCCCTCTGCAGGTGTGTTTGATGACTGCTACACAGAGCCCGAGGTGGTTCACTGGGCACAGTACAACGTCTTCCTTCTGTATGAGATGGGCACTTTCGGGGCATTGGTGGAGCTCCTCAACATGGAGATCGAGTAAGTTTGAAGGACTGTGAGGGTTAGCGACAATGGCAAGTTGGCCCAACAGTTTCACTGACTGCCAAATCCTGACCCCCCCCCACCCCTCCCCATCTCTTTCCCCAATTCTTTGAGCCCCATATCCGCTCCTAGAGGTGGGGATCATTGTGACAGCTCAGTCATTTATTGTCTCCCTTCCTTCCCCTTCCCCCAACCCCACCCCCATCCCATGTACACAGGGTCCAGTGAATATCAGCGAGTGATGGCCCACCGGAGGCTGAGTCCGGCCAATTAATAACATTACTTAAATACAATTAATAATTATTATTAATAAAAACAACTCCCAGTAAATGGCTTTGAAAGATAAATGGGAGTGGATTACCGGCTCTCTCGGATGGGAATGCAACGTAGAGAGACCTACGAATGGGGGAAAATGGTCCATAAACAGAGGCCGGGCTCAGCTGACACAATAATAAGCCCTCGAACCACACTGAGACCGTCTGAAATTTGGCAGCAGGTTTTCTAGCGGCTGCACTTTTTTTTGTTGTTGCTTCGATGTGAATGTTATTCTGTTGACCTGCAGGAACAGCCAGGCCTGCAGCAGTGCCTTGAGAAAACCAGCCATCTCTCTGGCAGACAGCACTGAGCTCAGGTAAGGCCGTCAAACAAAGTCCCAGTAAATACACCTGCCATCCTGTCGCAATGCATCTGAGGTTGCATGAGTCGCTGATTATCTGTTAGCTGCACTGATTTCTACCCCACGCGGCTGCTTTACTGTGCAGTAATGTTATTTTGTTAATTCTTTAACTATTTTGTTAATTATTTCATTGTTTTACTGAATATTTCATTATTTTACATACAATAATTTTTAAATTTTATTCGTGCAATTAACCTACGTTTTTGGCCACGAAATATCCAGTCAATTCACTTTACAGTATATTCTGAAGTGCTTTGAGACGTCTCAACAGCATGATAAGGTGCTATATCAAATGCATGGTTTATTATTTATTATAATTATTATTTACTGGTCTAACCTTTGGACGCCAATTGTTTGATTTTAATGAGATTTGTTTGCAATAATAATCCTTGCATTTGATATAGCGCCTTACTGCGTTTCACAGAAAGTTACTGTAAAGCGGATTGACTGTGTATTTTGTGGTTGAATCGTTGGCCGAGAAAATACGCAGTAAAATAAAGGCTGATCAAGGTTGTCCACCACTCCTCAAAAGGAGTCATTTTCCTTGCCTGGAGAATTCAGCTTGTGGGGTGTATTGCTGATTTGCAGAGTGCTGCTCAATATTATGTGCCTGATGGTAGAGGCCATGCGTTTGGAAGTAGAGGATGACAGACCGGAGTGGAAGGTGGCAAGAGAAGGATTCCGCACTGAGCTGGGTGAGTTGTACTCGAAGGGAGTTTCTCCCGGTGTCCTGCGGATTGACGGCCCGGCAATGCTCCGAGCACCATTGATGGCCGCATGTGACGTAGAGGAAAAAAGCTTAAGAGGTTTAAGCGAAGTTGTTTGTCAGTTCTAATCTGGGTTGGAATGTGAATTGATAATGATAATAATAATAATAATAATAATAACAGCAATAATGCTTGCATTTGATAAAACGCCTTATCACGTCGTTGAGACACCTCAAAGCGCTTCTCAGGATCCACTGTAAAGCGTAGTGACTGTGTATTCTGTGGGCGAAAATAGACAGTTAACGTGTTTGATCAATTCCGTCTCTTCTTTCAGGCTCCTCGGTGTACAATGGCGAACCCTTTGCTATTCTCCTCTTTTCTGTGGTCAACAAATTCTGCAGTGGCTGTGCCCCACACTTCCCTATCAAGAAGGTGCTGCTTCTTCTCTGGAAGACCGTGCTGGTGGGTCTGTGTTTTTTGTTGAGTCTCCTGTTGATTCTCCAGACTTAGGTAAGCAGTGTGCGTCCCTCCAGGGAGATGGGGAGAGAGAAAGAGCAATCATTTCCGTGTGTAAGTGGCATGTATATGAGGAATTCCCTGTCTGGTTTCGATACTCTTTTAAGTATGGAGACGGTTTCCGTATGTGTGTCCGACATCCATCTCGTACAGTAGGGATCTGTTTTTAAATAGTTTGCGTTCCCCCTACCTCATCCAAGGAGTCTGGTAGGCCATTGAAAGTTCCACTTCTCATCCAGATAGAAGGAAATACACCTGACATTGAGTCAAGGAGAATAATAATAATAAAAATAATAATCCTTGCATTTGATACAGCCCCTTATCACGTTGCTGAGACATCTCAAAGTGCTTCACAGGATATACTGTAAAGTGAAGTGACTATTTTGTGAGCGAATGTCAGATGAAGGGGTTTCTCCTGACATTCAGGAACTGCGGCCATGATCAGTCTCTGACGCGATGTGCTGCTACATTCCGTGCATTTATAGACTCTGCTCGTGACACTATGGAGGTCTTAAGAGTTGTATTCTGATTCCTGTAAAGGAGATCAAGACACCACTTGGTTGGGCCCAAGGTGTCTTGTTAGGCTTTGATCCAGTGGTAGGAACTAGAAAAAATGCAACTAGATCAACCATCTGATTAATGATAACAATATATCCTTTTTACTCCTATCTTACATATTATTATTTGAAGAGAAATAACACGATTATTTAATTGCGTTATTTCTCTCCCTCCCCCAATGCTCGGGTTACATTATCAGCGCCTTGGGACGTCCTCCTGACGTGAAAGGCGCTGTACAAATGGAATATGTTGTCGCTGTTGACCATACATTCTTTCCCTCTTTTTCCCCAGTTCTCTCTCGGAGGCTTTGAGGAGCTCCAGGCTTTGAACGTGAGGAAACGGCAGGAGCTCGGGCTCCCCGTGCTTCACGAGGACAGCATTCAGGTGACGCGTAGCCTGCGGGCAGCGTCCCCGCCAGCCTCGGCTCTCGATCTACTGGAACAGCAACAGAGACGGGGCCGCAGGGGCAGGAAGGTGAGAGGCTCCCGCACTGAGGAGACCGGGCGGAGGGTCCCAGCGCAGCCCAACACTGCCCACCAAAGTGTAGGCGGCAAGATGAGATAATAATAATAATAATATAATAATAATAATAATCCTTGCATTTGATATAGTCAAAGAGGAGGGTCTTGAGATGGGCCTTCAAGGAGGCAAGAGAGGGGGTGAGGCGAAGGGACTGTGAGATGTAATTCCAAAGAGTGAGGGCAGAGAGGCTGAAAGCCCTCCTGCTGATGGTAGAGCGGGCCAGGCGGGGGACATGGAGCAGGCCGGAGCCCTCCGAGCAGAGGGAGTGGACAGGTCTGTGTGGAGTTAGAATAAATAGTTTTACTCCGGTTCTGTTTGGGGTTGGGGGTGGGGTGGGGGGCTGGGGTGGGGGAGAGAATGCAAACTGACATCTGTTTTAAGTCTGCGGAGTGTAGTGACGACATTAAAATGGCTCCACAGCAGGTGCTGGTGAAACAAGACAGTCTGGACACTTATAACGAAAAGGATCCGTACAAAACCGACGAGGCGCAAGATGACGAGGAGAACGGCGAGGACCCTGACAGTGGGATCGAGGGGGAAATGGAACCACTGGATCCCCCTCCTCACCCTCTTCTACCTCCAGAGAGAGTGTTCTTCCCCCGAGGACTCCCCTGGGCACCTAAAGTCAGGTGGGTTGAGTTAGATAAGTGTTTGGGTGAAAATCTGTCTTCTCTTGTTAAGTTTAGGTGTGAAATCAATATAATAATAATAATAATAATCCTCGCCTTATCGCATCGTTGAGACGCCTCAAAGCGCTTCACAGAATATATGTGTTTGACATTTGACTGCGTATTTGTGGGAGAAACGCGGCAGCCAATCGCACGCAGCAGTGTCGCGCACACGTCGTAAAGAAATCACATTAAAGTTTAATTTTTGTAAAAAAAGAAATCTCTCTCCCCCACCCACCCGCGCCCCCACCCTTCCATCTGTTCCCATTCTTCTGCTTCACTGGTGGTTCCAGGCAGTCAAGGGGAGCACATGTGTGAAAGAGTGGCCCGGTTCCCTCCTCAGTTCCCTAACGGACAGATTCCCCCATTTGGTGAGTCTAGAGTTACTGTAACAAGCCCCAGTGAGGAGCTCGCACCAGCACAGCCACAACGCTGTAATCATTCTCTGCTTGCACTCCATCCCCACCTACAAACTGGTGAGATGCAGTGCCTTGCGCTGGTGTGTCAGCCTGGCTCGGTTGGTAGCACTCTTGCCTCTGAGTTCAAAACCTAGGTCGGGACTTAAAACTGGAATAGTCTAAGCTGACATTGCATTGCAGTGCTGTGGATGTGCTGGATTGTTGCCTGTGCTTCAGATGAGACGTTGAAACAAGTCCCCATCTGCCTGTTCAGGTGGATGTTAAAAATCCCATGACACTACCCCATAAGAGAAGGGAGTTTCTCCTAAGTGGTGTGGCCAACAGTACCCCCTCCCCGGCCCCCTCTCCCCCAATAAAATTTGTTACCCACTCCATTGCTGTTTGTTTGAGTTTGCTGTGTGAAAACTGGCTGACGTGTTTCGCCCACAGAATACACAGTCCTTTCATTTTACAGGACATCCTGTGAAGCACTTTGGGACGTCCTCCTGACTTGACGTAAAGGATAGAGGGATTAAGGGATATGGGGATAGGGCGGGTAAATGGAATTGGGTTAGAAGATCAGCCATAATCTTATTAAATGGCGGGGCAGGCTCGAGGGGCCGAATGGCCTACTCCTGCTCCTACGTCTTATGGTCTTATGGAAAGGTGTTGTATCAAATGTAAGGATTATGACTGTTATTACTTGCAGTTGTTGTTCTGTCTTTATTTTGAGCTGCTCTGCGATCAGTGTGATTGACGCCTGTTGCTTCCGCTCTTTCCTTTGACAGGGAGAAGGATATTGAAGACTTCCTGGAGGTCAGCAGGTGTAAATTTATTGGGTTCACGTTGGGAAAGTAAGTACCACACAAGCTCTTGCTTCGTGCATCTTTTATATGTGGTGCTTTCGTATTCGGTAAAGTAGGTTCCTCCCAAGGACGGTACCGCTATCGTCTCTCTGGCTCTATTCTTCACCAGATGCATTCCTTGAGTTGAACCTCGCTGGTCAGACTCCTGTAGCAGGCCTTAGCCTGTGTCCCAACACCAACAACTTGTATTTATATAATTCCCCTCTCACAGGGCAGAGTCTCAGGGCGCTTAACAGTGGCGGAGCCTGATGCCGAGCCGGTGGGAGGTGACCGTAGGCACGGTCGAAGAGAAAAGTCTCAAGGCATGGTCTGAAAATGGGGAAGGAAGGATTGTTGGGCTCTGGGCAATGAACAGAACAAAACCAACTTGTTCTGTTCAGTCCATTTTTAATAAAGGACCCGAGAACAGAGACACTCAGCAACTCATGCTTTGAAAATTCTTTTACTTAATAAGAAACGTAAATTTGTTAGTTCAGTTATCACAAATACAACAGACAGGTCAATAGCACAGACAAATGTCAATAGCAAAGTCCGTTGGTAAATTCGCAAACGGCAGGCAAGAGTCTTGCATCAATGAAAGGTCTCTTGATTCAGACCCGAAACCTCACTGCTTGGGGTTCGTTGATTACAAAGTCAAAGTTGAATCTTCAACGGTGTAAGGTTGAGCTGTGTTACTTTACTCAAAAGTTGTCATGCGTTATTATTCTTCTCCTCCCGTTACTTTCCACACAATTTCCGACATTCTGGAATTTCTGCAGCTTTCCTTCTTCCGTAAATTGCTGGAGTCCAACGAAAGTTGATGTAACGATGGAATAGTCCAAATCGGACGGATGTTAACCACGAAGACACACGCATTGGCTTCACCACTTTGTGTCGTCACACAAACTTGTGTGGACAGCACCTGATATGCTCTGTCCTAGGCTGAACAAATTATAGTTCAACTGTACATCTTTTATAATCGTTTTTTTTTTGCCACAGTCAGGATGAGAATGCAAAATCTTTTCAATATCATGTCCTGGAAGCAATTATCTCACATAAATTACTACACCTGTAGAATTGTGATCATTATAATATCAATAAAGTATAATCTGCAGAATTATTACTACACCTGCAGAATTGGTATTGTTGGTGTTGTTATAGCAGAACATTTCCTCAGGCGACAATCTGCAAAATTGTTATAAAACTTGATTTGTTATAGAGAATATCTTTAATGCAAACATGAATTTGTTACGAAAAAACATCTTCAACAAACTTCAGCTGGAATAAACACGTCTCTTGACATTTTTCTAGCCTGCGTAAGCATTTTCAACCGTTAATTAAAACGGTGTCTATTCAACATAAGCATTTCTAACCGTTGATTAAAATAATGCTTTCGACTCCACGGGTTAACATATACATTCGCAATTTCAGTTATGAAGCAGGATCACAACAGGAGCAAGGAGGAGGGATTGAAAGAGAGTGTTCCAGGGTTTCAGTGCGTAGCGGCTGAAAGTACCGCCGCTGATGGTGGTGGAACGGGGGTACGAGGGACAAGCAGGAGGCCAGAGCCAGCCAAGCGGGGGTGGCAGAGTGTGCAATAAGCAGGCCGGAGAGGTAGGGAGGTTTCATGACGTGGAAGGATTTGGAGCTGAGTGTGAAGGTCTTGAAATCGATCGTTCTGCGATAGGGAGCTAGTGGAGTCTGGCGAGGACCGGTATGATGGGGGTGCGGAGTTTAGAGCGGGTGAGTCCACGGGTGGGCAGTTTTGGAACGTTTGCATTTTATGGACAGTCCCATGTATGTAACAGCAGATGATATAGACTTCAGAACAGCAAAGTGATGCTCCTCAGTGTTGCTGACGCACTGTTGAAAACCTCCTTGTGTTTTAGTGATACGGACACCCTCGTGGGTTTGCCAAGACCCATACATGAAAGCGTAAAAACCCTGAAACAGGTGAGGAAACAAACTCCCGTCGTCGCTGAACCAACGTGGCGGGAGAATTTTTCTTTTTAAAATTAATTACCCAAATAGATATCCTGCCATCTTCACCATGACCGGTATCATTGCTGGGGAATCAACAACTCATTGATTCACTTAAGTCACCCAGATTAAGTACAGCACAGGCAAGGTACAGAGAAAAGCTCTCTTTATACATGGAATCATATCGGCTGTACAGCTCTGAATGTACAGCTCGTGTGTCGAACAACCATCACCATCCTTATGATGTTTTACGGTATTTTTCGACCACAAAATACACAATCGATCCACTTTACAATGTATTCTGTGAAGCATTTTTTGGGGGACGTCTCAATGACGTGATAAGGTGCGATATCAAATGCAAAGATTATTATCATTATTATTAATAACTGAGCCATGTCGCTGTATATTTCTTTTTCAACATTGAATGAAATTAGACTTAATTCTTTTTGTCACTTTGCCTTGAGCAGCACAGGTACGTCTCGATAGCAGATGTACAGATCAAGAGGGAGGAGGAACTACAGAAATCTCCAGTTTTTCTGGTAACTTTGTCTCCTGCTATTTACCGGGTAACCGTATGATCTCTTTTGAACCTGGGTTTGTATCTTTTCTTGAAAAGTCCTGTAGTGCAGTGGTTAGAGCGCTTGGGTGAAATCTTAGGCAAGTTTCCTTAGTCCACACGCCTCTGTTTACCTAGTAGTAAGTAGCAACCAGGTTGTTAGTTGATTGGCGGATCGCTTTTGGGGGGGGTAATAAATCCCTCAAAAAAATATGTATTTTCTGTGAAGCGCTTTGAGACGTCTGAACAACATGATCAGGTGCTATATCAAATGAAAGGAGTAGTATTATTATCAAACAAGCATGATACATAACGGATTTAATGGACTTTCTCATTCCGTGCTTTTTAGCTGGTTAGAATACTGATGAAGCTTATTGACAGCCAAATATTATACCTGAGATGAAACTCTATGGCTTTCTCACCCAGATTTCTTAGCATGTTTTCTTCAATGTAGGGAGCGGAAGATGTAGAGCTGACTCCAACTGAGGCCCTTTATCAAGGAATGTTGCACAATCTCCCTCAGTACATGGTGAGCGTCAGTTATACTGTACTCTCAATAACATTGTTGGTATTGTTTTTGGAGGGAGGTAAAGTGTACGGCTTCTTCTGCAGGTTAGATGTGTTTGAGTTCAGCTCTTCTGATGACAGAACATCTATTCTGGTGGTTACGACGTGAAATGTCCCATCAGTTGCTGGGGTTGAGGCAGAATTCATGTTAGCCTTCAAGAGGGAACTAGATAGGTATTTAAACGGAGTAATTTGGAGGCCATGGGGAAAAGCAAAATGGGATTGAATGGATTTTAGTCATCCCATGTATATTTGTGGAGACTCTTAATGTAGTGGTTAGCATGCTCACTTTCTGGGGGTAATGATCCCTCCCCTCAAACAAAAACAATAGTAATTTGGTCATTCACTCCATGACTGTCTGTGGACGCTGCTGTGCGCAATTTCGTCCACAAAATACACAGTCACTACACTTTACAGTATATTCTGTGAAGTGCTTTTGTGACGTCTCAACGACGTGATGAGGTGCTTTATCAAATGCAAGGATTTTATTATTATTATTATTGATAGTCTTGCCAGAGCGCGTTTTGGGTTTATTTATTATTTATTCCACGTTTCAAAACGTGTGATGAAACGGAGCAGTTTCAGCACTTAATCTTTTGAGGGATTTTTCTCTTTATTGTGCAGATTGCGTTGCTCAAGATCCTGCTGGCTGCAGCTCCCACTTCCAAAGCAAAGACCGACTCCATTAATATCTTAGCCGATGTCCTGCCAGAGGAGATGCCGTAAGTCTCTCTTACGGCAATATTCCGATTGCTTGGTAACTCTTTGACAAGGGGAGCAACCATAATCACTCCCTTGCTGGAAAGACACTCAGGAATGCTGCAACCCTCTCTACCCATGAGGTGATGGAGCAGATTATCTTGAACCTGGAACTGGGACTAGATACTCCAGAGCGTTGGGCAGAACAGTGTCGGAGACCTGGAGTGAACTTCCCGTGTTCTCTCTTCAGCTGAAAAGGGAAAAAAACGCGATCAGGACACAAATCCTCATTGCCTAGAGATAGAGACGGGAGATTTTCCAACACCCGGAGCCAAAAGGACAGCGTGCACACAGATTAGCTGAATTCTCTTCAGTTGGCTCGAGAGCGAGCACTTAACATGATATCCGTTTGCATTTTAAAACTTCTTGCTGTTCTTTTTCTCAACAGGGTGACAGTGCTGCAGAGCATGAAGCTGGGGATTGACGTGAACCGGCACAAAGAGATCATCGTGAAATCGGTCTCAGCTCTTATGCTTCTGCTGCTGAAACATTTTAAACTCAATCACATCTACCAGGTAAAGGCCAGGGGGCGGCACAAGTCCGAAGGGTGTGGGTTTAAATCCCACATCGGGACATGAACTAACATAGTTCCCAGGACGATTTTGTCTTGTTTCCCCCCCCCCCCACCCCACTCTCATCCGCCTGTTGAGGTAGACGTTAAAGATCCCATGGCGGCTACTTGAAAAGGAAAGGGAGTTTCTCCTGATGTCCTGGCCAACAATATCACCCAAATAAAATTAGTCACTGGTTTCATGATTGTTTGGTGGATGTTGCTGCGCCCAATTGGCTGCCACATTTGCCTACAAACCACGCAGTCACTCCACTTTACAGTATATCCTGTGAGGCGCTTTGAGACATCCTTCCGAAGTGATAAGGCGCTATACCAAATGCAAGGATTAGTATTATAACTTTGCGCTTAAACTCTTAAGGACTCGATAAAGAGCCTCATCCTATTCATTTTCCTCTTTGTTTCCTTTCCAGTTTGAATACGTTTCCCAGCACTTGGTATTTGCCAACTGTATCCCACTCATCCTGAAATTCTTCAATCAGAACATAATGTCCTACATCGCTGCTAAAAATGGGTAAGAGAGCAGACTCCCCCAGGTCTGTGTGTGACTACTAACCTGACTCATACGTTTGAAGCTTTAAACAGTTTGGATGGATCTGCAAAACTACACGATGACCACTGCAATTGGCCTTCACCCCCCACATAGAAAAAAGAATACTAAGTGCAATTCTGTAGCAGTTTATTATGTTGAAACATCTGAAACACATCAAGGCTTTTAAGTGTCGTGGCTTTACAATGCGGCAGAAATGTTCACGAACAGTCGTGAGGCCAATGACTAATCCAGATAATATTTGGCCAACATATCGGGAGAACTGTTCCTTATTTCTAATAATAATAATAATCCTTGCATTTGACGTAGCACCTTATCACGTCCTTGAGACGTCTCAAAGCGCTTCACGGAATATAGTGTAATTGACTGTGTATTTTGTGGGTGAAACGCGGCAGCCAATTGTGCACAGCTGTTCGTGGGCCGCTGCTGTGCGCAATTGGCTGCCGCGTTTCGCCCACAAAATATACAGTCAATACACTTTACAGTGTATTCTGTGAAGCGCTTTGAGACGTCTCGAAGACGCGATAAGGCGCTATGTCAAATGCAAGGATTATTATGTAAGGCGAGGATAGGATCAGGCCCCATATTGAAACACAAACATCCTGCCAACAAGCACTAACTTAGCCCCCGTCAACTGGGCGAGGTACCGCAGAATGGCCTGATACCCACCACAAACCAATACTTTTAGAGTAAGAGAGCTGACAAATGAGTGTTATTTTTTGTTTAGTTCGAGAATGTATAATTTAATGGCTGCACGCAGCAAGGTGGCGCAACGTCTTTGTTTGTTGGGTGAGCATTTCAGGCTGTTTCCCTTGAGGAACGCGCTGTGATTGTTTCTGTTTGCTCCCCCAGTATCTGTGTCCTGGATTACCCTCACTGCGTGATTCATGAGCTTCCAGAGTTCACCACAGAGACGCTGGTAAAATACATCAATGCGGGTGGTTTTGAGCAAGAGAATTCAGGCCAATCAGCTCCCCTCCCAGACTGTATATTTTGTGGGCGAAACACGGCGGCCAATTGCGCACGTAGTGTCCCACTGTCGTGGTTAACCCTTTCCGTTCCCCAGTGCTTTTCCAGGTCCTGTCTTGGAGAGCTTAATGCTTTTCTTGGAGCTGACTTGCATTTACACAACAATAATAATAAACCTTCCGTTTGACATAGCGCCTTATCACGTCGTTGAGACGTCTCAAAGCGCTTCACAGAATATACTGTAGAGTGAATTGACTGTATATATTTGGTGGGCGAAATGTATCAAAGTGGGTAATGGATAGTGAGCACCAAAAGGGAAGAATTAATGATAATAACTGAAATCATTGTCAAAGAGATGTCTATCAGAGAGGTTTGAAGGCAGGGAATGAAGGAGCAAGGCAAATAGATTTGAGGAGGGTTCTCCGATGAGAGGTGGAGGGAGGGAGTGAGGAACAAGCTGTAGACCAGAAATGGGAGAACAGAAGGTATAGGAGGGAGAAGCCTGGAAGAGATTGCGGAGATAGGGAAGGACAAGCCATGAAAGTCCCTAATTCCCCAAAAAACCCACCCGTCTTCCCTGTGGGTTCAGTTTGCAGGTTGCATGAATGTACTCCCAAGTGTACAAATCACGAGGAATATAGGAAGCCATGACATCTCCCTCTGTGTTTTTAGGAAGCCGGTGACAACAGTCAATTCTGCTGGAGGAATCTCTTCTCTTGTATAAACCTGTTGCGGATTCTCAACAAACTCACCAAGTGGAAGCACTCCAGGACCATGGTAAGTGCGTGGAACGGGGAACTGGCAAAAGAGACCGGGTGCATAGTCACAAGATGTTCAAGCGCATCCTCTGTTCTCAGCCGCCACTATTTGGGTATCAGAGATTAGTTGATTGGCGAATTGCTTTCTGGCGGGTAATAATCCCTCCAAAAAAAATTATAATAATAATTTGGTCACTCAATCCGCCTCTGTTTGTGGGCCACTGTTGTGTGGAATTGGCTGCTGTCTTTCACCCACGTAATATACAGTCGATTCACTTTACAGTATATTCTGTGAAGTGCTTTGCCACATCTCAACGATGTGATCAGGCGCTATATCAAATGCAAGGATTATTATTATTATTTGGAAAGGTAAACCACTACAGCTTTTGCACCAATGATATCATTACATCATTGCCACAATGAGATCAATTGTTTCTGCATATGCGCAAAACAGAAAGTGCTCTCTCTTTCTCCCCCGCACCCAGTAATGTGGAGGCAAAACCCAAATCTCTACTTTCGTGGTGTAGTCTGTGCTACAGAGCTGCAGCATAAAAGTGCTGTAAGAGAGCTTTGTACAGGAGAGAGATAAATTATTGGATGCAACCTTGGTATCTAATTGGTATATCCAAGTCTAAAATAATAGATTAGATGTCCTGGGAAGTACAGTGACGTAGCATAGAGACTCTCAACATTGAGGACCAGGAGTTTAACACTGACATGTTTACCCAGTGAACCAGTACTTGCTTGAAAGAGTGGTAGAAGCAGATTCAGTATTAACTTTCAAAAGGAGATTGGGTATATACTTGAAAAGGAAAGAACTGTAAGGCTTTGGGGTAAGAGTGGGGGATTGGGACTATAAGTGGTTCGCTCTTTCAAAGAGCCGGCATGGGCATGATGGGCCGAATGGCCTACTTTCTGTGCTGTAAGATTCTGTGACTCCATGACTCATTTTGCCTTGTCCCTATCCCTCCTGTTTTCAGATGCTTGTGGTTTTCAAATCAGCACCAATTTTGAAGCGGGGGCTGAGAGTGAAACAGGCCACCATGCAGCTCTACGCCCTGAAGCTGCTGAAGCTTCAGACCAAATACCTGGGACGGCAGTGGAGGAAGAGCAACATGAAGACAATGTCCGCCATCTACCACAAAGTGCGGCACCGTCTCAATGACGACTGGGCGTATGGCAACGGTAACAAAATCATTTCCATCCTTCAGCTCAACAGCTGTTGTTTGGCTTCTTTCAATATTGATATAATAATCCTTGCACTTGATCTTATCTTGCCTTAACACGTCGTTGAGGCTTCTCAAAAGGCTTCACAGAATATATTGTAAAGTGGATTGACTGCGTATTTTGTGGTGAAAAGCAGCAGCCAATTACGCATGAACAATCATGGATTGAGTGACCAAATCTTTGAGGATTTATTACCCCTGGAAAGCGAACCGCCTATCGACTAACAACCGAGTTCCAATTTACTACTAGGTAAACAGAGATGTGTAGAATAAGGAAACTTGCGTAAGATTTCGCCCTGCCTACTTTTGACTTGGCTGGCAGAATGCTACCGATCGTTGAATGTTCCCACCCAGACCCAGGCCAGAAAGTTGTGGGTTCTCGTCCCAAATCAGGACTTGGAATCTCATAGTGTAAGCTGATGCTCCAATGCAGTGTTGGGGGTGTGTTGCATTGTCGAAGGTGCCGTATTTTGGATCAGACGTTAAACCGAGCTCTGCGCTCTCCTTCTGTGCTATAATATTCTATGATCTCAGTGTATCTTTTTTATCCCGCAGAGATCGACGCACGCCCTTGGGATTTCCAGGCAGAGGAGTGTGCACTGAGAGTCAGGATCGAGAGTTTCAATGCTCGTCGGTACGGCCTATACCACTGCGACTTTGAATTTGCTCCGGTCGACAACTGCCTGCAGAGCGTCCTGGGGCATTGCCTGCAGCTTCCAGATGATTTCCGCTACAGCTACGAGCTGTGGTTGGAGAGGGAGGTTTTCGCCCAACCCATTCGCTGGGAAAAGCTCCTGCAGCCTCTGGCTTGAGAGGGATCTTTTCACCTGCAGAAACGACTCCCTCTCAATGCAACTGTCTGGCTTCAAAGCTGCCTCCAGCGGGAAATATTAGGAATCAGGGTGACAATCAGCACATCATGTCATTGTGGAGGGAGTGGGATTGATTTACATGACGCAGTATGTACTGGAGAGAGAGATATTCCAACTTGTTAGAATAAATCCTGTTCGGTAAAGCTCAGTCCTCGGATACTGTTAACTGAAGCTTTCTACTCATTACTGTTACCAGCTGAGTTGCCCCACAGTCTCGTAAGTTTACAAGATGCATCTGTATTTGATACTTTTATGCGTGTATTTATGTGTGTCCAGTGAGTGATGAAGGTAGATAAATGATTAACTTTACAAGTATGTTGTCTTTAACCAGGGAAGGGTATCCCATTCAACTCCATCCAACTCATCGTAAATGTTGTAAGGGAGATAATACACACACTCACACACACCAAGCACCCACCCAATACCTTATCAATCCTTAAAATTCAACGGCAGTCTGTATGAGTTCCTTGCTCTCAGTAGCCCGGTTCCTGAGCCAGGCGGGTCTGTAGTATTCCAGGGCAACAACAAGACAACAACAACAACAAGATTCCATTTATAGAGCGCCTTTCACGTCAGGAGGACGTCCCAAGGCGCTGCACAGTTGGGTCATGACCCGAGCAGGGGGGAAATGGTCAGGGTGAGGGGAGGGAAGGGAGGGAGAGAGGAGGGGGGAAATGGTCAGGGTGAGGGGAGGGAAGGGAAGGAGCGAGGAGGAGGAAGAGAGTCGAGAGGGGAGCTGAAGGCACGGTCAAAGAGAAAGGTTTTGAGACCGGCCTTGAAGGAGGAAAGGGAGGAAGCAAGGCGAAGGCACTGGGGGATGGAGTTCCAGAGCCTCGGGGCTGAGAGGCTGAAGGCCCGACCACCGATAGTAGGGCGGTTGGGGCGGGGGACGTGGAGGGCACTCACTGCTGATGACAGCCCAGCCTGGCCTGGCTCATCGGCAGGACCTGGAAGGACAGACCAGTCACTGGGGGCAGGAAGTTATCTCACTCAACTCCTGTTAGCCCTGCAAGTCAAAAGCCCTAACAGGTAGGGTGGGCCTAGCTGGACTAGAAGCGGGAAAGCTTGGTGTCTTGACACGTGCGGAAACCCATCACCGTGCTTAAGGGTATCCAAACCAAGCTGAGAATTCCATGCATCCCACCCACACGTGGAAATCATGGAAATCCCAGAGATAGGTCGTTGGAATGGAATGCGCTCTCTCTCTCTCCCTGGATGGACCCATCCTTCTTACCTAATTCTGGAAAGTATTAGGCACAGGTTGACAAGAGCCAAGGCTTGGGGACCCCAGAGTGTGCGTTGGGGTAAGTGTTGGGAGTCTAACCAGCTAAAACTGCATAGCTTGCCATTGATATCGCTCTCTGGCAAGCTTTCCCGTTGTTTGTCCGGCTAGGACCCCCCCCTACCCATTAGGGCTTATGGCTTGCGGGGAATCACAGGAGCTGAGTGCAAGGAGGAGATAAGAGGGGGAAGATCATGTCTATTGGTTTCCCGCTGTAACAGTGAAAGTCGTGACCAATGACTGGCGCTACAAACACAACACACCTCACTCATTCATGATGTCGTCCATCTCTATGTCACCCATTCATGACGTCACAGCCTGTCAGCTCCCCGGGTGCCCTTTATCAGCACGTTTAAGGGTCAAAGCAAGGTAACCAGGGGCGTGGTAAGTGGACAGATACCTCTCTTGAAGGCATCTAAAGTTTGGGAATATTTCTACAGACCGCACTTCACAGTTGAAGAAATATAATGATCTAGGTGCATAAGTCTGAAATCTAGGTAAACTTTTCTTTCACCATAGTTGTTAAGTGTTGCCCAGCTTCAGCAGACAAGAGGTTGAAGATAGAGCAGGAGTTTGCTTCAAAATCTTTTACTTTCCGGTTTGGTTCTTCGAACCTTAGAACATGAGAGTTACAGACGTACGGACACCTTGAGACCAAAGGATTGTCTGCTTAAGTTCCAGTACGTACACCCCTGAAACTCAATGCTTCGGAGTCCCTTAGCGTAGTGGTTAGCACACCCGCCTCGTAAACGAGAGGACCCAGATTTGATTCCCGGGAGGGGCGAAACCTTAGGCAAGTTTCCATACTCCACATGCCTCTGTTTACCTAGCAGTGAGTAGGAACTCAGTTGTTAGTTGATCGGCATCTCGCTTTCTGGGGGTAATAATCCCTCCAAAAAAATATGTGTCACATTACAAAATATTCTGTGAAGGGTTTGGGTCGTCTCAACAGCGTAATAAGGCGCTATATCAAATGCAAGGATTATTATTAGCATTTATTTATGTAAAAGCTACAGGCTTTTAGATGCATCTTACGGAAGGAAACTCATTGTAGGATGCACTAAATGGTGAAGAGTTAGAAGAAAAGAAGGTTATCTTGGTAGCTGATTCTCTTTTCCTGAAGTGCCTTAAATTGAAGCTTGGACTTAGATGGGAATATCGCATGTTATTGCTGATTTGCAAGGAGTTGTCAGCTATCTGCAGTATCACTGTGGTGATCCGTCCACGCAGCACTGCCTGAGATCGAGAGAGAGAAAAAAATTGGTCGCTCAGTCCATGACTGTTTGTGGGTCACTGCTGTGTGCAATTGGCTAATGAGTTTCGCTCACATCACGGGCAATCCACTTAACAATATGTTCTGTGAAGCGCTTTGAGACGTCTCGAAGATGTGATAAGGCGCTATATCAAATGCAAGGATTATTATTATTAGGGCTCCTTATTGGCAAGTGAATCCAATGTACCGTGAAGCTAAATAATACAGAACATAAAGGTTCCTGGTTGGTCTGTGCTGTTTAGCCAGTGACAGTGGAGATTTACAGTTAATTGTCTCTGGTAGCCCTGGATTAGGGAGGGGTTTCTCACTCTCGATTGCTATACAGTGTTATAGAAAGAACATATGTGAGGGTATTGGGTCAGCATTGGATCAACTGCTAATGTGATTTCTTCCCTTCACTCTCCGTGTTGAAAATCTCCTGACACTTACTGTCTAGAATTACGCATGAACAATAGTCATGGGATTACTTGATATGGCAACACGTCTTCCATGAAAAGGGAACAAATTGTAGATGAGCTTGGCCTCTGATTTAGTAGTGACAAGCCTTAGGAGCAAGCATTATATTCTTCTGCAAGTCACATTGATTCCCTTTCCTCCATCAAGGCCGGTCTGAAGACCTTTCCTTCAACCGTGCCTTCAGCTCCCCTCTCGACTCTCTACCCCCTGCTCGCTCCCTCCCTTCCCTCCCCTTACCCTGACCATTTCCCCCCTGCTCGGGTCCCGACCCAACTGTCCAGCGCCTTGGGACGTCCTCCCGACGTGAAAGACGCTCTTTTAATTCAATCTTATTGTTGTTGTGTTCCAGATCTTTGTGAACCTAAAAGTCTGGGTGCTGTAGCCCCTCCATTGTATTAAATGGATGCCAGTTAACGTTGATTCAGTTAGACCTTGTCTGCAATTCAGCACCTTTGCAGACACTTCAAATTCAGACATATTGCTCCTTGATGTATAGTATAGAGCCGGGTTATATGATGGCCATTGAGTTAGTTACCTGGCTGCGAAAGTGTTTAGGTAACATCATGAATCAAGAGTACAATGTTCAAGTGACTTAAGGATGCCCTCTGAATCTTGAGATTAGATCACAATGCTGTTCACTTGTTTAATTGTGTTTGTCTACTCAATTCCATGGTTTCAATAAAAAAACTCCGCTAATGATAGCTAACACTAGCTTCAAATAGCACCAGAGACTGTGGTATAATTTTACATAATAATCCTGCCATTGATTCACATCACGCAGCATGTTTTTGCAGTTTATAATATAGTATTGAAAAAGAATTCGATGTTAGTGTCCTATTATAAGGAAGATACCTGATACTGGGTTGCTAGGCAATAGTCCAGTCAACCAGTGTTTGATCTCAATCGGGGCAGCATTTGGGTTCATTACAATTGCCCTGACCACCTTCAGACAGCAAATAGGAACTGAAACCCTGAAAGGTTTATTCTTCTCTCCGCCTCTGTGTTTTCTGTTGGAAAGTGCACAAATGTGCGGATATTGTCTGAGAAAATCTCAAGCCCTACCTCCACGCCACCCCCAAAAGTTGAATAGCTTGGTGATACTCACAATTAAGGGAAATTACTTGGATGAGGTCACAGAAAAATGCCCTGAATCTGTGGAACATGAAATATTGAACTTCAAACTCATCTCTGGCTCAGTTGATAGCACCCTTGCCTCTGAGTCAGAAGGTTTTGTGTTCAAGCCCCATGTCGGGACTTGAACTCACATAGTCTAAGGTGACACTCCATTGCAGTGCTGGGGGTGTGTTACATTGTTAGAGAAGCCGTCCTGCAGATGAGATGTAAACCGAGGTCCTGTCCACCTGTTCAGGTAGACGTTGAAGATCCCAAAGCACTATTCGAAAAGAGAAGGGAGTTTCTTCTGATGTCCTGGCCAACAATCCCCCAAATTTTGTGGGACATTGCGGTGAGCAAATTGGCTGCCGTGTTCACGCATAAATAGTCTCTCCACAGTATATCCTGTGAAACACTTTGGGACATCCTCTTGATTTGAAAAGCGCTACGCCAAATGCAATGATTATTATTATTTTTATTATTTTAGTGGTTGGTTTTTATGTGGGAGCTTAGATAGTGAGCATTGTCAGGCTACGCAAATTGAGGGCTGGGGTTGGGGGAAGGAGGGTTGAGAATTCACAGCCATGAAGTCCACACACTTTCACCTTCCAGCAGGAGTCACTGAAATAGTAGTAATCAGGAGCCGGGAAGCTGGCTGACTTTTAATAATTATAATAATTCAGCAGGAAAATCCCTAAATCCCCATTACATGGGGGAAGGAAGGGGAGGTAGATGGCAATCGGTCACTCGGTGGCCCATTTACCTTAACTAGATAGCTAAAAGTCTGATCTTTAGGGAAATACTAGCTCTCTTGGGTTAGGCAGGTTGTAATCTAGTCAAGTCAATATCACAGTGGAGGCGGCTCATACAGTGGGCATCATTGATTTCCACTGTGCTCTGAGAATTTCACTACTTGGCAGAGTGTTTCACTGCCTGGAGGCTGTGCCAAGTAGAGCAGGGAGGAGATTTAATCCAATTACCTTTCCTGGGTGGTGGAGCTCTTGATTTTCCCAGGAAAAGTCCTGAGCCTGAGGCGGTTCTTGCCTCTTATCTCCAGGGAAACACGAGTAAACAGCTCGGATGGAGTAGAGTAAGAGAGGGAGAGGAGTCGTGTGTGAGCCCCAGGGGCTACTGCTACTGCTGCACTCAGTAAAGTAGGTGCATTTCCTTCCTATTTACAGTCAGCACCCATTCATTCAGAAATACCACCTTCCTCTCCCCCCCCCCCCCCCCACCCACCCCTGAAAAAAAATCCTCTCGGTTGTGAAAAAAAACTTAACACTTTCCTGTCCTGTTGGTGCAAAGATCAGAACTGTGGAATCCTGTAACCTGGGTTCGGTTCCCGGGCAGGGCGAAATGTTGGGGGCAACTTTATTTACTCCACATGCCTCTGTTTACCTAGCATAGGAACCCGGCTGTTAGTCGATTGGCGGATGGTTTTTCCGGGGTTAATAATTCCTTCATAAAATAAAATAAAAGTAATAATAATAATGATTTGGTTACTCAATCCACAACTGTTTGTGGGACGCCGCTGTGCGCAATTGGCTGCCACATTTCGCCTACAACATATACAGTCAATTCACTTTACAATATATTCTATGAAGCGCTTTGAGATGTTATCTATATGTGTGTATATATATCACATTTTCCTGACTGTTCAGTATGTTTGTTTGTGTAAATAAAGCCAAATAATTGGGATATCCCAATAAGAGTTGTGAGCTGCAGAGTTTAGAGAGATGCAAGGTTTTAAAATCAGTGTGTACGTGCTGTACCCTGTGTCAGCCAGTCGCTGACTTAGGCACGGAGAGCAAATGACTGACTATAACTTTTAACATGTTTTATATGTCAAATATAAAGGGGTCCTGTAGTGTAGTGGTTAGAGCACTCGCCTCGCAAGCGAGAGGACCTGGGTTCGATTCCCGGGTTGGGCGAAATGTTGGGCAAGTTTCCTTACTCCATGTGCCTCTCTCTGTTTACCTAGCAGTGAGAAGGAACCGGGTTGCTAGTCGATTGGTAGATCGCTTTTCTGGGGTAATAATCCCTTCAAACGTAAATAAATAAATAATAATTTGGTCACCTAATCAACGGCAGTTTGTGGAACACTGCTGTGTTGCGTTTCGCCCACAAAATATACACTCAATTCACTTTGCAGTGAATAATAACAATAACTTGTATTTATATAGCGCCCAGAGTTTCAGGACGCAGTGGCTGAAAGCGTGACCAATTTCATTAATATTCTAAATAATATTAATAACAATATTAGTAATAATGCTGGTGGGATGGGTTCTAGTTAGTTTCTGAGACAAGTGCAAAGGCAGTAGTGTTTTATTTTGATGAGTATTTCGGGTAGAGGTTTCATTAGGAATGTGTTATGATGTGAATCTGACTTGTACCAATCTTTAATTTGGTTACATAGGCGGGGTAGCTGTCACTGCAGTCAAGGCTACAGCTGCCCATACAGGTAAGCTGTGTGATCAATAAAGCTTTATTTAAGTCTAGAGTCTTGCTGTAGTGACAAAGTGCACAGCACAGAATACTGTACCATCATCATTGAAAAGAGCAGCAGAGAAACAAAACAATGGTTAATGGTTAACGGACACCCAGCTTGGGTTTAAGATGGAAAGGGAGGACTGGAGATATACTTGAGCTCCTTCGAGCTGAAGCAGATTTAAGGGTCGCTCACAATGTCAAAGTGTGCAGCAGCAAAAACAAGGCAACAGATTGCTGGGCAATATTGCTAAGTTTGGATCCCCAGACGTCAAACTCAGACTGTAGAGTTGGCAGGTCAGACCGTCCCCAAAATACTGCGTACAGTTCTGGTCACCGTGACATGACATGGCAACAGGCCCTAGAGGCTGTGCAGAGAATGGCAACAACAACAAAATTGTATTTGTAAAGTGCCTTTCACATCGGGAGGATGTCCCAAGGCGCTGGACAGACAGAGTTACGGACCTGAGCTGGAGGTTGGCGTCGGGGCGGGTGAAGGGCAGGGGGGGAAGCAGGGAGATCAAAAACACGGTCGAAGAGGAGGGTCTTGAGATGGGTCTTGAAGGTGGCGAGGGAGGGGGCGAGGTGGAGGGACTGCGGGATGGAGTTCCAGAGGGCGGGGGCAGAGTGGCGGAAGGCCCGCCCGCCGATAGTGGGATGAGCGAGGCGGGGGACGTGAAGCAGGCCGGAGCCCACTGAACGGAGGGAGCGAAGAGGGTGGTAGGGGGTTAGGAGGTCGGAGAGGTAGGGGGAGCAATACCGTGGAGGGCTTTGAAGGTGAGGACCAGGATCTTGAACTGTATCCTCTGTGTGATGGGAAGCCAGTGGAGTCGGGCGAGGATGGGGGTTGACAGGGTCGCGGAGCCTAGTGCGGGAGAGGACACGGCTGCAGAGTTCTGGATGATCTGCAGTCTGTGGAGGGAGGAGTTGGGGTGGCCGACAAGCAATAAGCAACGACAAGCGACAAGAATGAATCCCCAGTGTTAGGGCAACGATAAGACAAGCTACAGCTACTTTGGGGAATCGTAGGAAATGAAGTTCTTCTGCACAGGCATCAGCAGTTCAGGACCAGGTTTCCTGCGATTCATTTGTCGGCGGGTCAGGGCCTAATTTCCCGAGGTTCAATGAGGTCGGTAAGTGCGGGAGTAATGCAGGGTATGGGAGTGGCATTACTAGTTAGGATGTGGTTTGGGTAGGGATCTGAATGGGACTTCGGTGAATCTATGACAATTATACGATTTATAAAGATAAGACTTATGCGAGCTTTACTGTATTCCAATGGAGTCGGCTGATATCCCCTCCTCGTTCATGTCCTTATTTGTTTTCAGTTCCTTATTGGTTTGTGGGGACTGACTGCTCTCTTTCTCTAGGATATGGTTACCTTTGAAAAGAACTAGGAAGCTGCCCATCCTGTGACAGAGAAGTATTTACAATGGTACAGTATTTTACATTTGCCAAATAAATCATTTGAGAAACAAAGTAAAATGTGAATTATTTATTATTCATTTATCCCTTGCCTCCTTCAAGACCCGTCTTGAGAACCCCCCCCTCTTCGACCGTGCCTTCGGTCATCCTCCTATACCCCTATCTTCCCGACCCGCCACCCCTTCTGATCCCAACCACTAGCTCGGGTTGGGGTCCCTGACTGTCCAGCGCCTTGGGACATCCTCCTGAGGTCCGAACTCTTCCTCAACTCCTTTCAGGCTCAACTGAACGTGCAGGTTGGTGAGAGAGGAACAGATACCTGCATCTGGGTCTCTATCACAGCATCACTGCATTTTGCCGACCTCCCTAGAGATTATAACACAAGCCCAGCTTCCAAATCAAGATTGAATTGAATGAAATTACATTTGTCTAGCGAAAGGCGCCAGACAAATGTAATTTGTTGTTGTTGTAATAACATAAGGTAAAATTACTAAGGTTTTGTTGCCTCTCTCAGTGTCTCTGCCTGTTGAGAACGGGTAGGAGAGATGGAATGGGAATTCTTCAGTATGTTCCATGGTTAACCACGTGGAGTAATATCGTAGAAGCTCATCAATGACACTCCCCACCCCACCCCACCCACCCATCTGTTAATTTTTTTCACTCCCTAGAGAGACGCCACAAATTCTGTGCATCAATTCCCAGTTCAGATTAGATTGAGACTGAGTGGGGTGGAGAGTCAAATGTGGTCTCCTCTACACTGTCACAAGACCCACTGCTATCTAACTCCACACCATGCTCATATAACTAGCAGTGAATCTTATCCACATACTTTGTAATCTCTACCATGTGATACAGGAGTTTTCATGTGATGCTGACATCAGTGTGTTCTGTTGAGTTTTCTGATGTGGAAGCCTTGATGTTATAATATAATAATAATCCTTGTATTTGACACAGCGCCTTATCACGTCTTTGAGATGTCTCAAAGCGCTTCACAGAATATACTGTAAAATGAATTGACTGTATATTTAGTGGGCGAAACTCGGCAGCCAATTGCGCACAGCAGTGTCCCACAAACCGTCGTGGATGTTTCAGTGTACTGAAGAAAGTCAAAGCAGAATGGATCTGAACATCCCTCTACCCCTTGCCTTCTGAAAGGAGTGGGGCGTTCCAATGGGCTGGAATACTATAAGTGTTTAAAGGAAAGTTGTGATCTAAGACGTGATGCTTTAACGAATAATTTAGCTTTGATTGTTTATCGTTTCAGCCGCCCAAATCAAAAGGAAAAAGCGCTAACAAGGAGGCTAAGAAAGCCAAAAAGAGGAAGAGCAAAAAGACTAAAGTCCCCCCAAAGGAAGTGGATATATTAAGCCCTGCCGCGATGCTCAATGCTTATTACATATCACATAATGCAGCCGATTGCTTGAAGTTTCGAGGGTATCAATGGCCTGGCAAAGGAACGAAGAAAGGGAAGAAAAGGCGAAGATAGATACATTAAATGGTGAAACTGTAGGTGAAAAAGATGGTGTAGTGCTGACAGTTTGATTTGTTATTTCTCCATCTGATTCTGTGCTTTACCTGCCTGGAGAGCGTGAAAGATTTCAGAACTTGGAAGCGGAACCAAAACGGTGTGTGTGTGTGTGTGTGGGGGGGGGGGGGGGGGAACATAGGAATGAAATTACAGAACATGAATAAGACTTTGCAGTCCATCTGACTTGTACCAAACTTGAAAAAAAACACATAACCATGTCTTTCAAACCAATATTTTCCAAGCATTCTTTCACATTTTCTGATTTCAAATCCTAGCCTGAACCGTCCATTCCACATATTTAATACTCTGTGTAAAGTAGTTGAATTTATGCTCTCTATTCAGATTCCCTGTTTTGAGCTGGTGATCTGTTATCCTCTATGTTACTGGAGTTCAGTTTATTCCAAGCCTTTTAGGGTCTTGCATACTTCCACAAAAATCCTGTTTTCCAAATGTTTGGAGGTTCTGTGCCGAATTCCAGCTAGAATTTAGTTGTTCTTCCATAAACTACCTCCAATGCCAAGATATCCCTACTGTAATACATCAACCAGTGAACAGAGCACTTCAACTGGGGCCAGACATTGTTCTATACAAATTCAGCAACACTTCCTATGATTTACGCTTTGTCGTTTAGCTTAATAAACCGAGATCTTGTTCACTGTCCTTAATACTACTACACATCTTACTGATTACCATACAGTGATCTATCTACCAGCATCCCCAAATCCTCCTCCTGTGTCATGTCCTGCTGATTAATTCAGTAATACTTTTTTTGTTTATATTCCCATTGTTTATTCTCCATCCCCAATCTCATCATTGTACATTTCTCCAGAGTAAACTATGTTTGTCACTTGTCACCACACTAACTCTTAATCCATCCTATCCCTCTGCATTTGGTAATTTGCAATTCCCCAGTATCACCAGCAAACTTTTATCAGCTTTCATTTCCAAATCGTTCACATACAGTGTATATAGCATTGGCCTCAGGACCAATCACTGAGGCACCTGGCTGGCTAGTTACTTCCTATGGTGATACAGGTCCATATACAGCTATCCAGTGTTTCCTTCCAACCTTGTATGCATTTGTATGTATAACTGTGTTTACGGTGGTGTGTGTGTGTGTTATGCAATGGAACAGTGACATTGTAAAAGTGCTGATAAACAGACATTCAAAGTATATTTGTTTATTTAACTGACCCACTGGCTCGGGGTCAGGCTCCGCCACTGTTAAGCGCTCAGGACGCTCCCTGGTGTGAAGGGCGCTATATAAATGCAAGTTGTTGTTGTTGTTAACTGAGTGTGGGAACTGACGTGAAAGGCTCTATACAAATGGTTGTTGTTGACTCCTTTGCTTTTGGACAAAGATAAACTGAAGGTGTGACATCTGGCCATTCAACCACAAAGTGGAAGAGTTTTGAAAATAACTGCAAAGAAAAAGCCAGCGTTTGGGTGATGGCATAAGGCTTTTAAGATGGCATTTCAGACAACTGAAGCCTGCTTGCAGAGGTAGATTATGATGCCTGAGAGGATCATGAGGGACCAGTATCATAAGGCCCGTCTCAAGACCTTCCTCTTCAACAGTGCCTTTGGTCACCCTCCTACTCCTACCCTCCCTGCCCTCCACTCCTCCTGATCCCAACTTCCTGTTCGGGTCCAAATCCTTGACTGTCCAGCATCTTGGGATTCCTCCCGACGTGAAAGGCACTACAATTTATTGTTATTGTTGTTGACATGCAGAGAGAACAATAAGATACATCTATCAATGCAGCTCCGAGATGCTACTCTTCATGAAGGGCACTATATACAGGGTGATCTATATACAGGGTGATACCATTACAATGTTTAATAAATCTTAAACAAATGATTTTTTTTAGTTGATAGAGTAGATATCATGACTTTTTGGTCACCCTGTAAATGCAAGTTGTTGTTGTAAATTCATTGAAGTTCGTTGTCAGTCACGGTAAAAGGAGCTCGACTGGTCAAGTGATTAAAGGCTAAGTCCAGTTCCTTTTAATTGTCCAACACAAGTAATCACAGTCATCACAGATTGTAGGAGAAGAGGAAAATACTGCTTCAACCTATGTGCTGCACAGTGAGGAGGGGTCATTCTGCATGGAGTGCAGTTGTGGATTTTATCTACAAGAAGCATCAACCCAGCGAGAAGAGCATCTTGCAGATTATGTTGGCTCCATGTTGACATGTGTCAAGATAGTGAGCAAAGTCAAGTCAACTCTTGCTGGTGAACTCAGAGACTCGATATCTGAGCCAGGTAGTACTTTCTCTCAAATACTTAAGCTGTTTTCTTGATTTTTATCTTCACCAAATCTTAAGTGAACAAATATGAAAGACGAAAATGAAAGACGACTGAATTATAACTCTGACTCTCACGTGGATTATGTGTAATTCTATCATGTTGAAAGATTTTGAGGCAAAAGTTTTCAAGGGCGAGATTTTGCCCATTGTTTTCAATAGATAGTGGTTATTATCGCAAGATGGCTGTACCTCTATATACCTAGTGGTGGTGCCGATGAGATACTCGGAATAGACCTTCATGATTCAGCAGTACATTTGATTAGATTTGTGATTTGTGATTACATTTAATTGCAGTTTCAGCATTAGCGATCAACAGTTCTGCATTGCATGTATCAACATATCTGTGTGTGTGTGTATATATATATATATATATATATCCCATCTCTTCTGTTTTGTATTGTCAGCTTGGCTCAGTTGGCATTCGATACAGCACTTTTCACATCTTCTAGACTTCTCAAAGCGCTTCACTGAATATGCTGTACAGTGAATTGACCGTATATTTGTGGGCGAAACGTGGCAGCCAATTGTGCACAGCAGTATCCCACAAACAGTCATGGATTGAAAATGACCAATTTATTATTGTTTTGGAGGGATTATAATTAGGCTCTGTGTGGAGTAAGGAAACTTACCCAAGGTTTCGCCCTCTGCCTGGAATTGAACTCAGGTGTCTCGCTTGCAGGGCGAGTGCTCTAACCACTGAGCTACAGGACTCTAGTACGATCCCCTTAAGGCAAAAGACTGTGAATTTAAGTCTCGTGTCAGCACTTTGAATTCACATTATAGGCTGACACTTCATTGCAGTGTTGGGGGAGCACTGTATTGTGGAAGGTGCCCATCCTTCAGATGAAGATGTTAAAAGAGTTTCTCCTGGTGTCTTGGTCAACAATTCCACCCAAAAAAATTGATCATTCACTTAATAGCTGTTAAAAACAATCCTTGCATTTGATATAGCACCTTTCATGTTGTGAGAATGTCTTAAAGTCCTTCACTGGATTTATTGTAAAGTGTAGTTACTGCGTATTTTGTAAGCAGATGCAATGTAGAATATTGGTTGCTGCGTTCACATACAAATACAGGCAGGCCTTACACCTTTGCAGTAAATGCAATGAAGTGCTTTGAGATGGCCTCCTGACGTGAAAGATGCTGTATCAAATGCAATTTGTCAAAGGACCTGGATTAAGTGATTGGTGCTGAGTAAACCTGGTACGCAGCATTGGTCTTGGACCTTGAGAACATCAAGGTGGCTGGCTAGTCACAGGCTGCCCTGTAAAGGTCCTCCCACCACACTGAAGGCACATGTCCATCAGGTGATGAGGAAACTCTGAAGGCATAGGGCAATAGGCGTTACCTGGAATTTGAGTTGGTGAACACATGTTCATATATTCAGGGGTGGGAATCCACCTTGATTGGCTTGCAGAGTTAGGTAGCTGTTGCTCAAGCTCCGTATTTCTAATTGGTGGAACCATTGTTCAATGGATAGGGATGTGTGTCCGAGCTGTGGGCAGTGCTCTCACGATTTCATGCTAAGCTGTGTTGCCCACCAGGAAGTTCCTGGAACCTACCATCCTACAGTGAGGTCTCAAACCCATGCCTGTTGGGTGTCAAATGACCAACGACTGACTATCCTCCTGGGGGGTAAATAAGCAAGGTCTCCTTGGAGCTGAACTGGCTCCTAAGTAACATGCTTGGCAAAGGGTTGTCAGAATAGCAGTCTGTGATAGTCTCGGTAATCCAGTTCCCGGTCTACCATATGCATTGGCTTGAGGTTGCCTCAATTCTAGCATTCTGTTGCCAAGCACTGAACCTTGCAGTCAGCTCACTTCCAAGGAATTCCCTCTTACTGCTGCCTCTTCCCCCACCCAGGAGGACAATCATTAATCATACGACAAGCACAGGTCTGAGAGCTCACTAGATGGATCACAGGTGCTAGGAGCGTGATATGTGACTAAGCTTTGCTCCTCATTCTCCTGCCAGCAGCTCACACACACATCTGTATCCAATGAGCGATGGTTCCACCATTTGGATGTACAGAGTTTGAGCAACAGCTGCTTATTCACTGCGTACCAATCAAGGTGGCCACCAAACCCATGATATATATATCAGTGCCTGTTCATGATTCTGCTCTAGGTAATGGTTTCCAATAGGTGTTGTCTCAACAAAAGTTTCTTCATCAGATATTCAACAGACATATGTCTTCAGTATGGTGGGAGGAACTTTACAGAGCAACTTGTGTCATGTCAACCACATCGATGTTCTAGAGGTCCACGTCTAATGCAGTGTAAATGTGGCTTACTCAACACGAACTGCTTAATCCAGGCCCTAGTGTGAGGCATTTTGGCAGATGGACATGCCCGCCCTGAAACTGATTCCCCTTCCAGGGTGCTCAACAAAAGTTCAGTTTAGTCTGGAGCCTTCCGTTCCTACAGCCGTTTCCCCTCCACTTCACTGCTTGATCCAGGACTTTGTAGATGGACTGAAAGACACCCCACTCAGTTGTGTGCTCAGGAGTTTGGAACCCATGAAAGACTAAACGTTTGGATACATGTTTTATACCCAACAAGCTCGAACCTGAATTGGGACTTCGCTATCAACTGAGACTTCCAGGCATTTTAAGAGGTCTAAGCTACATACACTGTGATTTAAAGCTAAACCTCCTGTTTCAGAGAGACCTCGGATGGAGGGGAGAGGGGAATGACACACGTGTTGACTACAACATTAATAGTTCAGTTGCAGGAGAGTTCATGTTCCATTAGGCCTCCCATTACTGGCCCTGTAGTAGATGCGCAGCAAAGGCCGAAAGGTGTATCACCCTATTTTTTGGTCAGCCGGGTGTCTGTCACATGCGGAAACTCTTCACTGGGCTTAAAGAGTATGTATCCCACCTATGGAAATCTCAGAGATATTTGTTGGAATAGAATGCTCACTGTCTCCCTGGAGGGACTCATCCTGCTTACTTAATTCCGGAAAGTATTAGGCGCAGGTTGGCAAGAGTCAAGGCTTCGGAATCCCAGCATGTGCGTTGGGGTAACTCCTAGAGTCTAACCAGCTAAAACTGCCCTGCTTATAAAATAATAATCCTTGCATTTGATATAGTGCTTTTCATGTCTTCTCGATGTCTCAAAGCGCTTCACAGAATAGACTGTAAAGTGAATTGGCTGTATATTAATGGGCGAAATGCGGCAGCCAATTGCGCACAGCAGCGTCCCCACAAACAGTCGTGGATTGAAAATGTCCAATTTATTACTGTTTGGTTTTGGAGGGATTACCATTTACCATAGGTATCACTGCCTGACAAGCGTTCTCGCTGCTTGTCCTGCTGGGACCACCGTACTCATTACGGCTTTGGCTTGCAGGGTTAATGGGAGTTGAGTGGGAGGATTCCCTGTTCCCCGTGACTGGTCTGCCCTTCCAAAGATGTTCTACTTGCGTGCTCATGTCGTGCTTATACGTCTTGTAGCAGGGGAGTGAGGAGGGAGGGGGTTACATTGCATGCCCATGTTGAGTCATGTTGGGTTGCTGAAAGTGTGAGCAGGGTTGCCAGAAATGAACATACATTTGTAGTCCCAAAGTCCACCAAAAACACTAGCCCAAAAGTAGCCCCAATATTATGCATTGCCTCCTATAGGTAACAAAGCGGTCAATTTAGGTTTGTGCTTTTTTCGAAACTAGGAAAAGGTCTTCAAAGCAGGGGAGGTTCAATTCAATTTTTTTTTTAAAAATCCATCCATCCAACCAAGCTCTCGTCTGCCTGTTTAGGTAAGCACCCAACGCCATTTTTTGATGCTCAGAGCAACGAAAAGTTGCAACTTTAAATTAAACATTTTTCAAGATCTTCGGATGAGATGTCAAACCGAGGTCCCGTCTGCCTGTTGAGGGGGAACGTTAACAGACGTTTCCTGGCCAACAAATCCCCCCCCCAAATTAAAAAAAAGGGGTCTTTCACAGGAGAGAGGAGGAGGGGGCGAAAGTGGGGAGTGGAGGGGGAAGTGGGGGAGAGGGAGGGGGAGTGGGAGAGAGGGAGGGGGAGTGGGAGAGAGGGAGGGGGAGTGGGGGAGGGGAGGGGAGTGGGAGAGAGGGAGGGGGAGTGGGAGAGAGGAGGGGAGTGGGGAGAGGAGGGAGGGGGAGTGGGGGAGAGGAGGATGGGGGAGTGGGGGAGAGGAGGATGGGGGAGTGGGGGAGAGGAGGATGGGGGAGTGGGGGAGAGGAGGATGGGGGGAGTGGGGGAGAGGAGGGAGGGGAGAGGAGGGGGGGAGTGGGGGAGAGGAGGATGGGGGGAGTGGGGGAGGGGTAGAGAGCAGAGGGGGAGAGGAGGGGGGAATGGGAGAGGGGAGTGGGGGGGAGAGGAGGGGGGAGTGGGGGAGAGGAGGATGGGGGGAGTGGGGGAGGGGTAGAGAGCAGAGGGGGAGAGGAGGGGGGAGAGGAGGGGGGGAATGGGAGAGGGGAGTGGGGGAGAGGAGGGGGGGAGTGGGGGAGGGGAGTGGGGGGAGAGGAGGGGGGAGTGGGGGAGAGGAGGGGTAGAGAGCAGAAGGGGGGAGTGGGGGAGATGAGCTGTACGTAAGTGCGTGCGTGCGTGGCGTGGCGTGCGTGATCACGTTGCGTCACGCAGGCCGTGCCGTGCGGCCGCCGTGAGGAGGCGGGGCCTGGCTGGCGGGCGGGCGGGCGGGGCGGGGGCGGTGGTGGTGGCGGGGGGGGGGGGGGGAGGGGAGGCCAGAGCCTGGCAGCGCAGACACACACATACACACAGACCGAGTTCCAGGCCTTCGGCGCAGCCGCTCTGAGGTTAGTGCTCACCGCGCATTCTCCGTAATTTCAGGCCCTGGCGCAGTCGCAATCCGTGATCCCCCCCTCATTGCCCGGCCGGGGAGAGAGAGAGAGAGAGAGGGAGGGAAGGAGCGAGGGAGAGAGAAAGAGAGAGAGAGAGAAAGAGAGAGAAAAAATGGAGAGAGAGAAAGAGAGAGAGAGAGAAAGAGGCGGTTTCTTAAACAGGGCGCCGAGCGGCTGAACCCTCCCCCGACTGAGAGAGAGGAGGGTATAGGCCTGACTAGGCCCGAGTGTCAGCAGGGCTGGGTTTTGGCGGGACGCGGGGAGGGCAGGGGGTGGGGGTGGGGGTGAAGCTGTTCAGGAGAGAACGAGGCCCCCACCCCCCATCCCCCCTCCCTCTCCTCTCCCCCCCCCCCCCCCCACCCCACCCTCCCCTCTCCCCACCCCCTCGGGAGGGTTAGATGGAGAGCTTCGGGGACATGTTGTCGAGCTCTCGGCCACAGACGGGGGAAAAAAAAGCGTTGTTTTTATTTATGTGCTTTGTTTGCATTTATTTGTGTGTTTTGTTCGCATTTATTTGTGTGTTTTGTCTGTGTTGATTTATGTGTTTTGTTTGTTGCCTTTGTAAACCCTGTTTCTAGAGCCCCCCCCCCTCCCCCCCTCTCTCTCTCTCTCTCCCCCCCCACCCCCCCCCCAAAAAAAAGGGTCTCCCCACTGGAAAATCAGCCTCAGGGTGGAGCTCAGTGATCTGCCATTAAACACGGGGTGGGGGGGTTGGGGGGGGATCTAAAAGGAGTGGTTCAGTTATTAGTAATTTATCTATCGATGTATCTATCTATATCTTTATATATATATATGTATATACGTACACTTCTGTGTGTTTTTTTTATTGACTGAGATCGTGTTAAAAACGGAACTCCGAAAGGTTTGTTTCTCCTGGCGAGTTGTATATATATATTTTATACCTATGTGTGTATATATATATATAAAAAGAAAAGAGAGAAAAAGAAGAAAACAAAAACCCGAGCGTAAAAAGAATCGGTTGGGCTCTTCGTCAATAACACCAGCAATAGCCCTCGCATTTGACCCAGCGCCTTGTCGCGTCGTCGAGACGTCTGGCAGCGCTTCACGGAAGTGTACTGCAAAGCGGATTGACTGTATTTGTGGGGCGAAAAGCAGCTTCCAAACGAAACGGCGCACAGCAGTGTCCCACAAACAGTCGTAGATTGAGTGACCGGATTATGCTTTATTCATTCTTTAAAAAATTGGGTTTATTAAGAGCTGAGTCAATTCATTTGAACCGTGGAGTGTTGCTAAAGAGTTTTTATTTTGTATTTTCTAATCAATTTTTTTTTNCCGCGTTGGCATGAACAGTGTTCGAGAACACTTGATTTGAAATTGATGCATTTCCTAATGAAATTGCTTTAATTTGTTTTAAGCGGTGTGTGCTTTATAGCGGTCCTGCAGTGGAGTCTGGTGAGATGTTTAAGAGATGTTAAGAGATGTTTAAAAATGATGAGTTTGTGCTTAATAATTGCAATTGCTGAAATAAAAATCAGCTTCTGATGAAACTTTCAATATGGAGATTGTTTTATCTGAATATTTCAGACTAGGATTAGCTATATTCAATATTAGTATAAAAATATTGAAAGGGATTTAATAGAACATATTTCTTACCAGCTTTAATTCCCATTTTCTATCTCCTTCGTTACTGAATTGTGCAATTCAATGGATCAGCTGCCTTTGAGCATTTTTATGTCATGAGAAATAACAAAAAAAACTTAGTTATGTTACTGATATCACATATGCAGTAAGGTGCTTTGGCTATAGTTTTTGCTCTCTGGTGATATCACTTAAAAATTAATTTGGTGATAGTGCAGCTTACCTGTATGAAACATTGTTCACGTTTGTTCAGCTATGACTGTCTTCTTTACCAGTTTGAAGATCTATATAGAGTGGTCAACCATCTCAGGAATGCCTTGGATTATTGTGGGCCAGCTTGGCTTTCTCTGTCATGATGACTCCTCAAGGCCAGTTAATTTCCTGGGATATTCCCACTTGTCTCCTTCCAAAGGAGTGTATCTTAGAACAAGACAGAAGAGCTATAGACACATTGGGATTCAAATGTAAAATGTTCAACTTGCTGAACTACCTAGGATGACTCAATTATTTTTTAAAAAAGAAAATTCTCCCAGACCAGTCAGTGGAAATATATTTCCTGTTCACCATAACCAGAAACAACTTGCTGAGACACGCTCTACCTATGTTTCCTCATTAGGCTGTAGCTTTGTGGGTCATTCCCACATGTGTGTGTGTATATCTATTTGACACATATGCGTATTTTAATAATTTGCATGTTCAGTATGCTTTGGAACCTCGTTCTCTATTATCCTTTTTGTTAAAAACTGTTGCTCCAGCAAAGGATTTAGAGTCATTCTGTAATCTCAATGCATCTATATTTTGCAAAGAAACTTAAAACTTTGAGCAGGCAGAGCCTGAATTTCCTTGTGTGTTAAGTTCCTGAACGCAGCTGATATGAATTGAGGAAATGCTGTGTGGAGCAAAAATATTAGCATAACAGGGAAGAACAAATTGGAGAGTGAGTCATTATCTGTAGCTTTCGCGAGCCTTGTGGCCATTTAGACCAGCCATTGGGAACGGAAGAAAGAGTGGCTCCTTCCATTTTTTTCATAGCAATGTCCCAACTTCAAATGCATTCCCTACTGCACAGATGTTATTGCTGTTTCTCACACCAACTGGTCTATTGCTTCTGAGTGAGATCTGTAAATTGTATCATTTGTAGTAAGAGTGATTTTCATTTGGGCTGGATTTCAAATCTTGATCACTGAAGTGAAGACCAATACAAAGCTCTTTTCCATACAGTTCCCCCAAAACCCAGCCATTTCCGGGCTTCTCTTGCAACCCCCCAAATCAATAAAGCAGCAGAAAAAAGGGAAGGACAAGATGTGTTTTTGCTCAATTTGTCTGAAAAAGTTTTATTTACATAAAAAAAATTAGTAACCATTTTTTGATATATGATTACATTGCAAATGCAAGGATTAATAATATTTCCTGATCACAATTTCCTCTTAAGGAGAACTAGAAATTTCCTGCCCCTCCATTCTTTCTGTACGAATTACGGAGACGTGCTAATCATGACGTAAAAACAGCACAGCACAGTAAACTGAACAGCTGGACTAAGCCCTAGTTAAGATGGCAGTGAAATTCACCATGAAATATTTGCACACAGTATGTTTAACCTTGCATTGCATTGTAAATTTAGTCACTCACGTGGTAGCCTGCTTGGTTGCTAGTTCCTATGTGCCTGATTGTCAGTAAACTGCCCTAAGCTAGGTTTCCGAGACGTTAGGGGTTAAAATTCACGGTTATAAATACGATAATAATTTCTACTGTAAATAAAATCACAGTACAGCCAGCTTTTCAATCAGAAAATAATAAAATGATATATTAAAGCCAACATCCATTGCCTTTAATATTAAATGATTACCTGATTGTGGAATTGCTAAATAGATTGACAGGATGCTGGCTAATCGGAACGAATAGTTCGCAGCAATAATGCAACTTTTGAGTTTTATCTGGGAAGTATTCCAACAAGGTGGAACCTTTGGATTGAGAAGGTGTGTGTGGGGGGGGAGGAGGTATATGTGATTCGCTTACAAAATACAGTCAATCCACTTTACAATACTGTACATCCTGTGAAGTGCTTTGAGATGTCGCGACGGTGTGATAAAGTGCTACACCAAAATTATTATTAGATAAATAAGGTCTCTACTCCAAGCATAGAGCAAATGAGCTCCTTTCCACGGCATGTTTGTGTGTGCTTTGCATTCACTTCAGCCCATACATTGCCAGTGGAGCTGGCAGGACACAAACAGCAGTTTGAAGAGAACAAAGTGTGTGTTATTTTAATACATATTCCCTGACCTATTCCCCAGAATCCTGCGCATATGTGCTTATTGTACATCCTACGTACTGACCAACGTGTGACTGTGTGTGCGTGGGAGCCTTTTAGCTCAAGCTCACGCTCCCTTGGGCTTCAGCTTAATTGGAATTCCCCATTGTTCTGACATTTGCTCTTTGCAGTTATTTGGTATAAAAACAAGACACGGCCGTTGTTCCTCTTAGAGCCAAGCTTCTTGCTTAGATTTGATTGATTTAGACCAGTTAATGTTTCTTTTTCTTTTCTTCCCCAACACTGCCCAGTCGTATGTAGAACGATTCTACAGAAATCAAATCAGTCAAGAAGATAAACCATCTCTTTTGTGCAGAGTAAAACGCTGAGCTGCTGAGATTATAGACGAATTGCATTGCACACGTCTTGTCTGCGTGACATGAAAACTCCTTGCATCAAAATTTACTGCACCGTCTTCTACTGTAACTCATCCAGCATCGCAATGCTGTAGAATATACAGTCGATTCACTTGACAGTGTATTCTGTGAAGCGCTTTGAGATGTTTCAACGACTTGATAAGGTACTATATCAAATGCAAGGATTATTATTCCATTATCTTCCTATGTCCCAAGACAATCTAAAAGCTTTTAAAATCCAAGCTTTGTATCACTCAGCCATCAGCTGATTTTCCTCAGGTGTCCTGTGCCTTGGTTTTGGCTTGAGTTTCTCAATTTAAATCCCTGGACGTAATGTGCAAGACAGAATCATATATCTTATGAATCATTGTTCCATCATTTTCACAATAAAGGAAATGTCTTCAAAATAAACGTGACATAGGAATCAGCTGTAGACGTAAAAGGAAAATTCTGGAAATGCACATCAGGCCCATTAGCAAGCCTGAAATAACGGCAAGTTAAATCCCCTGCTCAGACGCTTCATCAGAAGTGGTACGTTTGTGGATTTGCTTCCAATAAAAGCAAACAGCAAATTGCCTACTCTCACAGTTTTTCCATTACCGTAAGATTTTATTTCAGCAAGAGGTAGTAATGTAATGTAATGATGTTATTTCATACCTCCGTTGAAGGAAAGTATTCCCAGTTTCTGTTGAATGCCACTCCTGAAATGAACTAGGTATGTGTAGGTTTGACTTGAATACCAGAGGGTAGGCTGACTGGTCTGCCTCACTAGAAGTGGATGATGAAACCAGGAAATCTCCATTCCCTCCCTATTATGTTGGAGTGACTGAGCCTTGTGTTACAGCTCTGTGTCTGAAAATCTTCCCATGAGACACACAGCAGCTGTGGGCATCTCCCTTTATCTGGGTACAGAAGATTGCAGTTACTGTATCTCTTAAGTGCAGTTTGTGGCTCTTATCACACTCTGCTCACACCCCACTCCTCTTCTGGTCGTCTTTGCTCAGCGGGCTTGGGACTTCTGCACATCCCTCGTCCCCTCCACACTGCAATTTACAGCCGTGCTTTCAGACACTATGCCCCAAATCTCTGGAATTTCTTGCCTCGTGTGGGTGGGATTGAGATAGACAATTGAATATTCCTGTCATTGGGGATAGATGTTTTTTTCATTCCCTGCCACTTTGCCGCGTGTAACTGAGTGACCCAACAAGCATTCTGGCTAAATGTAACCCTGTACGGATCTGCATTTGAACATGAGCCCCTCCTGGGCTGTCTCACCGAGTCCACACTGACCAGGCAACAACAACCACAAAATTACATTTGTAAAGCGTCTTTCACGTCGGGAGGACGTCCCAGGGCGCTGGACAGACAGAGTTATGGACCCGGGCTGGGGGTAAGGGTGGGGAGGGTGGGGGGCACGGGGGGAAGCATGGAGATTGAAAACGCGGTTGAAGAGGAGGATCTTGAGATGGGTCCTGAAGGTGGCAAGGGAGGGGGCAAGATGGAGGGACTGCGGGATGGAATTCCAGAGGTTGGGGGCTGAGTGTTGGAAGGCCCGCCCACCAATAGTGGGGCGAGCGAGGCGGGGGACGTGAAGCAGGCTGGAGCCAGCTGAGCGGAGGGAGCAAACAAGGTGGTAAGGAGGTTAGGAGGTCACAGAAGTAGGGGGGCGGCAGATGAGTGAACTGTTAGAAAGGTCTCTTCCTGGCTTTTTTCCTGTCCATTGCAGTTGATCTAACATTAATTGGCTGCCGCTTTTCGCCCACAAAATACAGTCAAGTCACTTTACAATACATTCTGTGAATCGCTTTGAGACGTCTCAATGATTTAATGAGGTGCTAAATCAAATGCACGGTTTATTATTAGTTCAGCACCAAACTAAGCCATTTTCGAGACGCTGCCCTACGTAAAAGCTGCTACATAAATGCAAGTTGTTGATGACTTGTGGTTAAATAGTAAGGATTGTGACATTGTTGGCGGAAGTTGGCCTACAGGAATGATTGGGTTTGAATGAACAGTCATTGAAAGCAGTCAGTTTCAATGACTGCATCTCTGTTAATTCATCCCGTGCCCTTTCTCGGCTTCTCCCAGGAAGTTCCTCTCCCCCTATTAGGGTCAAACTGTTTAGAGAAAAATGTTCAACCAAACTATATAAAACTATATAAAAAAAGAGTTATGTAATTCTTTCTGGTTCTAATTGAAGCTTTAGGTGGGCATTCAGGGTGAAACTATTATAGTAGGACTTTCAGGAGGTGGTCACTAGGCAAGTGCTTTTTTCGAGTGAGACTATTGCAAACAACATACACATTTACAGTAAATCCTGTGAAGCGCTTTGAGACGTTCTCCCAACGTGAACGGCATTATATCAAACGCAAGGATTATTTTATTATTGAAAGGGTGACGGAAGCAGATTCAATAATACATTTCCAAAGGAAATTGGATATACACTTGAAAATAAAAAAATTTGCAAGACTATGGGGAGAGCGCGGGGGAGTGGCACTAATTGGATAGCTCTTTAGAAGAGCCGGCACTGGCATGATGGGCCAAATGGCCTCCTTCTGTGCTGTAAGATTCTATGGTTATTATTACAAGTTCATCAGTAGCTACAGTGAAGGCTGCCGTTGTATTGGCCCTTCACCTACTGTGAGACTAAAACATTGGTGGAGTTGCAACAGTGAGCTGCGCTCTGTCTTGGGACTGGAAAAATTAAAGGATTATCAGCTGCCGGATCCCATCGTGGAGTCCTTAGCTCAGTGCTAGGGCGCTTGCCTCACAAGCAAGAAACATAGGTCTGATTCCCGGCAGGGCGAAATGTTAGGCAAGTTTCCTTACACCACACACCTCTGTTGACCTAGCAGTAAGTAGGAACCTGGTTGTTAGTTGATTGGTGGATCGCTTTTTCGGGGGTTCCTTCAAAAAAAAATTTGGTCACTCGACCCACGACTGGCTGCTGAGTTTCGCCCACAAAATATACAGTCAATTAACTTTACAGTATATCCTGTGAAGCGCTATCAGACGTCTCGAAGACGTGATAAGGCGCTGTATCAAACTGCAAGGATTATTATTATCTTTTCCCCCTTTGCTTTTCGCAGAACTATTTGATGGAAGAGCACGTAGTGACTCAGAATCACGAACACATGACCACTATTGAGGCCCACGCGGTTGCTCAGCAGGTCCAGCAAGTGCACGTGGCCACGTACACAGACCACGGTGTCCTGAGCGCTGACGATGACTCCCCTTCGTCCCCCGAGGAAACCTCCTATGATGACTCTGATATCCTAAATTCAACAGTCACAGATGAAGTTACTGCCCACCTGGCCGCAGCAGGTGAGCTTTGCCAAACCGTTGGTTATCTGAACCCGATAGAGGCTGATTTCAGGTGCGAACACATGCTGGGGCAATGTGCTGTGTGCGTCAAACAGGTTTCCTGTACTTTATCCAAGTAAATATTCTTTTATATCAGGGTCTGAACAATGAGTGTAGTTTAGACCACCGATGACCGACCTGACTTAAATCAGCTGGAGTCACAGAGCAACGATTGAACCTGGGACGTTCCCGTGTGTTGGTTCCACACCATTTCCTATATTAAAGGGCTGAGCCATTGAAGGCACATTTTATTTAAACAGTACGAATAGTTGTGCTCTTATCACCCAGGATTCTCCAATATCCTTTCGCGGTTGCGTTTGACCAGTTCTGATACGTAGGAACTGTGAAATCAGCCAATGATGATTCACTGTGCGATAAGAAAAAAAGTTTTAAACTTGTGTGAAAAACAATTAAGAATAAATGAATCATTGGTGCTAAAATGCTGCTGCAGTTATAAAGAAGGGTATCGCTCCTCATTGCTATTTCCACTCTCGCTCACACTTTTCAAGCTCTGTAGAAAATGTCGAAAAAGGAAGGAAGCAGATAACATCAGCCCTATTTCCAGTCATGTTTACAAGTAAATTGACTTCTTTGTGTGCTTATTTATATGGTGTTTGTTTATTTCAATTTCTGAATCGAGCGGTGATCCGACTGAAAAAGATCCGACAGATATGAATGCATTGGGTCAACAGAGGGCACTAGAGATCCATCAGTTAAAAATATGGCAGCATCAGGATCTGACAAGCTGCATAATGCAACCATGCTTCTTTGTAGGCTCCATGCCTACGTATTATCAGACATGGTCAACTTCTCCTTATCTACTGGCACCGTTCCCATCCCCTTAAAAACAGCCGGCATCACCCCCGTCCTCAAACAAACCTTCCCTGGACCCATCCCTGCTCTCCAATTACCGCCCCATCTCCAATCTCCCTTTTCTTTCCAAGGTCCTGGAATAAGTTGGTGCTTCGCTCCTTCCTCTCCCGTCCCTCCTTCTACGAACCCCATCCGGTCAGATTTCCATGCTGCCCACAGTACAGAAACAGTCAAAGTCAACGACATATTGCCCACCAGTGATCAGGACTCCCCTTTGTCTCCTCATTCTCCTTGACTTCTCTGCCACCTCTGACATTGTTTTCAGCACCTTGGGGTGTCCTCCCGATGTGAAAGGTGCTTTACAAATATAATTTGTTGTTGTTGTGACTGTGTGAGGGTGGGGGTGTGGGGGGAGATATCACAGATGAGCAATCCTGTTGTCACCCAGTGTGCTGGATTATGATTATGAATGAGAACCCTTGATTGATTTCCCCCCTACCTTTGGACACAGACCAATTATGACCAAGTCTTTGCTGTCCTGGTAATGAGTTCTGTGCTTGTTTGGGAGGAACGCTGACCTGTCAGTTTTCTGGTTTCAGGGCCAGTGGGAATGGCGGCTGCGGCTGCCGTAGCAACAGGCAAGAAGCGGAAACGACCCCACGCCTTCGAGTCTAACCCCTCAATACGCAAAAGGCAGCAGACTCGCCTGCTAAGGTGAGACTTCTCTCTCTGTTCGTAGAATCTTTCAGAACAGAAGGAGGCCATTTGGCCCATCGTGTCTGTATCATCACAACTCGCTGTGTAAAACAATTTCTTCTCAAATTTCTCAGGGTTCAGAGATGGGCCTCCTACGTATATGGCCGAGCAGAACAGAACTGCTTATATAAGATATTGAGAGTGAGTTAGGAAAGCTCAAAGAAACCCTTCAATAAAAGAACCCATCCTCTAACCTGGCTGATGTGACAATAGAAATAAATCAGCAGTGGGCACTCTCCAGAGCTATGGGATTAAGTCACAGTATTTGAGCAGTTTTACCCTGTACTGAACCTTGTTCACCACAAAGGCAGTTTCTCCTCTGGTCCCAGCCAACAATACCCTAGGTAAATTGTTCATTCACCTAATGGCTGTTTGTGGGTCATGGCTATGTGCAAATTGGCTGCCATGTTTGCCTACAAAAAGAACCAACAACTGCTTCAGAACAGTTCACTGAGAGACAAGGAAAGTGATGAAAATTAACTGGATTGTGTATGTTACGATAACGTTTCACAAATTGCTTAGCAATTCCAGTGTTTTAGAACTAGAGTAGGAGTCCTGTAGGAGTTCTATAGCTCAGTGGTTAGAGCACTCTCCTCGCAAGCGAGAGACCTGGGTTCAATTCCCGGCAGGGCGAAATCTTGGGCAAGTTTCCTTACTCCTGATAATAATCCCTCAAGCAAAAAAACACAACAATAATAATTTGGTCACTCAATCCACGACTGTTTGTGGGACACTGCTGTGCGCAATTGGCTGCCATGTTTCGCTCACAAAATATACAGTCAATTCACTTTACTGTGAAGCGCTTGGAGACATCTAGAAGACGTGAAAAGCGCTATATCAAATGCAGGAATTATTATTATTGTAACTAAATTGCCCACAGCAGAGTTGTCAGAATGGGTCAGCATGCAATTCTTTCCTTTCATATTTATGACCTGGGTTCAGTGGAAGTTTTGAACAAGAGTAGACCAATGTTCCACTTAGACTATCCATCCATCGTCCCAATGTTCAAGTTCAGTTTGGTTCAATGGGAACCAATGGGAACCAAAATTCTCCTCATCTGTTTGTGATAGGAAGTTATTCAGCGTTCAATGACAAAGCTGTTACTCTCAGGGAAGATGTTGTGTGGCAGGTTAGCTAAGCCATGGATTCTTTGAGTCAGTAAATCCCCTTAGTGGATAATTGGTTCTCCAATTTGAAGGCATGTTAGTGGGGGGCAAGAATTAAATGTTGGGCCTAATGAGCCCTTTTGCTGTGACTAAAATGCGTGTATTCTTACTGTAAATCACGGTTTTTAACTGTCCAGTTGGTCTTATGTTTCTGTGCCACAAAAATTCTCTTCCTTAGAAAACTACGAGCCACGTTAGACGAGTACACAACCAGAGTGGGGCAACAGGCGATCGTTCTGTGCACCTCTCCCTCCAAACCCAATCCCGTTTTCAAAGTGTTTGGCGCTGCTCCTCTTGAGAACGTGGTGAGTATCATAGAATTATACAGTCCAGAGGGAGGCCATTCGACCCATTGTGTCTGTGCCGACTCTTTTAAAAGAGCTATCCAAATCAATCCCACTCCCCTGCTCTCTCCCCGTAGCCCTGCAAACTTGTCCTTCCCAAATAATTATCTACATCTCTCTTAAAAGTTGTTATCGAATCGGCTTCCACCACCCTTTCAGGCAATGCATCCAGATCCGAACAACTCGCTGTGCGAAAAAAATTCTCCTCATCTCCCCTCTGTTTTAACAACTATTTTAAATCGGTGTCCTCGGGTTCCAACCCACCCACCAGTGGAAATAGTTTCTCCTTGTTCACCCTATCGAATTCCCCATAATTTTAAAAACTTCTATTAAGTCTTCTCTTAACCTTCTCTGCTCCAAGGAGAATAATCCTAGCTTCTCTGGCCTCTCCTGATAACTGAAATCCCTCATTCCTGGTACCAACCTGGTAAATCTTCTTTGTACCCTCTTCAATGCCTTGACATCCTTCTTAAAGTGTGGTGCCCAGAACTGAACACAGTACTCCAGCTGAGGCCTAACCAGTGTTTTATGAAGGTTCATCATAACTTCCTGACTTTTGTATTCTATGCCCGTATTTATAAAGCCTAGTATCTCGTATGCTTTTTTAACAGCTTTATCTATCTTGCCACCTTCAAAGATTTACTTATATGAACCCCCAGGTCTCTGTTACTTCATCCCCTTTAAGATTGTACTATCTAGCTTATATTCCCTCTCCTCATTCTTCCTCCCAAGATGCACACTTAGCATTTCTCCACATTAAACTTCATTTACCACGTTTCTGCCATTTTAACTCAGCATCATCTGCCTACTTGGAAATTGTACTCCCTATACCCAAGTCCAGGTCATTTATATAGATCAAAAACAGCAGTGGTCCCTATACTGATGCCTGGGGGACACCACTGCACACTTCACTCCTGTTCCTATGTACTGGTTACAGAGTAGAGTGAGCTTTCAACTTTTCTCCCTTGCCGGCTGCAAATCTGGAACTCTCTCTCCCCCCGCCAAAACAAAAAGGCTGTGGATGCTGGATCCATTTACATTTTCATGACTGAGGTGGATAGATGTTTGTTAGGTCTGGGTATCAAGTGATATGGAGCAAAGGTGGGTAATTGGAGTTGATGTACAGATTAGCCATGATCTAACAGCATGGCGGAACAGGCTCGAGGGGCTGAATGGCCTTCTCCTGTTCCTATGTACTGGTAACAGAGGGCAGCAAACAATACCAGGTCAATAGCATCCCCCCCCTTCCCCAAACAACTTGAATGAGGAGCTTCATCACTTCCTGTCTTTCCATAATGTGGACTGAAAGCGCTCACGTGTTACACCAGGGAAGCCGTGACCTGTGTAATTCCAATCTTCATCGCTGTTCTGGAACATTCGCTTTGAACGGTGATGTGGCTGCTTTGTAACTTTTAGGTTCGGAGTGCCTTCTCACCCCTCCCACCCACCCCCATTCCCTTCCCCTCCCTTTGTAAGGTATAGGAGCAGATGTTGCCATGTTTGCTGATGCACCTCTGAACTGCTCAGCACCTGGAGGGGCTGTTGCCTAGCTCCCGGTTTCCCTTGGTTGCTGCACCGCAGATTGTTTACCTGAAGCCTGTGCCTTCCCCAGGTCCGCAAATATAAAAGCATGATCCTGGAAGACCTGGAGTCGGCGCTGGCAGAACATGCACCTGCGCCACTGGAGCTTAATTCCGAGCTTCCACCTCTCACCATTGATGGAATCCCAGTCTCTGTGGATAAGATGACTCAGGTGAGCAGACTGTTTTGCAGAGCGGGTGGAAGAGCTGTGGGAGTGAGGCAGAGGCTTTTGAAACTCCCTTGTTGGGTAGCACCTTGACAGAAAGCTAACCTTTCTTAATAAATCCCTGGTTCAACACGAATGCCAGCCTTTGAGAAAAGCGCTTACTTTATCAAGTCAAAACTCCTTCACATGAGTTGCTTCTGAAGTGTTGACTTTTTCTGTGGGCAAACACAGCAACTAAACTGCCCGTGGTAGCATCCCATAAATAGCAATAGGAAGAAAACTAGTTTGTCTTGTTTGGTGAGTATGAATGAGGTTTCAGATAACTATAATATCTATAAGTATAACATGGTTATCATCCTATAGCAGGAGTCTCTGCTATTCCCCTCACTGGAGTGTTTCTGATGATGGGAAATTGTATCCCTGGTGCTTTCAGGAAAGGAAGGGAATGCAGTTATATTCACTAGATTTAGATGGTCATTATTATCATTGTATATTTTTATGGTTATGTTAGTGCTTTGATGAGGAGGGATAAGAGAGCCCAGTTTAGGACAATCCTTCAGCTCCTGCCACCTCTTCGCTCACCTGGGTGCGGTAAACAAATTGTTACGTGCACCCAAACTGTGTTGGGATTTGTTTTAAAGAATCGGAAAGTTCACAGGTTTCGACCAGGTGATCTTCGTCAGGCAGGTGAAAGTAGCCGAGCAAAAATAACCAGCTCGCGTTTTAATTGCAAAGCTCCTCGTTGTCCTCTGGGAAGCAAAGCCACCGCAGGCTCCGCGTACACCTCAACCAGTGGCTGAGCCAGGAATGAGGCAGTTGTTGATTGTCTCCCCAGAGGCTTACAAAGGGACCTGTTAACAAGTGCCTCATGCTGCCTCTACACACAGCCAATGCTGTAATTAAAACCATCTGGTAAAGTGGGGGAAGCATCCTGGGAAAGGGTGGTGGAAATTTAACCCTTTGAATTAATACAAACTAGTCCTCTGTCAGCTTGAGCACAACCATTTGAAAGAGATTTAAATGTGTAGAGTTTATATGGAGTCTTTTAGCTCAGTGGTTAAAGCATTCGCCTCGCAAGCGAGAGGATCAGGGTCCGATTCTCTGGACGAAACATTAGGCAAGTTTCCTTACTCCACACTCTGTTCACCTAGCAGTAAGTAGGAACCCGGTTGTTAGTCAATTGGCGAATGACTTTTCCCTTCAAAAAAAAATAAGAAAATAAATTGTATCACTCAATCCACGACGGTTTGTGGGACGCTGCTGTGCACAATTGGCTGCCGCGCTTCACAAAATATACAATCAATTCACTTTACAGTATATTCTGTGAAGTGCTTTGAGACGTCTCGAAGACGTGATAAGGCGCTGTATGAAATGCAAGGGTTATTATTATATCCAAACCGGCAAACAGCAGGCATTGAAACAGATTTTATGTAGTCAAAATGTCTCATTGTCCTCTGGGAAGCAAAGCACTTCACACAATGATTTGTTTTAAAGCATAATGACTGATGTCCCACAAATAGCAACTGGTGAATCGGCAAAATACATTTATTTGGTGAATTGACATGAAGGAGGGATATTAATGTGTAGGATTCTGGTCCAATACTGGATTTTCAGGATTCCTACTTTACAGAAAAGTCATTATTTGGTCCCAGCTGTTTTAAAAAAAGTTAACACTTTTTTGGGTCTTAAAGCACAGAATATTGACCTAAATGTTTGGATTTACTACTATTATTCAGAAGTCCTTGTCCAATAATGGCTATTTGGTACTTTACTCCCAAGCAGCCATTATTGGCCAAGGATATCCGCAGGCTAGTTGTGAGTGTGTTTGAGGGCGGAGGGGTAACCACATTACACATTACCCTGATCTTGTCCCCATGACATCTCAGACTCACACCTACCATGGGAAGTTGCTGGATTACAGTCAGGAGTGGGAACGTGACCGATCTTCCCCAAACCCCCCCACACACACACTCTCTGACCCAGAGAGCTAGGATCAATTATAGAACATAACTGATTTCCCATTCCCTCTGCCCCCTCCACACGCACACTAACTTCTCTGACTCAGAGGTTTAGGATTAATTATAGAACATGACTGATTCCCCCCCCACCCACACACACACACACACGCACAATCATCTCTGACCTAGAGGGCTAGGATCAATTATAGTGTACATTGGGCTGATCCTGTTGAATTTGGGTAATTCAGCCCAGACCAGGGATAAGGTCACAGATTTTCTCAAATCTTCTACCTTGGGTGTAACTAGATTTCTGACCCCGAGTCAGTAGGCAGTGGGATATAAGCAGATGCACTGGCTTGTGTGAGAAGATACAGGTTGTGACTCCGCTAATCAATCAATATTGTTGTTGAACCTGAAGTGGCACGGACACGATATCTATCCTGACTCGCGTCTATTTATACCAGGACTGGTTCAGAATTTATATAAAGGCCATTTTAGGGATGGATTGGACCTTGGTTTGTCCTATAAAGCGGTTGACTAATGTAGTTTAATTGTTAAGCTCCCTTTCTACACTATTTGTTCAGTTTAATTGCTGAGTTCAAGCTGAATTCAATCTTGTGTTTTGCTATCACTTTCATCAAATTCACATTGCCCTCCTCTGTGTCCATCTTGCACAAAATGCTGCCAAAACCGTCATGCACTTTGTTGCCCCCGACTTGACTTTTCAAACAATCTTTGCCAGTCTCCCAAGCTCCGCCATCCACAAGTTCCAGCTCAAAGAAAACCCTGTTGCCTGCCTGCACCCAACTGCATCCCCAACACCCCAATTCTGCCAGTGCATCAGCTTCAAGTTTCCTCAACCTCACCTATAAATCACTTCATATCATAGCACCTTCCTATGTTTAATTTTCTCCTACCCCACTATTCCACTCGTACCCTCTGCCCAGAAAACTCAGGCCTGCTGTGAATTCCCGCACTATTGGTGGCCGAGCTTTCTGCAACTGTATCCCAACCTCTTTAAATTCTAACCTAAAAACTTACTCCTTCGACCTGAATAGTTATTTCATCCTACCCCTCCTCCCTTACTCAGTGTCTGACACCGTGAAGCACTGTCTGTGTGAAGCATTTATGCTGTATCCCTGTCCAGGGTGACGAAAAAGTCGTGAAGCTACCCTGCTATCTAAAAACACACCAAAAATATCATCATTTCCTTAAGACTTATTAGACATTGTAATGATATCACAACTTTTTGGTTACCTTGTACATACCCTTGAGACTATTCTTACTCTCTGTTCTTCTTTGACAGTCACCGTATCCTTGAATATATACATAACAGTCTGTGCTTATTCTGCTCTGAGCTGAATTACCTCAGCTCATTGATTGATTTACTAGCTTCAGGTAGAACAAGTCAGATTTTCCAGTGCAGTGGCCTCTGTTCATCGGTAATGAATCCTTAAGGGCAGAATGTTCGAGCGCTTGCCTCCCAATCCAAAGGGTTAAGATTTGAACTTGAGGGCCACCCAATATCCGAAATCTGCCAGCTTAAAACGCCTCTGTGACTCTTCCTCGCCAGACAATACGTCTTGTGACTATGGGGGGTGCATCTCAAGGGGAAATTGAAAAAAGAATAGGTTAAATTGGAAAACGAACCCGCTAGTGTACAGTACAATGTCATGATGTGTCAGTTGCGAGCATGACGAGGTTTGTGGCTTTTGGCATTGAGAAAAGTATTGGGAGGGGATGGAAATCAGGCCTATCATATCTGTCAGTCATGTTTTCAGCCCTTACACCCCGAAGCTTTGGAACTCTCTCCCCCAATCCCTCCGCCTTGGCTCCTCCTTCCCCTCTTTTAGATCACGACTGAAGATCTTCCTCTTCGACCGTGCTTACGTTCACCTCCTCCCTTCTTCCGGTTCGGCGTCAGGGTCCGCCACTGTTAAGCGCAATATGACGCTGCCTTGTGTGAAGGGCGCTACATAAATGCAAGTTGTTGTTGTTGTAGTTGACTCATTACGAATGACAGCAGACTGCGCATCGGTATTCTACCTTGTTGTGACTGCCTCTCGGTAGCTGGTCACAGAGTCCCATGTAATTTGTGTAGTCCTGCAGCTCAGTGGTTAGAGCACTCGCCTCGCAAGCGAGAGACGTGGGTTCAAATCCCGGCAGGGCGAATTGTTGGGCAAGTTTCCTTACTCCACACGCCTCTGTTTACCTAGCAGTAAGTAGGAACCCGGTAGTTCGGTCGATTGGCGGATTGCTTTTCCGGCGATAATAATACTTAAAAAAAACAATAATAATTTGGTCACTCAATCCATGACTGTTTGTGGGACGTTGCTGTGCGCAATTGGCTGCCGCGTTTCGCCCACAAATGTACAGTCAATTCACTTTACAGTATATTCTGTGAAGCGCTTTGAGACATCCAGAAGGCGGGATAAGTCGCTATATCAAATGCAAGGATTATTATTATTATCTGTAATCTTGACTCAAGTGAGCTTCCTAGGAAATAAGGTAGTTAGTTGAAGAAAACAGCAATGTAAGGAAAATGGTATATAAATGAATAAGTAATTACTAATTAATTAATAAGCATTTCAAACTCGAGCTGGGGTCAGGAGGGGAGACGGGGGTGACCGATGGTATGGTCGAAGAGGAGGGTTTTGAGGCGGAACTTGAAGGAGGCTAAGGAGGGGGCGAGGTAGAGTGATTGGGGCGTGGAATTCCAGAGGTTGGGGGCAGAGTGGCTGAAAGGTCTCCCGCCAATGGTGGGGCGAGTGGGCCGGGGGACATGGAGCAGGCCAGAGCCGGCTGAGTGGAGGGAGCGGGCTGCTTGGGAGGGGGTTAGGAGGTCGCAGAGGTAGGGTGGGCCGAGGCCATGGAGGACTTTGTAGGTGAGGACCTTGAACTGGATCCTCTGAAGGATAGGGAGTCAATGGAGTCGAGCGAGAATGGGGGAGATGGGGTTGCGGAGTTTGGTGCGGGAGAGGACACGGGCTGCAGAGTTCTGGATTATCTGCAGCCGGTGGAGGAGGAGTTGGGAAGGCCTACAATTGGCAATCTGGCTTGGAAATTGTTGCAGTTGACTTCAATCTTGTCGTCATTGGACTTCCGTTTTGTAGAGATCACTAGATTTGAGTCGCAACTGCGAAGCGAGGGGAATGTTTGTTTGGAATTCAGCAAAATACTGCTACCCCTGGAAATTAATGGTGCCCCATCTACCCCAATGAATCTCATATCCTGTGCAATGTGACTGTCTAAGATGCTGTGACTTTAACTGAGTCAACCTCACCTCCATGTCAGCAATTTAGATCATTATTGGAGCTTGCTTTTGGTGCACGTAGAGAGAGAGAGAGAGAGAGTCTGGTGTAAATCAGATGGCAGGTGGGCACACAGGGGTATTATCTCTGTAGCAGGTGTGGAAACAAAGTGTTGCAACAACTAATCTCTGGATTAAGTGGCTGGTGAGCCAAATCTAATTCTGTACATTTTTTAATCCGTTTTTAATGTAATTAATCTGTGTAGATTAACGGACAACTTAAAAAGCCCCTTTGCTGGTGGGGGAGGGGTAGAGGTCGGGGTGGGGGATTGTATTCAGATTCAATATTATATGGTGTTCAGTGTCTCTGATTATCTTTCTAACAGGGCTCTCTAACATTGCTTTCTCTCTTTCTGATGTGCACATAATAATAATAATGAACCTCTCATTTGATATAGCGCCTTATGCTATTGCGATGTGTCAAAGCATTTCACAGAATATACTGTCAAGTGTATTAACTGTGCACTTTATGTATATATGCACTCCAGAATGTACTTAAACTGAATATTTTGTCCTACAGTGTTCTGTATTCATTCAAATGCAAATCAGATCCATATTTTGGGCTAAAGTATATGAGTAATTTGAGACATGACATACAGTAAGTGTCGTATGCTTGGAAGAACCAGGCAATTTAGGATCTAAGGTTCCCAAAGCTTTCCTTTCCATTATAGACTAATCCATACAGAATGAATTGCTATCAACACTATTGTAGAATGCGACTACCAGGATGATAGAAGGTGAACTAGATGGACCTTGGTCTTTTTCCTCTAGCAGTTCCTGTGTACTGTTCCTCAACCATGCAGCCATCTTTAGTGTGAGCCTAGACTGTGAGGGTCAGCAGCTTTTTAGCCTGAGGGAGTGGGGGAAGGGGTAGGTGGTGTTAGAAGAGGAGAGAGAGGTCACAGCCAAGCCTGCTCCTAACCTCACCAAATATGCACACTTTCCAGCAAGGGTCACTGCCTAACCATTGGGAGGAGGATCCAAGATTTTTTGAAAAAAATTTGCAAAAAACTCTCTTCACACCCTCAGGGAAGCAGATCCCACTGCCCCTCACCTTACGCATCCATTCCAATTAACATTAGATAATTGAGAACATACTGGATTCAATCCAAGGGTCATCTTAATCTGCGTGAGGTGGTCTTGCAACAGGCAAGAGACATCAGCGGCATAGAAGGTCTATTCTTAACTCATCAGACTTATTCCTATATCTCAATGGCAGATAATTTTCTGCTGTATTACGGACAACTCAACTTTCTTTTCGCCCACAAAATGCACAGTCAATTCACTTCATAGTACATTCTGTGAAGCACTTTGAGACGTCTCAACGACGTGATTAGGCGCTGTATCAAATGCAAGGATTATTATTATTATCAAAGTTGCACGTTGGTTAGTTGAGGAACTGCTAGTTTTGCTAGTGAAATCTGCCACTGGTAGAGAGTTCAGGTGAAGACACTCAAACTATTGAAACTATCTGCGCTTAAACGTTCCTGGAATGTTACCCTGTGGGTGTTGGACTGTGAGTGGCATTGATCGTGAGGCAATGATTTGCTGGAGATGGAGCAATGTGTTGATTGTTGATCGTGAAAGCCTGAGCAGCTGCTGAAACTGAACAGTGATGAGTGAGGTGTCAAATGGAGATTTCAGTATTACTTGACCTTTTGATGCTGTATAATAATCCCTCAAATAAAGTGCTCTTCACTCTCGTCCATCAATACCAGTGTCAGAGGCATCAAAGCATCACAGTTTCACGAGAGACTATTAAGTGCAGTTCATAGTCTGGCGTAATTCAACTTCGGAATTAGTTTGGGATTTGGTCACTGCTAGTTTCAAATGGGAGAAAACAAATACCAGACTGTGGAGAAGTGCCCTGGTTACTGTGGTGTCCGCAAAGTGAGGTCTCCATACCTTCATCGCTACCAGGTTTGATTATTCAAATTGATGGTACTTGTCAGACATACCAGCTCCTCGCTACTCAAGCTGTAGGTCATCTAGAAATCTGCAGCCACCGCCTTGCCCCCTCCATCCCCATCTTTAAAGCCTACTTCAGAACCTACAATTTCGATGTGATGAGGTGCTATATATAATGCACGGATTATTATTATTATAAATTGTTGTTCAACTTTACTCAATTATTTGAGGCTTTAACTGTCCAATTGTACATTGCTTCTACCCCGCAGGCTCAGCTCCGAGCTTTCATTCCTGAGATGCTGAAATACTCCACGGGCCGAGGGAAGCCTGGCTGGGGGAAGGAGAGCTGCCGGCCTATCTGGTGGCCTGAAGACATCCCATGGGCCAACGTTCGCAGTGACGTACGCTCGGAGGAACAAAAACAACGGGTAAGGTTTACTTTGAACTGTCCTGACTCACTCTCAGCATCTTACGTTGCAGTTCTGTTCTGTTTGTCCAGTTAAATCTACGATTATTGATGATGGATTCCATACGACTATTCCGTTGGAGTCCTGTAGTTCAGTGGTTAGAGCAATCGCTTTGCAAGCGAGACACCTGGGTTCAATTCCAGGCAGGGAACACGCCTAATAATAATCCCTCCAAAATAAAACAATAATAAATTGGTCATTTTCAATCCAGGACTGTTTGTGGGACACTGCTGAGTGCAATTGGCTGCCGCGTTTCGCCCACAAATATACTGTCAATTCACTTTACAGTCTATTCTGTGAAGCGCTTTGAAACATCGAGAAGACGTGAAAAGCGCTATATCAAATGCAAGAATTATTACTATCACATTGGAGACTCATCTCGGAACTGTTGAAAAATTTGAGGAGAATTTTTGTTTTACACAGCGACTTATTACGATCTGGAATGCACTGTCTGAAACAGTGGTGCAAGCAGTTTCAGTAATAACTTTCAAAGGGGAATTGGATATTTACTTGAAAAGGAAAAAATTGCAAAGCTATAGGTAAGAGTGGGGGAGTGGAACTAGTTGGGTAGCTCTTTCAGGCAAGCTGGCACAGGCATGATGGGCCAAAAGTCTGTAAGATTCTATGATTCTCGAAGTATACACAGCAAGATGTATCGCTGCTCTTTGAGTTAGCTACTGACCCAATGAGGAAATTAATGGAATCAGACTGCTGTGAATATTGTGAAATCCCAAGTGGTTTACTAGACTGGCATGTGAGTGGCAGAGGATCAGCAGTGCAAACTAATTTCATTTTCCATTTCTTTCATGAGATAATTTCTGCCCTTTATTTTAGGAGCAAATGTTTCACGATTCTGGGGCAATGGACATGTTCAGGTGGATGTTAAAGATCCCACGTCACTATTTGAAAGGAGAAGGGAGTTTCACTCTTCCGGTGTCCTGGCCAACAATCGCGCAAATAAAATTGGTCACTCGCTCCATGGCTGTGGAGTAAGGAAACTTGCCTAAGGTTTCGCTCTGCTAGGGAACAGAATCGGAGTCCTCTCGCTTGCGAGGCAAGAGCGCTAACCACTACATGAAATAATAACCATTAAATACGTAAACATAAAATACGTATAACCATTAATGGTCTCCCTTTTCTTTCTACCACCCTCTCGCACTCACATAGGTTTCATGGACACAGGCCCTGAGGACGATTGTCAAGAACTGTTACAAGCAGCACGGCAGAGAGGACTTGCTGTATGCGTTTGAGGATCAGCAAACTCAGACACAAACGCACATTGCTCACCTCGTCCCCTCTCAGACAGTGGTACAGACTATCAGCAACCCCGATGGCACGGTTTCCCTCATTCAGGTGAGTACGCAGAATAAAGTCGTTTGTATTCACTTTACAAATGTATTCTGTGAAGCGCTTTGAGAAGTCTCGGCGATATAAGACATGATAAGGCACTATATCAAATGCAAGGATTGGTATTGTCATTATTATTATAAGTCCTCTTCAGGCAGTTCCAAAACCTAAGGAAACTGGTACCCACTTGGTTGTACGATTCTATAGGGCAACTGGAACTGCATTTACCTTCAGAGCCATTAGGAAGAGTCGCATCACATAATTTATTACCTGCTGCCTCCGCTCCACTGGCTCCGGCCTACTGCTTGTCCCTCGGATCCTCCGACTCACCATCAGCGGTCGTGCTTTCAGCCACTACGCCCCGAAGCTGTGGAACTTTGCCTTGCCCTCTCTCCCCGTTTTCAGGTTGCGCTTGAAGACCTTCCTCGTCGACCGCGCCTAAGGTCACCTTGCCCTTCCCCCCCTGGCTCGGCATCGGGCTCCGTCACTGTTAAGCGCTCCGGAACGCTACCGTGCCTGAAGGGCGCTATATCAATGTAAGTTTTTGTTGTTATTTGGAACTACCCATTTAAAATGTTTCTGCCTGCTTTTGGTGTCAGGTTGGCACAGGTGCAACAGTAGCGACTCTGGCTGATGCGTCTGAACTCCCTGGAACGGTGACTGTTGCTCAGGTGAACTACTCCACTGTCCAGGATGGAGAGGTGAGGGCATTGACTGCGCTTCTGCTCAGTGAGCACGTTTTCCCCACCAGCACCCCCTCCCCACCCTGCCATCTGGCCATGCAGAGGCCTTGGCACCAGCTAAGCAGGGGACGTATGTAGTCACAATAGTTTAATGAGATAATAATCCCTCCCCCACCCGCCCCCCAAAATAAATAATAATCACTCAATCCACGACTGTTTGTGGCAATTGGCTGCCGCGTTTCACCCACAAAATATCCATTCACATTCCGGTATATTCTGTGAAGCGCTTTGAGATGTCTCGACGATGTGATAAGGTGCTAGATCAAGTGCTAGGATTATTATTATTAATAATAACAGAAACAGTACTTGTTATATTAACTTATTGGTTTAGCGAGCTCTTGCACACCACTGACTGTCCAGCACTTTGGGACATCCTCCTGACATGAAAGATGCTATACAAATGTAATTTGCTGTTGTCCGGTATAAGGTGCTTCTACTGTAGATCAGCTTCCTGATATTCGTTCTACTGCAAAAACAAACAAGGGTAACAGGCAGACTTTCATTTGAACAGGTCGAACAGAACTGGGCCACGTTGCAGAGTGGGGAGATGTCGATCCAGACGACACAGGCCTCGGAAGCTACGCAGGCAGTGGCCTCTCTGGCAGAGGCTGCAGTCGCCGCATCCCAGGAGATGCAGCAGGGAGCGACTGTAACCATGGCGCTGAACAGGTGGGTGTGAATAGCTGATCCGTGTAAACTTCCTGAGGCTTGGTACAAGCTGAGCATTCTTCGGATCCTCAGTTTTATCCTTGGTCAGTTTATATACGAACAGGAGGAGGCCATTCAACCCCTCAAGCCTCTTCCGCCATTCTGTTAGATCCTGACTGATCTGTACCTCAACTCAAATTACCCGCCTTTGCCCTAAATCCAGCGCCTTGGTACGTCCTCCTGACATGAAAGGCGCTATACTAATGTAATGTTTTATTGTGTATTTCTTGATACCCTTACCTAACAATTTGGTACACAAAAGGCAACAGAAGGACGAGTGGCTTAAAAAAAAAGAATGACTGAAACTTTAAGGGTGTGAATTACTAACTGAGTGTAGCAGTAATGCTGAGGAGTTGAAATAGATTGAGTGTCCTTGTTGTTATTGTATGTCGTATCAGTGCGTTACGTGTATAATTTCCTGGGAACCAGCTGTAGATTATTTCTTACCAAAGATGAAGCAATCATGTCATAATTTTTAATCTTCTCAAGTGAACACCACTGAGCATTGAGAGAATGGTAGACACTGCTAATCACTGGCAAAACACAAGATAGATCCAGAGTAGAAGACCGCACAAAGAATATTATCCTCACCCCACCCGGCCTCATGGAAAATCTGTAGCACAGAGGGAATTCATTCAGTCCATCGAGTCTATACGCTGGTTCTAGCTTTGAGACCAGTAGCGGAGCCAGGTTTTCCAACTGGGGCCTGTGAGTGTGTGTGTGTGATGGGTGATTAGTGACACCATCTTCTCATCGCTTCCCGTGCTGCCTGTTACCTCTTGTTCCGGCTCTCTTCCCATTGCTGTCTGAGCTGCCTCTCATGAGGTTGTACAAGGCACAAGGCAGCTCAGAGAGCAGGAGCGGGAGGTAAAGGCGACATATGTGCACTTAAAGACTAGGAGGGGGACACACGACTGACCCCTCCCCCATTAGCTCTGTCACTGTCTGAGATGTCTATTTTACGTGAACAGTGCTATGTAAATGTAAGTTATTTTGTTTATTTTTCGAGTTCCCAATTATTTACCCCTTCTCCATATTTTATATTGATTTTCCTCAACGGAAGGAAAAGAAATGCTTTCTTAATTGCAGCCGAGAAAACTAGTTACAGGCACACTTCTTTCTGGTAACCCAACGGAAGCAACAGTAAATACAAGACAGGGTTTGATGCACACGGCAGGTGTTGTGTGAGAGAGGTTCATGGGGTTCACAGTACACGAAACATTGGTTCAGATTCTGAACCTGGTTTCATTCCTTTAATCTCAGCATTGTGTACACTACACACATGCACGTCATCATCGTAGAAACTTATTTGCCTTTGCCTGAGCGTCTCCCTCAGATTTACATTGATTTACATAGAATGCTATTTGGTCGAACTAGTCCTTGCACTTGTTCATACTCCACAGGTTCAGGTAGCGTCACTCTTATGTTCCCACCCGTCACAGTGCATTAGTGAGACTCTGAGCTGATCAGAATAAAGTTTCTAACACTTTATTCTTTCACAGTCTGTAGATTGTACAACATACTGTCACAACCCCCATTTCCCAAATTCTCCCTATGAATAAGTAAATAAATATACCAGCCCTGACTGAAGGGAAAGCACAGATTCTGGCATCTCATTCACTCAACATGTGGTCCAATTAAGTTGAGGAATGCTGGCGCAGGTTGACACTGTATGTTGCTGCACTGCCTGTGGCACTCGTTTTTGTTCCATTTCATACAAAAACATATAGGTTCCTGATCAGCCAATAACTTTTGGATGAGCCAAAACATGTTGTTGACTTGACTGTTATTAAATGACACAACACCAGATGAGTGTGTGTGTGCGAGTTGTCAGGACCTGAGCATTGAGGCATGAGAAACAGGTGCACTGGCCCATGCACACAGTATAGCTAGTAATACTGGGAATTAAAAGACTTGCTTGAGACCTTTAAGCTGATTTGTTTTCTTAAACTGAGAAACCCAGGTGCAGCCACTAGGCCCTGAAACTCTGGAATACTCTCCTTCAATCCCTCCGCCTTGGCCCCTTCCTTCCCCATCTTCAGGCCGCACTTGTGAAGACCTTCCTCTTCGACCATGCCTGCGTTCACCTCCCCCAGGCTCGGCATCTTGCACGTTCTGGGACGCTACCCTGCGTGCGAGAGTGCTATATAAATGCAAATTGTAGAAGGCAAAGCATCAAGCCCCACAGTGCAGATAATGGCAATGTTGATAAGAGTAGGAAAGAAAACAATATGAGTTGAGAAGTAGGATTTTGTCACATCAGATAGGAGTTTTTAGAAAGTTTGCAGATTGCAGGCGGAAGGGAAGGCTGGGTGAAACGAGGCTTCACTTAGTTTATTAAGTGCTTGGAGAAAATATGGTCGAGATGGAGCTGGTGCGATGAGTATCTTTCATGCTTCCAGTATCCATTCTCATCTTGTTTTACCCTCTGCTGTGACAGGTCTTAATCGGAAGCTGGAGGCCGCCCTATTAGTTTGTTTTACTGCTACACCTGGACACAAAATTGATGTACTTACTCCCTGCTCCAGGAATGCAATTTAAAAAAAAAAAAAGTATTTAAACAAATGCATAAAATAAGCATGGCCATCTCCCACCAGCCCAAGGGGAAGGGCAAATAGTTTTTGCTGTACTCAACTTCCGTGGTGATTTGAAGACTTAGCAGTATCTCTGATGGTGCTGCAGTGGAAGACGTAGAAGCAAACTGTGAAAGGAAGACGAATCATTTATATCAAGTTATTTCTTTGTGCTTATTCACATTTTCAGAGCATTACTGATCCCCAATCCAGACATTGGAAGGCAAATCATGGTACTTTATGACGAGCAATGCTGCGTATTGTCCATCGGGGGGCATCAGTGAATGATATTTTCAATGATATTGGATCAAAATGAGCACATGGTGATATTAGCTTTATATGATGGCTACCATTAATATACAGTGATATAGAAAATACCTTGTGTGGTCTAATTGATTGTCACCGACATTTCTGAGGTGAATGGGGGGCGGTGGTGAAAACTTGGGTGGAGTATAACACCAGCACGGACTGGTTGGGCTGAGTGGCCTGTTTCCGTGCCGTAAGTTCTGTGTAATTTGGGATTGCGTTTTATGAAGCGTCTGATGAATGCGTCTTGTTTTTTTCCTTGCTGTAGTGAGGCTGCCGCCCACGCTGTAGCCACTCTTGCAGAAGCCACCCTGCAGGGCGGAGGGCAGATTGTTCTGTCGGGAGAGACAGCGGCTGCTGTAGGAGCACTAACTGGTGTCCAGGACGCTAATGGTAAGAGCCTCTCCCGCCCTTTAATATTTGTTCCGAACTAGAAGTTACTGATTACTCGCTGGTAGTGAATAGTTACTGTATGTACGTACCTCCTGTTTTTTTTTAATGTGCGTTTTATAGCAATGTTTAAAGAGTCGGGTCTATTATGTGCCAGGTGTAGATGCAGCTATATTCTGTGCGCTTTGTGAAAACAATGTGCAAACGTCTGTGCAGATCAATTTACAGGCAAATAATATCATCTGTGCAGATGTTTTTGCCCATTGCTTTCACAAAGCACATAATAGAGCTGCATTTGCACACGGTTTACATATTTCAGTGAGTCTTATCGTTAGTGGAACAATGGAATCTCAACATATATTGACGTTGAAATAGTGTGTCCCGATCAGAGTTTCTAAACCTGACAATGTGTGGGAGTTGAATTGCCCTGGCCAATAATCTCCCGGGTAAAATCGATCATTCACTTTATGGCTGTTTGTGGAACATTGCTGTGCACAAATTGGCTTCTGTGTTCATCTACAAATATACAGTCACTACACTTTCACTGTGAAATCCTGTGAAGTGCTTTGAGGCATTTCAGCAGTGTGATAAGGCGCTATATCAATGCAAGGATAATGATTATTTATTATTAAAGGGCAATAATATCCAACCAAAGATTAGGTGCATCCATTATTCCAGATTAGGGTCTGACCAATGTTTAACACATCAACAATGCACACTGGTTTGAATTTCGATTCTATTCTTCTTTCCTTTTTTATTGCTGCAAATACAAGAATTTAGCACTGAGCTGACAGTTTAATTTGTACGTGTATAAGCCTTATCTCTTGTCTTGAGTCATGCAACTGTTCCATTTGCACCCTATTTTCTCTTCCATCAATATTTTCCCAATCCCACCTCCCACTTCCTTATCTGAAGGCCATTTAACTCTTTTATTTCTGGTCACCAATTCCCCCCCCCCCCACCCTACAAAGTGGTCAGTGCTCATGTGCGAGTCTTGATATTGAGTGACAGTGGGATGTTCTATCATGGGTGCCATTACAGCCAAGTTCAATCTTCATACCATGTCAATGTAAATTCGCCTTACAGCTGAGATTGTGATAGTGATCAAGAGTGCAAACTGTATTCTCTTTCCTAAATTGGGCAGGGCGAGACCTTAGGCAAGTTTCCTTACTCCACATGCCTCTGTTTACCTAGTAGTAAGTAGGAACCCAGTTGTTAAGTCCATTGGTGAATCACTTTCCAGAGGCAATAATCCCTTCAATAAAAATTTAAAACAATAATAATTTGGTCACCCAACCCATGACTGTTTGTGGGACGTTGCTGTGCGCAATTGGCTGCTGCGTTTCGCCCGCAAACTATACAGTCAATTCACTTTGCAGTATATTTTGTGAAGCACTTTGGGATGTCTCAATGACGTGATAAGGTACTTCATCAAATTATGTTACAATTCAATTTCTTTGGCGTCTTTTGGTATTTTACCCTTAAAAGTATTTTTCCATATCTGTTCCAAGGGACAAACCCTGTATCCATCAATTGACATTTTTATTGCACCTGCCAAGCTGACATTTTATCATCTCTTTTCGAAGAAATGTATGGGGCATTATCAGAATTCATAATATTGTTTGAACAAACAGGAAAGACACTGTAAATGATTTAAAATATTTGGATGAGCAAACATTAGGTACCAACCCCCCCCCCACAACCCCAACTTCCTGGGCTCCAACAATTTAATCAATTTCGGGTAATAAGCTGGTGCCTACAGCATTTGCTAAATTAATATTTGATGATCATAAGTTATCAAAATTTTATGGCAATCATAATAATGCAAGATGAATCTCATTCATAAAATTCCCATCAGTACACAGTCTGCCTTGTGTGTATCCGGTTTTGATCTGTAATATTTAATGAACAAACCCTACTGAGTGAAGACTGGAGAATCAGAAACGCCAAGTGGCTGTGAACAGAGAGTAAAGAGACATCAAGAGACCGTCAAAAGTTTTAGGGCATGTAGGAGTTTTTAAAGTCTACCCATACTCTCTTTTTTTGGTCAGCATAGTGTTTGATACCTGCAGAAACCCATCAACATCCTTAAGAGTAGCCAAACCAAACCACCTACACATGGAAATCCCAGAGATAGATTGTTAGAATGGAATGGGCACTCTCTCCCTAGAGGGATGCATCCTGCTTACCTAATTCCGGAAAGCATTAGGAGCATTATATTCTCCTGTTAACACAGGTGTGCATCATCTTTTGAGAACCCATTGATTATAGGATTCCAAGAGCATGAGATGACACATATTTTGCTCAAATGGTAGTCCCGAAAACAGGTGCCAATAACACTCCCTGCCTCAGTGACACTGTTTGCGATAATGCTGCTTCCAGTTGATGATGATAATAATATTAATAATAATAATCCTTGCATTTGATATAGCGCTTTTCACGTCGGGAGGACGTCCCAAAGCGCTTCACAGAATATACTGTAAAGTGAATTGACTGTATATTTGTGGGCGAACGGCAGCCAATTGCACACAGCAATGTCCCACAAACAGTCATGGATTGAAAATGACCAATTTTTATTATTGTTTTTGTTTTTGGAAGATTGCTTGCCTTTCCTCAAGCGGAAAGGCTTGATCCAGACCGTCTCTAGTTTTACTCTATCCTTTCTGAGAAAAGATATTAGGGTAAGGTGAGAAAGAGGGGAGGAGATGTGATCAAGGTCAAGTTGCTGACGAACATTACAGCCTTTTTTTATTTGAGGAATCTTGGGTTTACTCTAGTTCTTGCGACCTACAATGGTCTCTGATGTTGCGATTGATCAGGAACATTGTGAGATATGTTTTTCAAAGGCGATCACATAGCATAGTACTTGTCTGGCTCGGATCCCACTCAGTAAGCTCTAGTTCACAAGGCTGGGGACATGTTCACACCTCTAATTCTTATTAATAAACCCTACAAGATGGTCAGCCGCCTTGGATAATTGTTTGTCCTCCTAGATTAGGTCGGCCACAGCGTCATCCCAGTTACTACCCATCAAAGTGGATATTTTTAGACCTGCTGCTCATTTTATTGACCTTGAAAGGCTGAAGGAATGAATTAACCCACTAGGATTCAAACACAGAATCTTCTGGTCTTGAGCCTGGTTTGGAAGCTCGATGAATAATAGATCGCATGCTGCACAATGCTACCCTAAGCACCATATTTTGACGTTCCTTCGTGCTGCGGCTAGCACTGGCACAACTCCCAAGTTTGAGGATGTCTGAGACGTGACTGGCTTTTAACTTGGAAGTGCCGGACTTACATGGATTTAGGAAAACAATTCCATTGGAACTGGGATGCAGGAAAGACTTTCCACAAACACGACTAATTGTGGGACGCTGCTGTGTACAATTGGCTCCCGTTTCCATCAGCCACAAAATACACAGTCACTCCATTTTACAATATATTCTATAAAGCGCTTTGAGACGTCTCAACATGAGCCGCTATATCAAATGGAAGGTTTATTATTATTATTTATTTGTTTTAACTTCAGTTAAGCGGGATCATTGCTGTAATCTGCACTTTTTAATCAACCCTGCAATTTACAAATAGTTTGGGCAGGATTCTCAATGGAATCCTTTACAACATCCATTGTGGGAGCATTTAGGCTTTTTTTTAATTGATATTATTGGTCAGATTTAGGGGGTATGAATTTAGGATATTAATAGGTATTTATGGAATAGGCCCCTTCCCTTACCTCCTTCAAGGCCCATCTCAAGACCCTTCTCTTCAACCACGCCTTCGGTCATCCTCCTACACCCATCCTCCCTGCCCTTCTCCCCTCCTGATCCCAACCCACAGCTCAGGTGCAAAACCTTGAGTGCCCAGCACTTTGGGACGTCCTCCCGAAAGGCACTTTACAAATGTAATTTGTTGTTGTTGTATGTATCACCTTCTGCAGTCTCCATATTTTAGTGTGAATGATACATGTCCAAGTGGGATAATAGTACCAAATATTATACTATCATGAGTAATTAGAGAAACTGTTTTAATAGGGAAAGAAGTAGTCATTCTTCTGTGTCTCTCCTGACCCCTCACCACACATACAAACACACACATACACACTCACACACACACACACCCTTTCTAAAAATAGTCACCTCTCTAAGGCATGTGGCCTCTTGAGCTGCAGTAAAGAGCTTTGATGCAGTCCATTATCGGTCAATAGACTAAGCAGAACAACATCTGTCGCAGACTATCCTGCCCGGCCCTGCCAGGCAAGGCAGCCTGTCTACCACGTTCGGTGAATTAGGGGAATGGCTGCCAGAGTGTATGTGTATTCGAAACGTAAAGCTGATTAAAAGGTCTTATATGTAAGAAGTGGTTAGGTATTTTTGGCCTGCTTACTGCTGGAGCCTTTCAGATGGAACAGGGTGATGTACGTTGGAGTGAGTGTGGGGGCTAAGGAGGATGACTTTGGGGCAAAGGTTGCTGTGACAGTAAACATAACACACAATTCACTTCTCAAAATGCACGGTCATGTGTATGCATGAGGAAGAATCTCATAATGAAAATTCAAGCATTGGGCACGCTCCAAATTCTTGTTCTATTCAGGGCGGGGGGAGGGGGGGTGGGGGAGGAGGAGGATTAATATTGCTCAGGACAGACCTGCTGTTCTGAAATCAGCTAACGCAACATTCTGCTAAAACATCCCATTACAAATTGCCTTTAGTGGTCTGTCACGCACTTGTTTATGTCCTGGCTCTTTCATTGCAATCTGAGGTAAAGTGCAGACAAGCACTGGATATGACACTATTTCAGTGCAACACTATTTTGAACTTATTTCTGTATATACAACAACAACTTGCATTTATATAGTGGCCTTCACGCGGGGTAGCGTCCCAGAGCACTTGACATTGGCGGAGTCTGACCCCGAGCCAGAGCGTGAGGGAGGGGGAGGTGACCGTAAGCATGAGCAACAAGGAAGGTCTTTAGGCAGGATTTGAAAGTGGGGAGGAAGGGGGCAAGGCGGAGGGATTGCGGGAGGGAGTTCCAGAGCTTTGGGGTGCATATGTTTGTTTGAGCTCATATCTGCATGTGCATGCTTGAGCTCATTTGCGTGCATTAATTTATGTACACTCGTTTCCACACGTGTACCTTTGAGTTCATTTCTGAACCTGCACGTTTGTATGAGCTCAGGGTTTTACTTTATAAACATTTTTCTTCTTTATTGCCCACTTTTGGGTGAGGAGAGATGAGTTCCTCAAGTAGACAGCACTGAAAGTGGGATGGTCTACAGGCGTCAACAGTGACCAGTCCTTGAGCGGGAACTAGTCATTTCTGTGAGAGATTACTTTGCATGTTTATTTAAACCGAGTGGACTCAACTCGGAGCTGTGCTTCAATGGATGGTTGAAAGCATGTATCGTAATTTAATCTCATTTGGGGGATTTTTATATTTAGCACATTGCTATAGAAACTACCGTTTTTTAGTAGAGACTGATACAGACTCAGATAATCAAATTGGAGTCCTATAGAACATTGGTTAGAGCACTCGCCTCGCAAGTGAGAGGACTCGGGTTTGATTCCCGGGCGGGGCGAAACCTTAGGCAAGTGTCCTTCCTTCACACGCCTCTGTTTTTCTAGCAGTAAGTAGGAACCCAGTTGTTAGTTGATTGTCGGATTTCTGTCAGTAATAATCCCCTCAAAAAATAAGTTAATTCATTAAAAAAAATAATACTTTGGTCACTCAATCCACGACCGTTTGTGGGACACTGCTGTGCCCAATTGGCTTCATGTATTTTCCCAGGATTTCACAGTAGTTCTAATGTGCCTGACAAGTGGAAAGAAAGTCTTACTGTGCAGAGGGATACATTCTGAATGCCATTGTATTTGTGCTTTAGAATATAATAAAATGTTTTATTTTCAGAAAAGAGACTCCAGCTGAATTTGGAAATAAGTAGTAGCACAAGTTCCTGATGGTGGATCCTAATAAATAGTAACCTCAGGAGATGGAGTTACATTTATTATGATCCACCAATTCTGTCCGAGTGTTCAGTAATAATCCTGTGAAGGTTGCTGACAGCTAATTCGGGCTGGACAGAGTCTCGGAATCCCAGGGATTGGGATTAGCCGGTGATGTCACCACAGACTAAATGGGTGTCTGGCTGCTATTTGCTTAAGACTCTTAAAACGCAATGACATCAGAATTTACAAAGCTCATTAAGAACGAGAGGGGTGGGTGGGGGGGGAGATTAGCTTGCGTTAGCACCGTCACCTGAATCAGTGACCAACAACAGATGGAGGAACTGCTTCCTCCAATAGTCTCCTCATCACAATCAGGAAGAAAAGTTGAGAACCACAATATGGAAATTGTATCGTGTGTTTAGTATTGAAAGAACTTGCATTTTTATAGCACCTTTTGTTTTGCTCAGCCGGATGTCTGACACGTGTGGAAACCCATCACCCGTATCCAAACCAAATCAAGTGTTCCATGCATCCTACCTATATATGGAAATTCGTGTGGGGTACTGCTGGAGTCTAATCAGCTAAAATCACATAGCTTGCCATTAAAAGCACTGTCTGGCAAGTTTTCCTGCTGCTTGTCCAGCTAGGACCTCCCTACCCATTAGGGTTTGGGCTTGCAGGTTAATGGGAAGAGTCCCTGACCCCAGTGACTGGTCTGCCCTTCCAATTGCTGCCGTGCTGCCATCAGCAGTGGCCTGGAATACTGCGGACCCCCCTGTCTCAGGAACCGGTTTACCAAGACGGCCACAAAGGGCTCGCTCAATTTGAATATTTCATTGCCAAACATGTCACCTTGGAGCCAATCCTAGGTGACATCTTATGAGAGCACCTTATCATGGCCACATCTCCAAGACTTCATGGGTAATTGCCGTCAAGAGTTATTGTTTTTGTAGGTGAACGGAACAGCCATTTGGGTCCACGATATTGTACACATCGTCACGATAAATAACCAATCTGGAGGATTATTGGCCAAAACATGGGGAGAAACTCGCTCCTTCCTCTCTTTGGGATTTTTAATACTACCTGAACAGATAGACGGAAACTCAACTACTCGTGCAATGCTCCCTCAGTGCTGCACTGCAGTATTAGCCTAGAATATGAGGTCTCAAAACTAGGCGACCCCTATTGAAGTGGTAGCTTTAGAGCTATGAGAGGCTGATAATTTACAAATCACGGCAGAGTTTGTCAATCTTGAGGTCCTTTACACAGCCCCACCTTCTCAGCTGTAAATTTCTTTCATTCGAACTTCAAACAGGCGCGACTATGTATGACCTGCATTGAGCCACCATAAAGAGTCCTCTTCCTACTTCAATGTCAGCTTAGTGCCTCGCTTGGTGAGCTGATGTCACTTGGAGCAAGTCCCAACTTGATAGTGTTACATTTTTAAATCAGTGCATTTGATCCGTTGAGTAGCTGAGTAGTCATAGACCCACCTCCAGTGCTGTTTTGTGTTGAAATGCTGACCAGGGTATTGAGTACAGTATAGCACTGTACGTTACGTTTAATAACATGCTGATCAGGACTGTGCTGGGTTGCGGTGGGCTGACGGGAAGGCAAAATAACATTTGCAATGATTTTAATCGAGCGCGTTAATGACAGCACTAATAAAATAATTTCAGTGCAGAGTGATAATGTGACGTTTTCTTAACAAGAAATGGGTCAGTGTTGGAAAGATTAAGGACTGCACGGTTTGGGGAATGCACTCCCTTTCTCTCCTGTCTCTTTCCGTCTCTCCCTCTCTCCATTCCCCCCTCCCCCCCCCTTCCAACCACCAAACTCCAAGCTTTGTGCAGGAAGCTCTCACTGACCTTACTAGCTACTGACAGCTTGCCTTGTTCTAAGCAGCTCATGTGACTGCAGTAATCTTCAGCCTGTAATCAGGAGAGGAGCTGTAGAGTAAATCGCCCCATTGTCCCACAGCGCAATCACTCAGCTAGAAAGCCCCCACCATGCCCTTTCCCCCCCCCCCTTTTATTTCTCCTCAGCTCAGTGGAAGTAGAATGAAATCACCAGCAACAGTTGCCTTTTTGTTCAAAGCAGATGCCGTTTGTCACAGAGAAGGCCAAGCAAGCTTTGTGGGCTCTAAGGCCAGGTTGCTCAGTGCATTTGAGTAATTTTGGAGGCTCCAAGGGAGTATGGGAGCAGCCAGCAGCAGTGATCCATTTGCAAAGCAGTTAATGCTAGGTGTGCGTGTGTGTGTGTGTATTTAATCGGCTATCAGGGTGACGTTTGTTAAGGGGAGTGTGGTGTGTGGAGGGGGGTGCGAGGGGTACTTTTTTTTTGTAATTATTGACCTGTTCGCAGCAGAACACTCAATCTATTTGGACTGCATCATTTTTATATCTCCGTATCTTCCCGTAGAGACCTCTTACCTGCCTGCTACAGTTCCGTGCACAGAGAATTCCAGAAGGCCATTGTGCGTAATGAACTGGAGCCAAGGTTCGTTACTGGGTGGGAAAGGCTGTCCTTTTTTAAACTTTGGTTAAATGTTTTCATGACAATTTTAAAATCTAAGCAGACTTGTAAGTGCATTTGTCACTGGCCTGCTCTAGCTCTTGGTGCTGGGTATGTAGACAGACTAACATGATGCAGGACTCTCAATATCTATTGGTACATAGTTTAGTGATTTTGACAATGGAAGGACAATGTGTAATCTTTGCTTTGGGGATGGTGGAAAACACACAATTTGCCTATGTCCACAGATCATGGATGCAGGATGACAAAAGCCAAAGGACTAGGGACCACAAGGTGTCTATTAGGATCCTGTTGGAATTAAATCAGCTAAAATCATTAGGTTTACCAGTAGAAGGCAGAGTCCTGTAACATATTGGTTAGAGTGCTCGCCTCGAAACCAAGAGGACCCAGATTCAATTGTTGGGCAGGGTGAATTCTTAGGCATGTTTCCTTACTCCACACACATGTTCGCCTAGCAGGAAGTAGGAACCCCATTGTCAGTCGATTGGCAGATTACTTACCGGGCATAATAATCCCTGCAAAATAAATCAATCAAAATAATAACAATTTGGTCACTCAATTAACAACTGTTTGCTCTGTGCGCAATTGGCTGGCGCAAAAAACACAATCAATTCACTTTACAGTATATTCTGTGATGCACTTTGAGAAACCTCAATGGCGTGATAAGGTCCTGTATTAAATACAAGGATTATGATTATATATTTAAAGCACTGAGGACCTTCCTTCCTATTTGGAGTTGCAGAATTAAAAACTGGTTGGGAAGAATCTCACCCCTTCTGAACATGTGGGTATGGGACCCAGATAGGCTGGTCAATCTTCATCAGTGTTGTGGGCCTGCCTGGCTTAGGGTATTGAATGATTGATTCCTTCCAACACAGAAAGTTCACTCAGCAATCATTGTATGTTAGTCAGATATTGTGAAAAAATGTGGATTATTGACATGTACAAGGTCAAAAATGTACAGGGTGTCCACAAAGTCCTCTTTAACCCCCTGTTACAAAACAGCTATATGAGGTTACGGAGAAGCTGAAACAAGCTGTCAGAGATACATTTCACCTCCTCACTCCATCCATGTTAGGGAAGATATCGCACTAAACATGATGACGGATCATTATCGGCCATGAAAATGATGGCGTTCACACACATCGATCTTCTGGATGCCTAAATACAGTTAAACACTTGTACTCAATACACTTACCTATTTCTAAATACAATTATCATTCTTTCATATGTTTCAGCTGTTGGTCAGTGCACTGTAGAAAAAAAAAATGGGGGTAACAGGTCTTTGTGGACACCCTGTACATTATCAAATGCTAGAATTATCATAAGGGCGAATTCTGCCTACCAATGGTTTGATAAATTTAGTCAGTTTGTTGTCAGACACCAGGGAGATCTTCTGCAGCTGCAAAGTTTCCACCCTCTCACAACTGTAGTGTGTTTTCTAGGTCTGAGGAGTGAAGCTAAATTATTTCAGTGTCCTTCCTGCCCCAACATTGTTAACGTCTGGTCTAAACGGATCACATCATTCATGGTCTTTTAATGGTATGGAAGTATATTTAATGAAATAGTTCAAACACAACTACTCCATGAGGATTAGCACCGCCAGTGTAGAACTTTATTCCAGTGTAGTATTATGTTACAAGCCTTGACAGAAAGATGGAGCTTGGATTCTGATTTAGATACTTTTATGCTATGTTACTGAATACTGACTGTATATATACTTTATATATACTGTGTGTAAAAGACTCTCCCAAAGATTTTTTTACATTAACTTTTATGTTTTTTTNAAGAATGTGAGTTTTTATGATTCGTATAAGTTTTTAATTATTTTAACATTTTCTGGGATATAATAGCAGTATCTCGACAATGTTAAGAATCCACAAGGCATGAAAAAGGAATATGCCATTCACCAGCAGATCTTGTTCCTTCCACAGGCTTTGAACAATTCTTCCTTAAGACCATATCTTCCTCATACTCATTACATCTCCTACAGAAAGGTTCTGCGGCTTGTCCGTCAAATTTTAATTTTAGTCGATTGGCGGATTACTTTCCGGGGGTAATAATCCCTTCAAAAATAAATGATACATTGGTCACTCAATCCACAACTGTTTGCTGTGTATACATTCCCGGGCAGGGACAAAACCTTGGGCAAGTTTCCGCCCGCCACACACCTCTGTTTACCTAGCAGTAAGTAGGAACTTATGGGTTGTTAATTGATTGGCGGATTGCTTTCTGGGGGTAATAATCCCTCCAAAAATGTTTTCTTTTTTTTAAAAATGTGATCACTCAGTCTACGATTGTTTGTGGGACACTGCTGTGTGAAATTGGCTGCCGCGTTTTGCCCACAGAATGCGCTGTCAATTACCTTTCCAATATGTTCTGTCAAGCGCTTTGAGACATCTCAACGATGCGATAAGGCACTGTATCAAATGCAAGGATTATTATTAAAAGCTCAATGGAGACGCAAAGTCTTCAAATCCATTAATACACTGTAGGGTGCAGGCCTGGAGATATTATCTGTCGTGACCATTTTATTAACAAAAGTAAAAAGAATTGAACCTCTTGTGGAGCAGGGTAATAGGAATTATGCCAGTCGTATTAGTTGGATTTTATTTTCTAATTAATATTAATCCATCTATCTCCAAGGAGAGACATGTTTTTTTTCCAGGGAAACAGATTTCACTGGGAAAAGAAGTCGGATGCAGCAATTAGCAGAAGAATAATTACTATAGCCAAGGAGTGCACAGACTGAGCTGCCTGGTAATCTACTGCAGGCTCCTCACAATTTGAGATGGAGGATAAGGAGCTTTAAGAGCACAGACGTCTGAGAGATTCTCCCCAGCAATTAGCCTGCAGGCCTGCCATCTTGTAGAAAGTAGCACTTTAGTCTCTAACTGCATTGGGGGTTAAAATCCTAAGCATTTCACTGAGTATATTGTAAAATGAATTGACTGAATTTTTTTGTGGGGGCGAAACTCCGCAGCCAATTGCACACAGCAGTGTCCCACAAACAGTCATGGATTGAGTGACCAAATTATTATTATTTAAAATTTTTTGGGAAGGAATTGTTACCCCCGGAAAGTGATCCACCAATCGACTAACAACCGGGTTCCTACTTACTGCTAGATAAACAGTGGAGGAAGGAAACTTGCATAAGATTCTGCCCAGCCCCGGAATTGAACCCGGGTACTCCTGTTTCCGAAACAGACGCGCGAACCATTAGGCTATGGGACACCATGTTTTGTACATAACCCATATTATGTTGGAACAAGATGTCTTGTGGAATAATCCTTTGGGTGCTGCTGTATAATCTCTGTGCATAACATGTTAGCGATCTGGGTCTGCATCCGAAGAATTAGGGACGATGGTAGGAGAGGAAGGAAGATGTTAATGATAACGAGCATAGCAGAGATGAATCATGTCCCCATCAGGAGCAGGTGGGGAAATGTGGGGTTGACCAGTTAAAGAGTGCTCTAGAATAGTTCTATAGATCTTCCTGTAGTAAATGATATTTGAAATTACCTCCTTGTGGTTAGGAAGGAGGAGAAGATGGGGATACTCACTTAGCAAGGTCTCTCTTTATCAACTGTTCACAATGTTGGTTATTTTTAAAACCCAGAGCCACATTTCCCAACTTTATGTAGTTGATTATTCTTTTAATAGTCACCCCATTTGCCCATATTGTTGGTTACCTTGTCTGGACAGGCAATAGTTCAAAGTGGATTATTCACTGTGAAGCTTTAAGAGATTGTATAAGGTGGGGCAGCAATTGAGGGAAAGAAACAGGAAAATCTAAAGTGGGTCACTTGTAGTGTGATTAAAATCTACTTTCCTATTTCTAATGAATCTTGGAATACCAAGTGCCCCTCCCAGCTAATGATTCTCCAATCCCTGATGTGATTCGAAAAGTCCAGTGATGCCTGAAGAGACTTTGCTGTTGAGTAATGTTAAATAGGCGAGTCATTTATACATAAAAAAAAGGAACTGTGTCCAAGCCAGTCTGGTGAATGAAGTAATGAGCTTAAGTGCAGACACAATAAAGAAAAGATTCCTTGGCAATTGAGCGACTGCCCCACTATAATGTTCAATGTTCCAACCTGGAATATTTTCTTCTGTGTGAAAGTCAGTGTAAGAGACAAACCCTTCTTCCCATGCATCTATTTTTATTTGATTGAAATTGCCAGAGGCTGAAATATTGTGTTTGCAATCAAACCACACAAATACTAACTATAGTATTTGCAGCTTTCTTATCAGACACTTCAAAGCGTTTTGCCCACAAAATAGTCAGTCTACTTTACAGTACATTCCGTGAAGCGCTTTGAGATGTCTCAACGACGCGATAAGGCGCTATATCAAATGCAAGGATTATTATTCTTATCAAACTCTTCACACTGACAGACTGAAAATGTTCACTTTGAAGCTTTGAGAGCATTTTATAAGGGTGTCAACTAAAGGAAAGGAACCCCTGAAGAGGCGTTGTGATAAGACCTCTTGGTGTAATAAGACAATATATCAAATGCAAGGATTATTATTATTATAATTATACATTTTCAAGTATTCAGTCCAGGAGTGCAATAAAATGCAACAAAAATTTTCCAAGATATGGGAAGCAACAACAACAACAACAACAAGATTCCATTTATTGAGCGCCATTCAAATCTTGAGCTCTATAGAGAGTTAAGGATTATGTGGAAGAATAAATCTTGCAGGAAAGAGGCTTTAGGGAGAAAATGTGAAATAACTAGTTACATGAGATCACAGGAGAACTGTAGGGCAAGAATGTCAATAGTTGATGAAGGTAATCAATGGTAGCTGCTAGTTATAATTAGGCAGAATTGAAGAAACTATCTTTTGAGGAATTGAAAGAGCCAAAATAATCATTACTCCACCAAAGAGCCTGGAGGAGATCATGGTTTTGTGATTCACTGTGAAATCACTGTGAAATTCGCTGGAGTTTTACATTCATCAACCCTTCAGATTGCTCCTTCTCAGTGAAGACAATTGTTAAAGTGGAAACATCATCAAGAGTGAAGAGTATCATGGAGTGGATAGAATAGGGAGCGGAGAAAGTCATTAATGTGAAGGACGCAAAAAAATGGGAGATAGAACAATGAACCCGTGAGATTCTGTAAAGATGCTATAATACTATCGCAAATAATTAATCCTTGCATTTTTATCATGTTTCGAGATGTCTTAAAAATGGGATTTTACTGTGAAGTGTAATGACTGTGTATTTTCAAATGATTCCCAATAATACATAATAATAATCCTTGCATTTGATATCGCACCTTATCACGCATACTGTAAAGTATATTTTGTGGGTGAAACGCAGCAGTCAATCGCACACAGCAGTGTCCTAAGGTTCCCAAGTACTCCATGATGTGGACTATCCCACATCTCCACTTGAATGTTGGCTGCTGTTTTCTGCAGAACACATTCCTGCTGCTTCTCTCGATGGGCCTTGGCAATACAGCAATCAACACGTCATGAGGAATATTTGCTCCACTCAATCTATACACCAAAGTGTTGTTTTATTTTTTTCACTGATTTTCTTTACTTACCTTAAGATACACGGGTACAATTCAACTGAACCTGGGACTGTCCTGGACTAGCTGATTTCACACAATGTCTTTACGTACCTAGCCATGGGGATAGCCCCTTATTTTAATAATAACAATAATCCTTGCATTTGATGTAGCGCCTTATCACATCTTCGAGACGTCTCAAAGTTCTTCACAGAATATGCTGTAAAGTGAATTGACTGTATATTTTGTGGGTGAAATTTTACATTTCAATGAGTCTTATTCCTCGTGAGGAAGATCTGAAGAATAGATGCCACTAACCGACGTTAACACTTTGATTTATGTTGAGGAGGGGGTGGGTCACGGAATTGGAAGCCTTGTCAACTCTTGTTAGGACCAAGATGTCAAGATTAACTTAATTAGAAGTTGGTCCCAGACAGAGCACCAAAACCCTGTTTACAGGACTTACACAAATTAATCATCAGTTGTATAACCAGCAGGATTAGCCTTACCTTGCTAAATCATTCAGACAGCTAAGCTCTCTGAATCTTTCGAAATGAATTAAAAACGTGGCAAAAGTAAGCCTGGCAGACCTGACTCAGCCACAGAGGGAATGAAACTGCAAGTTGGCTTTGCAGAGTTAAATGGTTAATCTTTTAAATTCACGTTTTAAGGTGCTGTTGCCATAGAAATGCGCCTGGCGTGTAGATGGGAATGTTTTGCTTTCTTTTAGGATATTTATTTTTGGGGTGCAGGAGTCTGGTAGCATAGCGAAAAAAAATTCCAATGCTACCCTCCCTTTCAATGCTACCAAACTACCAGTATTAACCTCCTTTACAAATAAACACAAAAGATCCCTCCAAACTCCAACAATAGTTGCATATAGCTCTGCGGCAGCCTTGACTCCAACCCAACTGAATCAACCTCAACTTTGTCACCTGAAAACTTGACTCTTCCAATGTCCCGCTCACTCCCCCAAGCTCCAGATCATTCCAGAACTTTTCAGCCTGCATTCTGTTCTGCACAAGGCCCTTCTGAGCCTGTCGCTCCCATCCTCTTTATAAGCGCTTTCATTCTTTTATTATTGGTCTCGTAAAAGCAATAACATGCTTGAGGCAGGGTGCAAAGTCTCAAAGCGGATGGTCCAATTCCTATCAGTCTCTTCCCCATTTCCTGAATTATCTATGGGAGGGAACATAAATTTTGTTTGGGAAGTGAGTAGGTTGGTGGGATTGTATACTTCCACCGTTCTCTAGCCTTTTTCCTGGAGAATGACCCCGGAAGAACAGCCTGTCTTGTCTCACCTGACCAAACATGTCGACACTGATACTGGGAGAGTTCAACTGAAAATTAGTATAGCTGTGTAATATAGTAATAATAACTATATTACACAGTTATACTTATAGTTATTATATACACAGTATAGCTGTATGAAATAGTTACATTTGATACAGTGCCTTTCATTCATATCGAGAGGACGTTTCATAGCTCTTTGTGGGATATACTATAAGTGTAGTTACTGTGTATTTTGCAGGTGAATATGTACAGTGTAATTAACCTGACTGTCCCTTTTCTTTCCTTTGTCGCTAGGTTTGGTTCAGATCCCAGTGAGTATGTACCAGACAGTTGTGACAAGCCTGGCCCAGGGTAACAGGCCCGTGCAGGTTGCAATGGCTCCCGTCACCACTCGGATGACAGATATCCAAACGACTGGGGTGACTGTGGAAGGGCAGGCAGTGGACGTGGTGACGTTGGAATAGCGGTGACCTCACTGGAACACAATGCAACCTTCCTGTCCTGCAGAAAGAAGTCCGACGGTGCAGTAGCGCAATCAGGTGTCATTGAACATTAGCGGATATCTGTGTAGGCTGCAAGGGTGGGGGAGAAGGGCAGATTTTGTTTTTGTTTTGGAGGAAAATGATAGAAGGACTTCTCCATCTCTTGTATTGGAGAGATTTCAGACTCTTGTATTTACTGTTTTATATTGGGGGGAGGGGGAAGGGGGGAATGCGGGAGAATCCAAACCTATTTGTACACGTTTCTCTGTATTTATACACAAAAAGTGTTTGTGTCTGTAACTGGAGATGAGTCTGGCTTAAGTGGTCTTGACAAGGATTTTCTTATCTGGTTGCGAGGATCGTACACTGGGTTTCTCCGCATTATACCATCTAATAAAAGTTGATGCAGGACGTCTAGTCAAATCAGAAGCTAATGTCCAGCTGCTGTGGCAATTTTGACTTTATTCCTCTTTTGAGTTAAGTAGAATTTTACAGGAGTAAATAGTTCGTCACACATATTGAGACTGTACAAACACCCATTGGAACAAGTGTACCCTTGCATTTCGTATTGAAAAACTGGATTAGTCGAACCCGCAGACATATCCGCATGTTGTAGTGGCTGCCATTTTGTTAATGCATCATTGGATGCAATCATCCATTCTTCTACTGTGTGCAAGTCCTGAAGGAAGGCCATGGTTGATTAGTCCAAACTCAGCATGTTCAACAACTGTGTGTTAAAGCTAAGTGCAACTTCTGGGCAGATGCAGTATTTCCAAAGAGCCCTAGAAACTGGCTGATTTATTGTCACTCTGGGTGAGCAGATTCCAGTTGCCTTTTGAAGGCTCTCAGGCCATTGCACTTTACACCTTTTTGGGGGGTAAATGTAGCAATACAAAGTATAAAATAGCCCCACATTACAGACTTGTGTTCATTACCCAGCATTTTATGTTGGTGCTCAGTGACAGGATTATTTCCTTGTCAAATTTGAACTGCGATTTTGTCTTCACCAGGACTAGCAAATTAGCCAATGATCTTTGGTGACCCAGTGACTCTTCGATCTAATTCTTTACTGAAACCAACTCTGCAGCTTATAAGACCCGTTCCCATTTCAGCAGCAACGAGCGGGTTTATCTTCCTGTTCCGCAGTCTGTTTTGAATCACGGGAAAGCACGTCAGAACCCAGTTTTGCTCCCTTCCTGCAAGCAGCTTATTTTAGAATAAGGACACCCTTTCTCTTTTTCTCTCTCTCCTTCACTCACCCCCATTGGAAGGGTGCGCAGTGATGGAGATCACCCTAAGAACTCCCTAAAAACAATCAGTATCAAGAGACGGAAAATCTAACAGTATCTCCCGAAATATTCTATTTTTTAGCAACTATTTTAATTTGACTTTTTAATTTTTTTAGTGAAGGGGGGGGGTGGGTGGGTTATGTTCGTAGTGAGGCTGTCACTTCCGTACTCCCTGCAGTACCTCCACTACCTTTTCCTAATTTGCATTTACCCGCATTATCGTTATTGGGTCTAAACAGCGACAATTTGACACTGGGTATAAGACGAGCAGCTCAGGTTGCTAACTGGTAATTGTGCTGATAGCTGGAGGAACAAAGATAGCCGATTCAAAGGATCCCCAAAGCACTGGAAGTAGATTGAGGGGTTCTGTAAGTTGGCTGTGACACACAACCCCTTGCAGGCAGGATTCCCCATTAGTTACTCAGGGTTTCTTTGAAGTGGTTGATGTTTAGTCCCCAACTCCTGAATGGGAAGCTGGATGAATACTGGAACCTCAGTGTCATTGTTCAAGCTGCTTATTCAGTGATATCAAAAACCACACACATTGAAACTTACTCTGGATTTTCGCTCATTGTACGAGCGTTTGAGTTAATGTTCCTCCGCCCTGCTCCCATGCTTCACGGCTTTTGACATTTTGAACTGGTTCGATCACTCGGTGTGATCTATTTGACTTATTTTGCTAAATGTAGTGAGTTTTTTTTTTGTAACCATACCTTTTGCAAAGAGACTTTTGATTATAAACGTGTACGGAAAAGATTGCTACAGTATTTAAAGAGATCAGTGTCACTTAACCCCTTTGTGACCAGTTCCAAAGCTCTTATGATTTCTCCGTTGCTGAGATTCTGTCACCAGCTACCTACCAATCCAAAGCACACTGACAGAGTAGATCAGTATTCCCTACGGGGTTTCATCATCATCATAAACTGCCACTACATCCTTAAGACATGGTTCAGCCCCATCAGTTGCCCATGCTGTTCTGGAGGGAAGCTTGGACCACTGTGCTTAATGTTGTGGTGAGCAATGTAGCGAAAACAAGTGAAACCCAAACATAAAATAATTTTAGGAGGGGATGAGAAGTCTCACCGATAAACATTGATGTGTAGTGTTGCTTTACCCAACAAACAGTTTCCTTAAATATCAATAGATCAGCAGCCAAGTGTGTCCAACCTCTACGGCATTCGAGCCATTAAATTAAACTAAATTGTTCTGGAATAGTTTGATTTTATTCATTCCTTAAAACTCTGAGATGCAATTCAGATTTGGACAGTTGTAACATTTTGCAGTACAAGCCGTTACATTCCGGTGATCTGGACTAAAGATACTTCTTTTGTCGTCGTGTGCAGCACCGAAGCGGGTCCATATCCACACCCGATAGTTTGTAAATTCCACGCTCAATGTGGCTTGTCACCAAGTGAACACTTCTTAGGAAATCTCCCCCAAAACGTACCTGTATATAAAGAGATCTCGTTAAAGTCAAAATGCCAGGGTCGCTGGACACTTCCTTTCGAATTCCTGCCGGCTTTTCCCTGGATGGTCTGGCTTCACAATGTGTGTAAAGTACCACATGCTTGCTTCCTTTCCCCTCCCTTCCTCTCCAATTGACTTATTGATTTGATTCTATCCTTTCCAGCCTACACGATAAGGTAGGCTTTTGTTGGTCCCACAAGGAGAAGATAAAGAGCCTAAGTGGCTCTTGCGATCACTTTAGCACAGTACTGCCCAGGACATATCTGTTTGGTCGGTTGGGGAGGGTGGGGGTGTGTTAACAAAGGTGATCCCTTGTATTGTCCTAAGTGCTGTGAAAGTGGCCCTATTCGGCTAACCGTTTGCGCAATGGGTCATGTAGTTCCTTCCTCGGGCATCTACAGCTATACAGTTATCTACATCTAATGGGTTTTATGGGAGGGATTTGGGAGGGGGGGTTAAAGTGGGTACCAGGTTACCGTTCACCAGATTTTATCTAGTTAGTAAAGTGGACTGGGTCTGGTCTACTGAGATCTATGTTTGCAAAAAAAAAGTTAAAATCTTCAAATAGATACCAATGCTGTCTGTACTAACGTTTTTCCTTTAAGCGCTGAAGGTGACTGCAGGTCTTTAGAAGTACTGTGGTATTTGTTGCGACCATATTTATTCCCCGGATACTCCCCAAAAATGTATTTGAATGAAGTAAATTGCAATCGATTTGTTTTATATGGTTATTATTATTTTTTTTGCTTGGGAAATGTGATTTGCTATTAAAACGCCACTGGCTTTTGGGAGTCGTGAGCTCGTGGTGTGTAATAAAGATGTGAATATTCCTGGTAAAGATCGAGGCTCCTTGACTTTCTCTTGTTTCATTGCAGAAGGCATTAAAAGGGGAAAAAGTAAATTGGGTGAGGATGTGAAGCGAGGGACTGACTTCATGTCAGTGTCAATTTGGTGTCAGTAATCACAGCGGAAAGGGTGGAAGGACTCATTTCCAGGGATATTTAAAAATATCAAATCGGGGAGGGTAGATGGACTCTGATTGCTTGTCCCTCGTGGCCTCCGTGTCACCATCAGTGGTCACGCTTTCAGCCACTATGCCCCGAAACACTGGAACACTCCCCCTCAATCCCCCTGTCTTGCCCCCTGATTCCCCATTTTAAGGTCCCGCTCGAAGACTTTCCTCTTCGACTGGGCTTACCACCGGCTCGGCTTCCTGCTTCGCCACTGTCAAGCGCTCTTGAGACACGACCTTGCGTTGCAGTCGGAATCCAAAAGGATGGGTTTCATATTTTACCACAAGATTTGGAACTTACTGCAGTTCACAGGCCAGATACCCTGAGATGTCTTCAAAATCACCAGAGCATGGCTCTTGAGGGAAAGATTGCAGTTGGTTTATTCCACAGGGTGAATCAGAAGTTCTAATTATTAATTACTTTTTTTTTTTAAGAGCATTCGTCTTGAGTGCGCAGCTATTACAGGAGATGCCTTTCGTCCCATCCGTGAATGTTTTTGTCACCAAGTTGACATGTGTAAACGCAAACATGACATGCAGTTTTGAACATCTCATACAGACCTCTGAGTAAGGTGTAATATTCACCCTGTATATGAGTGGGAAGGTGACTGAGACACCCTAATGGGTTTTCAAAAGTGTTTCCCAGTAAAAATAGTCCCCGTGAGAGAATCATTACCCGGCATAATGGCTGTAGACCTGATTCCAGAGATGTTGCCTGGCGAGGCAACCCTGACAAACCAGAGGGTCAACTCTTTGGTTAATAGTCAGAATGCCAAAGCTTGGATGATAATGGTCAGTGTTGGTGAAGGGGTTTTTTTTTGAGTCGAGTCGTCAAAGTTAAGAAATCTTGGGATCTACCTTTAGTACATCATCTGTCCTGGACAAATGCAAAGACACTAGGCAACACACTGCTGTGCGCAATTGGCTGTAGTGTTTCTCCCACAAAATATACGGTCAATTCACTTTACAGTATATTCTGTGAATCGCTTTGAGATGTCCTGATGATGTGATAAGGCGCTATATCAAATGCAAGGATTATTATTATTCCAAACTTAAATCCCAAGATAGCCTGTTATTCAAATCCACAACCACCATGAATGAAATCTGCCATTTGCAATATCTTAAATTCACTTGGGGGCACTCACCACAAGCTAATGGAGGATTTCTTACATTTGTTTATTTTCTCAACCCCAAGGCTCCAAATAACCCAAATTTACCATCACTTTGGGACTGGGCTGAGCCTCGGATAAAAAACCTGGGGGTTGGTCTTGAGGAGGCCCAAGCAGTTGAGTGAGAAGAGTCAAGTTCCAGCTTAAATGGGGCTTTGGATTACATCTATCCTTTTAATTTTCCATTGAATTCGCACACTGGTCAGAGGTGAGGGGTTCTAAAGGGTTTCTAGTTCCATTCAATGCACTGTTCAATCTAAGCCTGGAGTGTATGACACTATTCCTGCTGCTTACTAACCTATCTCATTGAACGGACTGACAGATTCAATAACTAAACTAACTTATTGATTTGATTACTAAGCTAACTGTTGATTTGGTTACTAAACTGGCTCAATTGTTAATTACTAATCTAACTCTTTGATTCAATTACTAAAGTAAGTTCTCAGTTAGATCAATGAAGTGATAATTGGAAATAGTTTAAAGGCTGAGGACATTACAGATTAAATTTAGAGCAAAATTGCCTTCCCATGATGTATTTTTTTCCCATTTTCTTGTCACAGTGGACGCAAGTCTCAGTGTGTCACAGTGGATGTAGGTCTCAGTGTGTCACAGTGGATGTAGGTCTCACTGAGCAGAAAGAGACACAAAAGACTAGCTCTGAAACACGAGAATAACTCCTGAAACTCCACAAGCACTAAGCCAAATCTTTACAATGTAAAACACTGCTTT